TCACTCATGGGAGTTTAAGGTTAATAATTAGACTTGAATATGTCTAATGAATTATGTTAGAATGAAAAAAATTATCAGTTGATGGTAAACCTTACAGGAAATTTGAGAAACAAACTACTTTCTTTTCCAATTTGTTTTTAGCCCTAAGAGCTTGTACATTTTTGGAATTAGTTACCAAGAACTTTTATTGAGATCGTGTCCACCCAAAAAAAGATCTGTTAGTTAATGATAGAGTCAAGAGTCAATTTGACTGGGAAGGAAAATCAATGTTGAAGCAAACTTCTCGAATTTGGTTTTATCCTCTAGAGCTACGACAGTACTATGGTACTTCGGCTCCAAGATTTAAAAAAAATTAAATTCCATACAATTTGACGACAAACTCAGGAAGAACTTTGACATTAAATTATAGAACTATGCTCTTCTTCAAATTAAGTTAATTTGGTTCAAGACTTAACTTCATAACACTTAAGCTAAAAAGGTTTAACTTTCTGAATTGAAAAAAGGTTCATTTTAGAGGGAAATTATTTGACTATTAAACTTATCAGAGATGTCGAAAAGAATTTTGGAAGAAAAAAAAACAAGAAATGTTAGTTGCAGGGACATACTTAAATTATCTCAAGGGAAAAGACATTCAACAATTGAGCTCCAAGGCCTTTATCGAAGAAGGTAATAGCTAAAAAGGTTGAACTGTCTAAATTGAAAAAAGGTTCATCTTAGTGACAAATTACTTATCAGAGATTTCGAAAAGAATTTTGGACGAAAAAAATCAAGAAATATTAGTCGTAAGAGCATACTTAGATTTCTTTTTTACCTCAAGGGATAAGACTTAGTTTGAGAAATATAAAATCCTGAGCATCTTCTATTTTGTTTAGTCCAAAGAGCCGAGACATTCAGGCCTCAGACTGACCGAAATTTGTCATCAAATGAACTGCTTCTTTCACATATTATGCAACAGTAACAGGATGCTTCGCAAGAAAATGCACTGGCCTAGTGCCTGCTGGAAGTGCAAAGCATGAGTTTACTCTTGAATAAAGATTCCCTTGTTAACGTAAAGCATCCCCTCAAAGAATTGAAATCTAATCGTGGCCCAGGGCAATATTACGTCTATTTGAAGGTTATAAAAGTAGTAATCTTTGTGTGAAGCCAGGCTAGATTCAGACAATCATTTTGATGCGAGCAGAAATTAAAATGCAATATTCGACAAATTCAAGGTCTTTAATTGTCTGAATTGAAAAAAGGTTAATTTTTGCAACAAAATGATTTGACTTTAAAAGTTATCAGAGATTTCGAAAATAATTTTGGTACGAGCAGGAATTTAAACGCAATATTCGAAAAATTCAAGCTCTTGGATGAGCCCACAGGCAGATATGAAACATGCAAGGCCAGAGACTTGTATCTTGTAAAATGTCTGCAGTTTGCTGATAAGCAATCTTGCTAATAACAAGTCTGGGATAAAAAAATCAGATGATTGATGTCATTCTTACAATAATTCTCAAGTCTTAGAACTAATTTGATAGGCCAAACGGTTGCTATGGTAACTTGAAGGTCAGAAGGATAGATATAGCATGCACAACAGTGACAAGGTATTTCGTGAAACAGATAGAAATTAAAAGTATTTATAGTGGAATTAATTCATCAAACGAATACTGCTGAAAACAGCTTAAAGCCACCTCAATCAGAAAGAGATCCAAGAAATCAGACAGTTGAGAAATGTATTCATTTCTTTTTGGCAGTTTTTCTTCATTATTGATCGAGTTAGTTTCGATTTGCAAACGTTTGCTAAATCCAGGTTAGAACGTTCGACGTAGACGAATAAGGCCTTAATAGCGAATTTGTTATAAAAAGCTAATGATCTAACCTTCCCATGTATCTCTTTGCCTCCTTGACTTCCCTTGATTTCGAAGTCTTCTCATTTTCATCTTGTTGCTGCCCTATAGGGAAAAAAAAGAGACAAATATATTATGAATACGTTCGTACTAGAGTGCTTCTCATTCTAAATATTTAACGTCAAAGTCTGGATTGAAAAACTCATTTAGTGCTACTACATTTCCCTCGGGCAAAATGAGTATGATGATGGTCTCCTTCTTTGGCGAGGTTGGAATGAAGGAGAACTAGTACGTGTAAAACACACTTTTATAGGTCAACACATTATAATCCTAATAGGCAGTTGAAAATATGTACAGGAATGAATATAAACTGAAATACGCAAATAAACGATATGTACACTAACGAAGTACGAATTTCTTTCGTTGCCACTCAAGTCTCGTTTAAGAATAACTGTGAAGGCGGCTGCCGCGCGCTTCGAACTTGTCCTACGCTGTTTTATGTGCTTTACGCTTTTCTGTATTTGACTCCGTAAAATGATTTTACAAAGGCCACAAAGAGAAAGATGAACACTGTATTATTATCCAAGTATATATTTCCAAAGATTATTTACCTGAAGAGGAGTCGTGACAAAGTGAGAGGAATGAATCCTTGTCATGGTATTTGAACCACTTCATCCAGCTTAAAAAAAAACTTGCCGACCTGGACAGAAAAGGACAATATCTAAGGTATAGGGTCCAAATGACGAGTTTCTTGACTCTATAGAAGCTAAAAAGACGCTCAAATTTCTTGTAGTTTGAAAGCTTTTTCCACGTGCAAGACTGAGCACAAATATGAATATTAATTTGGAAATTTATTTGTAATTCAAATGAGTTTTCCGACTTCAAAAGGCGGGAAAGTAAGATGCCTCGCATTAGACAGCTTTTCAACTTATGTAAAGAAGTTAAAAAAAGAGTTGCAAATATAATGTTGTAATTTTAGAGGTATCAACTCGAACTAAACTGAACTTGAATTAAAAACATCATTTTGCTTGAACAGAATTTTTTAGTCATTACAGAAGTATATGACGTCATTAGCTAGTACTTTGTGATACATCGTTCTTTTTTTCTCAAGGAAAATTTTGAGTTAACAAGAGGCTGCTGTTTCTCAATCTGCATCAGTGTCGAAACATGTTACAGACGAAAGAGCTTGGTATTTTACTCTATTAGCCAATTGTGAGCTATGATATGAAATACAGGATACGCAGTAAAATACCAGAGAATAACCTGACCTCATACAAAATGGCAGTTTATTCAGCTCAATAAGTTTTGAAATCGCGTAAAAGACCTTCGGGTTTCAGCTTCAAGCTTTCCTTAAATTCATCGTAACAAAGTGGCATGTACATACAAACAAACATAGATATAGTTTATCAAGTAAACGTGATTTCACACTAAATAGTCATTTAGTGGCGAGCTCAACAATCCTAACAATTCTCCTTTAAAATAATTAGATCTCGGCAAACCCATTGTATCGTATGACTGCTTTAAAAACGAGCAGCACATCCTTGTCACATCAGATCCTCGTTGAAGGTTGGACAGGGCGGGTTGAAAATATTCAGCTGGAGTGCGCAAGAACGAACTCACTGAGGAAAGGTAGAAATGACTCACCGTTTGTGTTCATTTTCCACGTCTTCATGTTTACGTTAAATGCATGTTAGAATTACTTAGGACAAACGCACTGATTTATAAGAAACTAATAACTTTGAATAGCACCGTACACTTTTGGAGAAGCGTACACTTTGTTTGTTTTGGGTCACGTGATATTGGGCGTGTCCTGGGACGTCATCAACGAGCTCACGCTCCATTTCTACATCAACCGTTCAAAGTAGGTCCAACAACCTCAAATGACGTCGAATTACAGTCAACTAAATTTTCTAGCAACGGGCTGAAAACACAGTGGAAAGAGCCATTGTATGCTGTGCAAGTTTGGTAGAAAATACCATAAAATATTAGTAGGAAGGCTAATCCTTACATGTCCTCGTCGTTTGGGAGGTCTACAAAGGTGTATTTTGATCAAGGATGGAGCGAAAGGAAGGAAAAACCACCCATCCCTCCCCCCTTAGTTATGTAAACAGAAGACAGTAGCACAGCTCTGGAAACAGAACGTAACCTTATAAGGGTGGCAGGGGATCAATCATTTAATCTAAGTTTAATGCATAATTCATCAAAATGAAGAGAGTGAGAGAGTAAATTTTAGGTCAATAACTAAACCACAGCATATGACTGCCGTCATACCATAAGGTAAAATGACTGTTAAAGAACATGTGCAACATAACGTTATGTTCTATGCAATTGTTAATCCCAGCATATTCAGTTTAAAGTTGTACTGAAAACAGTAAAAATGCAACAGTTTACTTCAAGAGCACTTAACACAGGTCAAAAATTCGCGACTTTCGCTGAAAATTTTGTTAGCAACACGTTTTCCGTTTTTGTTAATGTACAATCAGTTATAGACTTTATATCTAGAAAATTTGATATCCTGTAGTTGTAAGGCCACATATTAACATCCCCATGAATGAACCTGTTAACCCTTAGGTGTGAAAAGTGTCTAATTTCTCCTGATATTACAACCCCCAAATCAAACATTAAGGCCATGGGAATGAAGGGAATGAACAAATTGATCACCAACTAAAGAGGCTCTTGATTGGTGGGAAATTCTCCTTGTAAGTAAGTAGCATAGGGAAATGCATAGAGAACAGTATGGAGAACTTGCATGTTGATGTTAGGGTGTAAAAGTTGAAAACAAGCACTACATGTACCCTATTCTTTAGTCCACACACATGAATGTGTGACTGTCGTTTGGTGGACAAAACTTGCGTGGGCAATGAAGAGAACACATAATCAAGATAGTCAAGTTAACATCAATCATAAACATCCTTTAATTCAAACTTTTAAGGAAACACATGGCTTGGCCATCTAAATTACACTCTAACAAGAAAAACGATTACAGAAATGTAATCAATAAGTTAAAACCCACAATGAAATATTTACAAAATAATTTACCATACTCTGGCAGAAAAGATTTATGTATACAGCTCTGGCAATAAAACTTTGTATTCTGGGGTAGAAACCTTTTTAAAAGTACTTGTTTTTTGACAATTTTTTCTAGGTACCCCATAAAAGTTTGCCAGCCAGATTTGCATGACTTGAAAGTTCTCCCATCCTAAGAAATAAAAGTTTAATTACTGAAACCATAAATTAGCTTTCAGCTGTTAAAACCCATAAAATTAAATAACTTAAATTCCCTCCTCTGATGCAAACAAGAAAAAATACCCAATGAACCATACATATTATTTACATTATTCAGTACGATAACTTACAAAATATCCCAGTTGTGGTTTTGTTGGTGACTATGCCTACAGGTCACTAAAACTGAATTTTATAACAATAATACAAAACAAATCTTAACTTATTGTGCACTTTACATTACAGTCATTACATCATCTGTCAACTTACCAAGAGTTCTTTAAAATTTGCTATCTTCTTTTAATCTCTTTTATAAGTTGATGCACAGCAAACTTAACACCATCTTCACCCAATAACATTTTGCCATAAGAAGCAGCCATGTTACGAACCTCTGGGCTAACCACCTTGACAAGGGCTGAACCAAATGATTCAGCGCTGAGTGACCGTGGGTGCCCAACAGACTCACCGACACCCATCCACATGACTTTATCACCCCAGTATGACTGATCAAACATAAAAGGGCACACAATCTGGGGAACACCACATCTTAGGGCCATACCAACTGTTCCACTTCCCCCATGATGCACTACAGATTGGCATAGTGGAAAGAGCTTAGAATGTGGGACATATTCCATGAGACAGTGGATGTTACAGTTCTGAAAGTTTTTGCACAACATTTCCCATGTTTTAAGGAGATTGGAATTGGGGGATAGTTGCAAGAGTGCTTTTTTCCCACATTGGACAAGACCTGAAAAACAAACAAATGAAAAAAGGATGACTATATAAAACTGTTAGAATCCATACATGACCCATTAACTCCCACGAGTGACCAAGACAGAATTTTTCCCAACAACATCTATACTAAATCAAGCAGACAAGTGATAAGAATAGAGAAAATATCAATTAAGAAATTATTAGTTGATCCACTACCAAATTCACCAAACTATCATCATGAGAAATGTATGGCAGACAGTAAGGAGAATTACAAATAAGATCTAACAGCTAAATTATACATGCATTTAGATCTGTTCTTACTCATGATCAAGGGGACAAACACATAGATATTGTCACCACAAGCAACATTTGCTTATTCACGAGTACATAAAATAAATTGTTTCCATGTTGCTGTGCACTTGTTCAATAATGGATCACAGGGGAAGCCAAAATGTGATAAGAACAGCAGTGATTCACTCAGCTGCACCTTGTCATCTGCTACCTTTATTCAATGACTGAAAAGATCCACGACAACATGGATTATATTTGTTAAATATAGACTGAAGTTGTATTCTCAAAACCATTCTTAGGAGGTACTTCTGTGAACAACTCATCCACCAATGTTGCATTAGAAGTGAACGAGACCTTATATTCAAATATTAAGCATCTCATCAGCAGTAAATTTTGATTTCTTGTAAAAATAGAGAATATCGTACATGAAAACCACTCAGTTTTTGGAAAAGTTAAAGTATGTATGTAATTATGTAGTATTAACTCTTAAGTTAATAGGAACAGTACATGTACCTTCATTAAGCACCCCAAGAAGCTCAACGCAATCAACACTCGAGAAAAATCCCAGCTCTTCCATTGAGCCAAACCCAATATATACTGGTCTTTCACCACTCCCCTTAAAGCTGGAAAAGAAATCTGGCAATGTGCTGTAACCTGATGCTGGATGGTACACCTTGATGTCATTAATGGGTTCATCTGGGAGTTCCAGGAACCAGTAACCACACAGAACAACACTGCAAATACAAGGAGATAACCAGTATGTGACCAAATGAGTTCCATCATTCTCAGAGTAGTGGATAGATAGCACAATTCCTTATATTGCTAGGGTGTTTTAAGACTGGGACTTTGCTGGCCACCAGTAAAATCTGAGTGCTTCCTGATTCTTGAAACCCTGGTATAGAGTAAAGACTGAATTTCAGAGGTAGCAAGGGTGATAATTCCAGATATTTTGCCGGGAAGCTTTTGAGGTTACCAGCATATGGCTTTGTGGGTTTATCTCTGATTACCTTACCTCCTAAAAGTGCAACTTACTATACCCTTATAGCACAAACAAAACCCAGTCCCTACCTCTTTTTTGTAACAAAAGATAAACTGAGAAATTGTATTACCAACTGCATGAACCTACTTTTCTGGCCAGTAAGGAGGCTTCTCAATCACTTTTGGGCTGATCCCATACAGAAGGGTGGTAGATGGGTGGAGTCTGTCATCAGGAGTCAGTTCAGCATAAGGGCACACAGGCAGACCAATACTGTCACAGAATTCCCCAAAGTCATCCAAGTAGAGTCTCCACATCCAGTGATCAATGTCACCATAACTCACTTCTCCTAGGAGTTATAACATAAAACTGCTAAGTTCCTCTGTGTGTGCACTTATGTATACAAGTATCCAACAAATGTTTTCTAATTTGTTCTGTTTAGTTCATAAATGGTTTAGGGTTAATGTAAAAAAATTCACAAAAAATTTTTATGCAGCACCTTGTTTTGAGTTCCGAAGTCGATGGTACAAATCAGGATAAGCATCAACAAATTTGCTTTCAAATGTTACAGGCGGAGTTCTAGAGAAAATTAAAGAATGTGAAAGTTGTGATTAAAGGCATCATTGGATACAAGCAAATAATAGGTTAATATCATAGTTTCAAAAAGTTTTAGTTACATTTTCAAATAATTTGATGTAATTCTTTACCTGGTAACAGCAAATGGAGAAGCTGCAACACATGGTACATCAAAGTATTTAGCAATAAACCATCCCTCGCAAGCAAAGAGGTTAAACACGATAGCATCTGCCCCTCGGCAGGCTCGCAAACTCCCGTGCATCTCAATGAGGCGATCTTGTTGCTGACTCTTGGAGAAACCTCTTCCACTACATACTTGAAGCTTATAAAAATAATAAAAGCATTTGAAATACAAATAAAGTGCAATTTATATTTCATCACATAACGATTGCAAAAATTTATAACTTGTGCTCAAAAAAAGGTCTGAGTCACGAGTATACTACACACCTGCTTTTTTTTTAAAGTGGTATCTTTGAAAACATCCCCCCTCACCCTAATTGGGCAAGGGGGTTGTGTCAAAAACAGTTTTGAGACATGGATGATGAATTAAGGTTTAAATGTAACTTTTTGTGACCCTCTTCTGACCTCATCTAATTTTATTAAACAGGTATTGTTCTAACATTTTGAAATTAGTACATGTACAAATAGTAAAAAGAAAGCAACAAAAACAGAGCAATCAACTTGTGACTTTTATATACACCTTCAAAACATCTATGTTCATTTCTCTACTGACTGATTCCTTTCCTGTTTGAATGACAGAGTAATACTGTGGTTTCACCCTCACTGAGTGTGCACAGACCACCCCTCCTGTTGGTTCCCAAGTGGGATGTTGGAAAAACATGAGGAAAGTTTGTAAATCACAAGGTGGAGGTGAATAGTTTACAAAATTTTCTAGTGTTCTCCTAACATCCTGCATGGGTTACTACACTAGTGAACTGATAGAAAGTGTGGTCTATTACTTAAATAAAATAAACTTAACACAAAACACAGTATATTTTAGTCTTTTATAGGTTTACCAGTGCAGTAAATGACAGATTTTTACCAATAATGGTGCTTGTGGTATCTCAGTAATTTAAAAATGGGCATAATGAGAATATTACATACAAGGGTATATCCATTTTGACCACTACTATCATAAAATGAAGAAAGCTCTTCCACTAATTTCAAAATGTCTTTCTCAATTAATTAAACAGCTAGTGGCTAAATTATTCTCATGCTAATTAAGCTACTGGCTAGACCTTTCTTACTTAATTATCTTTAGTTCTTGGCTTCACCTGCCTCAACACTTACCTCTAGTTTCTCAAGACTCCGAGGTCCACTGTCTTTTCCAAGGTCATCAACAGCCATAAAATCCACATCATTCTTTTTGAGAATGCCGTCAAATTTGAGTCTGTGACATGCATGAGTTGCTAGGGTGCAGTTATCTGTGGGGTTGTTTTGTCTAAAGGAAAGAATACAAAACAAAAGATAGTCGCTCCACTCTTTGGCTCGACCTTCGCCAAATTAAGGGGAAAGTTATTCATTCGTCACAATTTGGAAACTATGAAAAGAAAAATTTTAAAAAACGTCTTCACTCGATCCACAAGGTTATCAAATCTATGTTTTCTGGTAAAAAGGTCAAAAAAATAAAAATCAAATACCTAGAATGCCCTGTAGAAGACGCCTTCGAGAAAGAAAACAACAGATAAATTATCACGCAAAATGTGACTCTTGCATATTTCCTCCTAGGTTAGCTCACCATGGTCAAAAGAGACATATCGAAATGGGATAAGTACATTATTTTTCAAAACGATATTGATCTAAATAATTCAACAGGAATTAACACACGCTTGATAGCTTATGTAGTAAAATTTAGAACGCAGATAAACACGAGCAGTCGTTCGAAACAGTGCACCTCTATCAGAGTAAACAAAGCATTGTTTGCATAGCAAGTGGTCTCTGAAAACGAAGGCAATTTTTTTATCATTTTGGGGGACGTCAATCGAAAGAGAATTAGTTCAGGATGTTTACTAATATGCGCGAACATAACCCAAATAAAAGGAAGTCTCCATTGAAAAACGGTAAAACATGAAAACGAGTAAAAATATATATATTTTTACAGTGGTATCATTGTTTTCCTTTTGCTAACGTACACATAACGTGGAGATAAATATATTGTCATCCACATGCCAAATATTATTCTAACTCAATACTAAGTACTTAAAACCTAAAATCACAGCATGATGCTGGCAACAAGCCATAATATTTGACAAATAAGTATCTGCACCGGTGTGCAAAGAGGATGGAATAATTATGAGAATGATAAGCTGATTAGCAAGCACTTGAAAACTTACTTGAAGCCGACGGCAAGTGATAGTAAAGGAGCGATATCGCCCCTTGAACCTTTACAGAGGAAAACCACTCTCATTTCTCCTGAATGGTCAAAGAAACTTCATTGATTTTTGTGTCTAGAAAAGTAATCTACGTACGGACGCCGAAGTGAACGCTAGAAAGAGCGTCGTCTTATCTAATTTGTATACATTCAAATTTCTTTGTTTTGCGCTTAGTAACCAAGCTTTTAAAGAACGCGCGCCAACTTCACACAATCCACGTTCCACGCGAAAACATTCATTTATTGCCCACTGTGAGCTTTTCAGTACACAGAAAAAATTACGCGCTTCTGATCGGCTGAAAACGAATACATTCTCACGAGTGCAAAGTTGTAACACGGATGCAAACACGAGCGCAAATTACAAATAGCGCGCGCACGCTTTCAAAATTTCGTCTGTCTTGCCTTTCTGATGTTTTTTTACGTACATAACTATTAAGTAAGAGCATGATTACTCTTGTATTTTGATTTAATAAGCACATGTAAATATTTTAGTGACTAAAAAAATGCTCTTTCCCAACGAGCTCGTGCAATTTTGTTGTCTTAGTCGTCTAAGGGGGGTGAATTTTTCTTATCACCATTTAATTAAGACCACATTAGTGGTACTCAGTATCTGATAATGTGTTTGACGCATTAGACCGTGTTTTACCTCGGAAAGAAAAAGTGGAATCATGTAGAGCGTAAGGCTTTGGGTCATTACTCTTAAAGATGTTCACAATTTGAAATTACAATATGAATGAGGACAAGGTTTCCTAAGAGCAGTCGTAAATATTCCCATACAAACTCTTAAATTTTCGCCATAACTCTTATTACGCAAGATGATCATTCCAGAGCTGGAGCTTGGGCTGTCTGTGGTCAGATCCATTTCTTTACTTCAAACCATGAGCATTAAGATAAGGAGTCTGTTATCTTTGTTTATCATATAGCTCTTTATTTCGTTCTAAAATGCTTCTCTTTCTACTTCAAGTTCGAGGCTTTTCTTTCGTTTTTGCAAAGGTAAACTAAATTATGTATAATGATTAAAAAGTTCTCTACACAGGTCTTTGAAGTCAAGATAAATTTTTCCCAAAATAAAAGACCTCCTATGGTCTGAAAAGATAAATAAATTCTCTTAATAATAATGATAATATTTAAGTTTCTTTATACCCAAATATTACAGGCGCTATCTCGCGATGTTTTCGGTGGTTTTCTTCGACGTGAAACTGAACTTTCAAACCAAAAAAATGTCAGTGTTATTACTGAAAGATAAAATACACAGATGAAAAATAGAGAACGATTAAGGTTGGAAAGAATAAATACGGATTGTAAATGTCAGTCTATCAAAAATTCGGACAAAACTTTTCGAAAAAGAAAAACCGTGAGGTAACGCCTTTGGGTGAGAATTTGTTTCATGAAAAGCAATTCACACTAACAAAGTAGGAACCTCTGTTGGAAACTAAAATATAATTGATTTCTATCTTTTAACTATTTTAAAGATATCTTTACAATATCATACTTGACAACGAAAATAACCAAAGTCAATATATACCACATGCACAGCTGCTTTTCGCGCGCGCTGATGGGCGATTGATTACCGAGTAATATTCCAAGATGATTACCAAGATGATTACCGAGTAAAATTCCGAGCAGCCAAGGAGACAAACTAATGCGTAGTTTTATATTTCCGATCATTTTAAGGATTGTGATAGAAATACCAAATTTCGGTTCTTGTGTGCAAGATACTGAAACCATTTTTCACCTTAGAGTAGGTGACAGCGGTGGATATTTACCTTCGAGAAGCGAACTGATGATGTCTTCGGACAAATATCAAAGCAAAGTTCATCATCAAGTAAAGACTATTGTTTTATATCATAAATATACGATGAGCGACTGATGAAAATGAAAGTAAAACGTGCAATAAATTGGATCTTCTTTCAGCCAAGTGTTTAACAGCAGTCTGTTTAAAATCTAACTTAGTCGGACTTCAGTACATACCTCTTAAAAACCGACTTCAAGGTCCGCACTCTAGGAAATGGACCGAGTTTTTCCGCTCGGATTGATGGCCCAGGCGCGAGGTGTACGGCCCATAAATCTGAGCGGAAAAACGACGTTTCGTAACATACAGTTTGGACTAGGAAAACGAGTTTAAGATATCTACCATATCTCTCTGTTCAAGCGGAGGGAGGCAATATCACTTCAAACTAACTTTTGAATTTAGCGGGACGCGCAATGAAACACGGCCCGCTAAGCTGAGCAACCATGGCGCACGTACTCACCGATTGAGAGATAAAATAAATTAAAGTTAAGTATTCATGTAGCAAGTATGGTTACCCTCACTTACAAATTAAAAGTTTTTGATGCAAAATGTATACGTTGAGGCCTCGAAGGTCAATAAGCAGATACCATCTTCTTCTTTACATGGTAAAATCTTGATTCTAGTCACTGTTATGCATCCATAATGATTAAATAAATTGAGATAAACCAAAAAGTGCTACGTTTTGTTTACTCTCCTGAAAGAAGAACCACGTCTTTAACCCTTTAAGTCCCAAGATCTCATTAGAAATTCTCCTCACTGTCTGCTATCTAGTTCTTCTAATGTTAGTTTGGAGAATTTGGTATTGGATGAATTTGTAATCACCAAACTGATATTTTTCTTTATTCTCATCACTTGTCTGTTTGATATTGTATTGATATTGTTAGGAGAACCTCTGTCATGGTCACTCATGGGAGTTAATGGGTTAATTGTATCCACATTCATTTGCAATCGTCAGTTCACTTTTCACCTGACAGCTACATGACCTCGTTTTAACCCTCTACACTCTTAAATCAGTACGCATATTCCTCATACTGATCTATATACATTTCCTTAAATGCTGACAAGGAGAATTTGTTTCACAATCAAGAACTTCTTCATTTAATAATTTCCTTTATCCTCGCAACATTAATGTGTGATTCTGGGGTGATATTGTAAGGAGAAATTAGATGCTTATCACTCTAAGGGGTCAAAGGATTAATATCTATTAATTTAACTCCCAAAACACCCAACGGTTTGTTGCCAAATAAAATCTTATGGAAAACGCACAAGTCAAAACGCCCTTTGAAAAGCAACGATACTATTTAGTTCTTTGCGCTCGGATATGTCTGGTATTGCGGAACTCGATTAGTTCTAAAATCCAGCACAGCCTCGTGAGGAAGAGCAGCCCTTCGTGGGTAAAAGGTGTAGTTCAGGGGATAATTAAGCAGATTTTCAACAGACGACATGTAAAGATCAGCAAACCGTACTAAGCGGCGAGTGAAATACGTCGAGTTGGTATATGTCCTAAAAACACTTCCAAATCTGGGGTTAAACAGCGCTTTCAACTTCAACCTGCAATACAATAAATCCCTTTTTAAGTTTCTTTGTGCGTAGCGACCACAAAATGACACCAGAGAAAACATTAATATGAAAAAAGATTTTAAGAAGGAGTTTCCACATATTTTGTCTTCTACACTATTCAAATGCAGGGTACAATGTATGTATGACTGCGCAAACGCAGGAGAATTGTCAGTAAATTCACCAGAATTACACAATGTATATGTATGGCTGCTGCGCGAACGCAGCAGAATTGTCAGTGACTTTCATATGAGTTTTTCTTACTTTAGTTCTCTTCTTTCTCGTTTCCATTCGTCAGTAAGTTGAGCCCGTTTACTGCTTGGAGGAAAGGCCTGTCGGAAAATAGGTAAACTTTAATTTGTTTGTAACAGTTCTGACGATTTGCTAGGTACAAGAGTTATAAGATTATTAGTGCAAAAAATTCTGGATTCTTACGGTACATCATTACAAAGTGAGATCTTACACTTGGACAACATTAACCCTAAGTGAAGCTTTACATGATAGCTCTACCGAGTAGCCTCTTCACATTACAGTTTATTGTACCTTCCCTAACCAATACGATGTTCACATGGTTAAAGAATTATTATAGCTTATTTTACAGCCAGACGACAAATAAAACCCTGAGGATGGGGTCTGATCACGAAAGCACGCTACTGACGTTTAGCCTGCGGGAAGGCCCTGATTATCAGTGCTGCAGGACGCGCGTTTCTCCGCCCGTGAGAGGATTGGAGACGAGTTGACTTAACCCCTTGCAAACCTCTGCTAGCTCGCATTCCTCAAGAGCTCATACTCTCTTAGAGATGGAGAAACGCACATACTGAAGCGCTTATAATGAGGACCTGTTCGCAAGCTGCTGACCTTCAGTTGGAGGATTAAATCTTGAAGATTGGTCAGCCACATCACAGAACGCTGAAACTCCAGTGAGTTGCCGTTCTTGATTTCACTCTGCCAAAAAAGAAAAGAGAAAATAGCAATTCTTAACGTGAAGTAGATTAATGATTACCTTCACAAGCTTTACTTCAAACAGTAGGGAAATACTGTTGCTTTGTCACGAGAGTGAAGAAAGTAAAAGTCCGAGTCTCCACCTGATCTAAACGCATAGCAAGTAGAAACAAGACACACGTGAGAAAAAACATATGTAGGTAATATAGAATTAACCGCATCTTTTTAGTTTTATTTTGGAGGTTAACTATTATTGCTGTAAAATATAATTAAAATTTAAGCCAACTGGTAAGCTATCGGAAGCCTGTCGGTTACAAGTCGGCCGACAATCGGCCAACAGTCGGTAGAGGGAGGCTGCTCTTTTCAATTATCCATATGTCAGTAAGAAAAGCTGATCGCAAATACCTCTAGTTCCGGGATGATGGCCCCAGTTCTCCACCCATGGTAAAGAACAGGATCCTAAAATAGACATAATAAACAGGAAAAAGAATTTCAGAACACAAAGTGCAGTTTCCAACGAGTAAAGAAAACACCACGGGAAAAGAAATTGTTTTTGTTTTTTCCTCTTCAAAAAGGTACTGGAGCATGATTCATGACAATGGATAGAAATCTAATGAATTGGTTTATCTTTCTTCTTGGTTTATGTCCGAATGTTTATAAAAATTGAAAACAATTATAGACAATCCAACTCACTCTTAAGTCACTGTAAACATGATCACCAAAGTACAGCACATTTGGACCGTACCAGCCCGTAAACTTTTTGAACTGCTCAATATTTCCCTGAAACATGATTTTGATAAGAAATAAATAAACAATTAAAAAAAAAAATAATTCAAACGTGCAGGCTGGCAAGTATGGTATGGGAAGCAGAAGTTCTTAAATGTTACTCACTTCAATATAAACTTGTCCTTTACACAAAGCCGAAACCTTCTGCCACATTGGACGATAGAGTCTTGTGTCCACGCATCTAAAAGGTCTGTAAATCAATTTAATGTTGATCAGATCAATCAGAAACTAAATGTTAATCCACAATAGATACTTTCATATCTTATAACCATTTGTGGAAAAAACCATAACCTTTTATACCCTAATATCAGTATGCATATTCTCCTTACTGTTCCCCATACATTTCCTAAGGTTCTAACAAAGAGAATTTTTTTATCAAAAAAAAAAAAAACTTCTTTAGTTGGTGATCATTTCATTTATTCTCATGACCTTAATGTTTGATTCAGGGGGGACACTGTAAGGAGAAATTAGATACTTGTCACTATTGGGGGTTCAAGAGTTAAGGAGGAAATTCACTCTGTTAGGTATTAAGCATCTGCTTGTTTCCTTGAGGGGAAAAAAACAAGAATGTGAGCAACAGTACTATAATGTTAATTACTGAAACCAGCAGTTGGGAGCCATTGCAGTCTCCACTCTTCCCTTTGACCAAATGGGTAACTGTAATTGTTTGTTTGGAGGAAATAAAAATTAAATTGCACTTGAAAGCAACACAATACCCACCTTGATGCCTGCTGATGATAAAAGGAAGGCTTGCGAGCTTGTGTTATAACAACATCAAATAGATCACGCCATCCTTTACCAATCATGTGATCCATACCTTTCTTCCTAGTTGTGGAACAACAGAAAAATAGCATAAATACCGACTCTGCTACGTACAATTAAGGATTATTTCAGGTAAGCCCACACATATCTAAGGGACTCTTTTAATAGTCTCCCAAGAAGACTGTAAGAAAACACATTTGAAACTGCACACACTGCAGACCTATGGGTAAATAGGATTAATGGAAGTTGCCAATATTTTTTAATCCAAAGCCAGGAGTAAAATATTCTACAGGGATCACCACTGAGACAATTCTGCACATCCACATTTGTGGTGTCCACAGGTGTACAAAAGTACAGTTAGGGCAGCAATGCAAGCTTTGATAAGTTTTCCTATCTTAGCCTATTGAAATACACTAACAGCCAGTTGAAAGTAAAGCCTTACAAAAAAAATCACAGTCTCTTCATGTAATCTTTAAATTTTGATTATTAGTAAGTACTTACACAAACTCAAAGCCACTGTTGGTGATTAAGAAAAGCATTTTCCCTGACGAAACAAGCCTCTGGAGTAGTTCTCCCAGATGAGGGCTCTTCTTAAGGTATTTATCTATCAAATAAAGTCACCAATTTAACATTTTACAGTTACTGTACCACACATATTACTCAGCATTCTCCTGTTTTATTTAAGTGGTATACAACTCAGTTATTGATTAAGAGTTGTGCTTTATATAATTTTGCTGATACTTATTTTGGTACTCATTCATTAGCAACATTTAAAATAGGCTGGCCCAGTTCTGCTTAAGGCTGGTTTAAATGAAGGCCTGTAAAAACAGTCTTAATATAACAAAATATTATAATAAAATACACAAACAAACTCAAAACACAAATTACAATTGTGCATATTAAGGAGCTGGAAAATGATGCAAATTTTTTTCAGGCATCATCCTTGTATCATCCATGATGCTACTGAAGAACAACATGCAACTCCCATGAGTGACCAAGACAAAATTTCTCATCATAGTATCAATACAATATCAAGCAGACAAGTGATGAAAATAGAGAAAAATACTAGGGGATTATTAGATGATCCAATACCAAATTCTTAGAACTAACATAACTATAATCAATTAAGAGATTCTTTAGCTGTTGATCATCTCTTCTATTCTAATGACCTTAAATGTTTGAATCAGGGGTGATGTGGAGGGGAGAAATAAGAAGCTTATTGCTCTCGGGGTCAGATGGTTAAAATAATATTGATCAACATGATACCATATCCTTTCAATACTTTACCTATATCATTTATGACGGCCTGATACATCTTTCCTGATTTGTGAACATTTTGCACTGCTTGCTGAATCAAGATAAAGAAACATTAATGTGAGTGCCATCTGTTTCAAACCTTTCAAAGGAAAATGTGAGACACTATTTGAAAGTCTCTCCTTTTTCCTAACAAAAAAACCATTCTTTTATTGTGTATTTTTTTTCATTTTTTTGTTTGCTTTACAAATCTGCTGTTCTATTTGATTTCAAAACATCAAGCCAAAATTTAGACCATAAAATTTAAGAAAATAAAGGTTTGTTATCAGCTTATTTTAACTTCCCTCTCAAACAATAATAATGCTATACAAAGAATGGCTTCAATTCTGAAAGAAAATGTTCCTTCTCCTCCAGCAGCCACAGGTATAATTTGTATAATAATCTTCATAGTGATGATAGATCTATCGTGGAGACCTTTAAAAATAATATTTTGGGTTCAAAAATTTAATGTTGAAATTTATGTTCATCAGAAAATAAAGTGTACTCTGAAGCAAGTACTTGTGTGACAATAAAAGAACAAAGAAGAGATGTGGCATGCACCCTTTTAAGTCAATCCATATCTAAAAGGTCTTAACTGTTAACATCAGTTTGCATGTTCTCCATACTGTTCTCTAAACATTTCCTTAGGTGTTGACAAGGAGAATTTGTTTTAACAATCACAAGTCTCTGAAGTTAGTGATCATCATCTTTATTCTTGTGACCTTAATGTGTGATTCAGGGGTGATATTGTAAGGAGAAATTGGATGCTAGTCACTCCTTAGGGGTCAAAGGTTTAATGTTACAGACTTGATCTAAAAGTGACTTACAGTTGCCCTATCATTCAAAGCTCTTCTTTGCGATTAAAACAATTCCTAATGGTTACTTACCTGACAGTCACGAAACAAATACTCTGGATCATAAGGGATACCTCTTTGTTGGAAAAACTGTGGCAAAACAAACAAAAATAACAATTAATGTATACATAATTACAGTAAATTCCAAAAATGAAAAAATTGTTATGCCCTACTGAAAGAAATCGTTCTATTCTACAATAGCACCCAGCCTTCAACTAAAGTCACAGAGCACCATATTGATCATCTGAGCCATCTTATTTCCTAAGCATATCCTTGCTAAAGTAAACAATTTCTAAGACTGGTGCTATGAGGTCCAAAAGAACAGTCTCAAATGTAACTCTTATCTTACTGAGGTAATTATGAAAAACAACTCCTTAGAAAAATTTGTGGGCCGACTAACAGCCAACTACTAGTAACTTAATTGTAGAAAAACTGATAAGGACCACTAAACACCTCAATGACGTTGGATATGAGGACCATCTCTGGATATGAAAACAGATCAATCATATGATGCATGGTCCGCCTTGGGCCCTAGAAAATCACCAAAAAAAAAAAAAGCTGCATCAGTTCAGATCATATATCTACCCTGCAGGTTGAAATGATTTCAACTTAATCAAGTTTTGCTTTGTATTTTTCTTTCTTTAAGGATCATGAAATGTTCCTTGAATAAGAAAAAAACAACAACAAACATATAAAATTAGTTTACAATCATTTTAACCTGACATCCAGTGAGTCACCTATTCACAGTTTCTGATCCTCAAAACATACTTACATTGAGAAAATTGGAAGGGTTGATCTTTGTTATGGCGAGATGTGTTCCTTCGTAAATTTTAAACACTTCATCATTGGGTACAGGTTGTAATCCCCTACAATTCAATGATTCAAATTTCAGCATACAATGACATTGATTGAGCTGCAGTTTGCTTATATGACATTAAACCCAAAATTGTTTGTACATAAGGAAGTAATAAATTACACTAGATTGCAAAAACTATGCACCAAAAATGCATAATCCATAAATGATAAGACCAAACAGCTTTCTGGGAAATTTTCACACAGAGACATAATCAGTAATTCACTTGTCTCATTATCAAGGCAAAATCTTTCTCTATGGTAACCTTTTTCTCTATGGGAAGCTTAGATAGCTTCCACCAATCACCACGATCAACTAATGGTGGGTAGCAAAGGGGTTATGATCCTGTTTCGCACACAGATTTTTCAAAAATTCACTTGTCATGTATATAAACCCTTTGTCACCCTCCTAATGGTGATTATCGTTTACAACTGGTTCATAAAGCAATAGGGTCTCATTGATCATTTTAAATGCTCTTTGGGTGTCAATGTTTTTGCATTTGAGTGCATACACTAACACCAACATTAACCTTACCTATAAACTGAACCCAACATAATGTTGTGGAATGCATCAACTTTAAGCAAAAGACCCTGAGAATTTGAGAAACCAACTCTTCAATGTTAATTATGATTTAAAGTCTGACTGGAAGTAAGAGACATTTTTATCATGACCAACATAGTAACATCATCCCAATAACTGCATTAATAAAAGGTGATTGCATTGGTTGCATTTGAACAAAACGACTCAATGGTTACGTTGTATGAATCGGAAGCTAACTTTTCAAAAAAGTGTTGACAAGGGGTTTTCTGCAAGTGCCCATATCTAACATTTTATTCCTCATTTGTAAGACAATGTTTTCAAAAATCACTTTCTTGTTGCCTTTCCTGTTCAGAGTAACAAAACCTTTTTCATTTGTTTTTGGTTCAGCAAAAGATTTAAATAACACAGGAGAAAGCTGGTCAGAGTCTCACCAAGTTTTTAATGCCCTTTCTTTAAAATCTAACCACACATTGACAAAAACATTTCAGGGGATACATTTCTCTGATTACAGAAAACCTCGTACCAAAAATCAGTTACAGGAGTTACAAAGTTTTAGTAAGTAAGAGTAAAGAGGGTGAGTTTCTAAAGAAACTTTGGTGCTGTGTCTGTGAGGGCATTGTTAGATAATGGTTTTATCAAGTGGGCTGATGATGTAAATTAGACACCGTAAAGAGTTTTCAAAGCCAACATTTCAAGCATTAGCCCTTTTTCAGAGCGAATGAAGAAGGACTAGCCCAATAGGTCTGGTTGAGAAACTCTTTACAGCAGCCAATTTACTTTAATGAGAGTAGTTTTAAGCACTAGTGGTTGACACATTGGTTTTTGAGTTGAGAGTAAAGGATCCAAACCCTGACCTAGCCTTTGTGTTGTGCTTGCAGAGGGACCCAGAACTCTCACCCTATCTCTCTCCACCCAGGAGAGTATAGGGGTACAAGCAAACTGTCAGGAAACCCCTGGGATAAACTAGCATCACATCAAGAAGGGTGTAGCATGATTGAAACTCAGTTTTTACGGAGAGACCCTGAATTCCAACAGCATCTCTCTCCATCAAGGGAACATAAGGTACCAGCAAACTGTCAGAGAATCCCTTTTAGATACAAGCATTACTTCAAGAAGGGCGTGGTGATACTCCTGGCCACCCTGTGCTACTGAAACCCAAATCAACTATGGCAGTATTGGCTCTCTGGCTCATAAGCTGAATTTGCTTTTCCTTTGAACACATGTGAAAAAAAGACCTAAGATTCCTGCATTTATTTAGCCATAAAAGAGTCTTCCATGTCATCAGTTGAATACATACACTGCTGGTGTCAAAGTGAAGTCCTCTAATGGCAAAATGAGGGTCATACTTCATGACTTCAATCCCTCTTGGATACTTGAGATTAAAAGAATATTCAAGAAATTATTATTTATACATGGCACAATTACTAAAGAAAATGAGGTTAGTAAGATGTATTTATTTAATCTCTGGGTTCAAATCCAGGTGGAAGATTTCAATTAGAACAAACTTTTGAATTTAGTGTGCCATTCAGTGAAATATGGTGTGCTAAATTGACTAATCATATTGCACATACTGTTACAATTATTTACTGCATGCTAAGTGACAATTGTTGAATAATCCTTGAGACAAAGTTGAAGGAATTATTCAACAATAATCAATGAACTTAAGGCAAATAATTGTTCTAGTATAACTGCTCAGGTGCTATCTAATTCTGTTGTTGAAACCATTCTGTTAAAATTGTTTTTATTTTTTGTACTGAAATAAGCAGACAACCTCCACTAGAATTTAACAGGTTTATTTGATTCAATCAGCATAAACTTTGTATCTCTCTTTTGAAAAGTGTTAAGCATCTTCTGCACTCTTTGGAATTGAATTTTCTTATATCATGTTGATCACTTCCTCTATAACATTGACAAGACACCAGACAGCCATTTGAAATGCTAAACACCTTGAGTGAGGTAATTATGGCAAGATATGACCCAATCCTTGACCAACCAGAGCATGTGCATCTCTATAATCACCAGAACAATTTCACAAAAGGCTACTAATGAATAAAAAGAAGAAGTCCTTGGCTCATACAAGTCTTAAAGAAATTTGGGTGGACATCATCTAACAAAGAATATGAGCTAAACTTACGCACAATAAAGAGGTATTGAAAACGGTATGTAGGTAATGTAACACACCCAGGATAAGACTTCAATTTCAATTTTTATGTGTCAGTAACACAGTAACTGACAACACAGCAAAATTAAATATTCTTCTCTATACTTGGTTTGACTGTTCTGCTGTAAAATTTGTGTTATTTATGGAAAAGAGGGTAAGGTAGCTAAGACTAAATGTCAAGATATTTATAAAAAAAAAACACCTAGGAGGTTTTCCCAAATCGATGAGCCCTGGATGAGTTTATATCCTGGAATTTACAGTATTTAATATTAAGACAAGATTATGAGTGTGAATTATCATGGCACTCTCAATACATAACTAATATCTAACTTCTGATGGATACAAAATATTTCATTTCAAGTCTCAATCATCCACTGAGCATATCCTTCTGTCTCTTTTTCCATGATCAATATAACATAAGATTTTATAGGGAAGTCATGAACACAATTATGCTCATTTTTGGGATCTTGCAGGCAATTCTTCTAATTTATGTTTCTTTGATCATAATTTTTCACTCAACAAATTTCATTTGACCTGTGGATTAAAGTCAAATTAAACAATAATCCTTGTAGATGAGCTACAGAATAAGAAAATGCAGAAAAGAAGCCTAAAAAACATTCACTGAACTTTCATTGAATTATGACCACCGTTTCCACTGGAAAGAAGAATCCTCTTAAAAGTGCCCTGCTCTCCACATGCAGCTTCATAACTAAATTGGTAGTAGTGCCCAACTACACGTAGTATCTTGGAGGCACTGCATTTTCTCAGGTTTCTTTTCTGCAAAATTACTGCTTAACCCTTTAACTCCAACAATCTAACTGTTAATTTTCCCCTCCAGCTGCCACACATTTACTTATAAATTTGTAACAAGAATTTGGTGTTTGATCAAGATCAACTTCCACCTGATAAGTTTGAGTATTCTCATCACTTGTTTACTGGATAATGTATGGATATCATCTTAATCACCTCTGGGAGTTAAAGGGTTAAATTGCAGCTCACCTGCAATGATCATTTCTTCAATTGATACATTCTTTGGTTAGCTAGTATTGAGTTTTTGGCATGACATCAAGATCATATCCTCGACTTGATCAACTTTTCTAAATTCAGCTCAGCATTACCTATTTATGCATCACAGATTGTGTATTGAAATTAAAAGCGTAATGTTATTATTCCTACCCCATATGTAGAAATCAGCTCTTTTACTGCCAGATCATAAATGAGGTAGTGAAGTGTGTTGGAGTAAGAGGCCAGTGTGTAATCATAATCAAACCCATACACTTCAATATGCCGAAGGCCAAGCTCATTATTGGCAAAGATCGTTTGCTCATCTATGAGGGTATAATTTTTTGACTCTGAAAAAGAAAAAATTGAACTGTCACTCTGGTATACACGACTACAGTTTTAGTGAAGGGTTATCACAGCTAAATGCCATTATATAATGTTTCAAGTTTATACATGGAGAAATTCACAGGAGGAACAGTAGGCGTAATTTCTTCCAGTCGGTAGTTATATATGGAAGATTTTACGCCTGTAACTAACGACGTAATTTCTTCCAGTCGGTGATATATATATATATGTAACATTTTACGCCAGTAGTATAAATTAATTATATTTTAATTTACTATAATTTAATCACCGACTGGGTTAGTGGCGTAAAATCTTACAGTATATAGACTGTGTTAGTCGCATATTACGCCGTTATATATATTCCCCATTCCACTCCGCGAGCTAACGAGTTAAACTCTGAGGTAACTGTGAAGCTTTCTAATCTTAGTTGTTCCAGGCAAGGATGCAAATACCCGCTAACTAAATGCAACGCTATTGAAAACATGGACTTGTTTACAAAACTACTTCGGCTCAATGGTAACATAATTTACCATTTATGAAGCATTTCCGTTCGTTGTACACACTTTCCAATTCCTCGATAGTCCTCACAGCTTTTGTGTGAACCTCACCACGGGCAACTTGAAAACAAGCAAGAAATTTAGGGGTACGTTGAACATAACCCCTAAACAGGCGAAAGCCCGCCATGTTGGACCATGTTGTATGACAACCACCTCGTCCGGGTGACCCACGGGCTTGTCAGGGAGGAGAGGGTTCGTTTCTTTGATCGAAAGCTGCATTGATGTTTGCGTTTGTTTGTTGTTATGAGTTGTTTCGATTCGGTTTTGCTTTTTTTAAAAGAAAAAAAATTCTTGTATTAGCACATCAACTGCCCAGAGAAGAGTAACTTAAATCCTTCGAAACGAAAAAAGGGGGAAAGGTTTCAGCACCCACAGTAAACTAGACGACATATCGATAAAACATGCTCGCTCCGATTGGCCAAAGAAATTACAGCTTTAAAATCAGACAGCACTATCTTTGTTTCAGCTTGCCTCGGGTAGCGAGTGTGGTCTTTTTGACCCTTGTATTATCAAGATAGTGATATTGTCTGCTTATTACTGTCTAACATGCATTTTTTCGCAATGTTACTTCTGAGAATTTGGTGTTCAGATACTGATGATTTTCTTTCTTTTTTTTAACGTAACCAACCTACTTTCCATTGTTCTGACATTGACTGTGAATATATGAAAATCATATATGTGAACTGCGGATGACGAAATGAATATGAAAGCAATCTTGAATGAAGACTACTTGAGGAGTAAAAAAAAAAGGTTCAAATCCCGTACAGGCCTGAATTTTTGTTTTAGGCATTATTTTAATTTCGCTACTGCTGTCGTGTTAATTACTGGGAAGATCGCTTTCATATTCTGTTCTGCAATTGTAAGGAGAATTTCCTTATTGATCTCTCTGAGGACAGTAAAGTGAAGTGATTTTGTTCACCACGAGGAGCTAAGGAGCGCTAAGTGTGACTCATTGTGGGACCAAAAAAAAAAGGGACCGATCATTATTCATATCGCCGGGGAAGGGGGGGGATGGGAAGGAGGATTTTAGAGGATCACTGAGTTTCAGGGGGAACAGAGGGGGAGTCAGTCGTCGTACACAGAGTATAAAAGGTGGACTATAGAACATTGATAGCCGGTTAACTACCGATCAGGGGAGATCATAAGAATTTTTCAGAGTCTTGAGGCCTCTTTATACAGAGGTAAGAGACCCCAGCTAGGCGAGGTAACCCGTCCAGCCGTGGTCGAAAAAGAGCCCGCGTTTACAACAACCCCAGGATTCCGAGGTGAAGATTCGCGAGTTTGTTATCGCACTTGCAATTAGGGAGTCGAAGATGTTATTTCAGCGACGTGTGGTGAATCGTTGCCGAAAAACCGTGATTTATTTTCCAATAAGATTTGGAGCACTTTCAAAGCAGTTATGCGCGACATCGACCCTCGTTTACGATCGATTTGTATATGCAAAAGAAGCATGCAGCTTATATTGAACTACACCGATTACATGTTTGAAACAAAAGGTTCGATGCAATTGATAGCCTGACTGTCCATCGTGACACAAATGATTAAATATACGTTCATTTATCCACAAAATCTTTTTCTACAACAAAAGGATCAACTGTCAGTTACATCTATTGTCACTAACTGTACAAACAAAACCTTTGTCTCGGTCGCGAGTATGAGTTTTTGGTAACGTCCTTAATCCTAAAAATTACAATTTCCTCGATGGTGATTGGTTAAAAAAAAACCCTATTTTCAACCATTTCACTTGACGTAATGTTATCGGACAGTTTCTTATCGGACAGTTTCAATAAGCCAATCACATTCAAAGTTGTAGTTTGAAAATCAACCAATCACATTGCTTTGATTGTAATCAATTTCAAAGCTACATGAAACAATTTAAACCTCCTTTGCCAGTCTTTTCATGCAATTTTTCCTTTCTTTCATAACTTGGCTCTCCTTCTTTTCTCAGAAATTGTAATTTTTTTCATTAATTGGTAATAAGACTTCGTGTGGTCCAATTCGGTCTGTAATCATACTCTTGATAAGCAAATCGGACTCCCGCTACGCAGTCGTCCGATTTTGCTATCACTTGTTAGATAACAGGCTACTCAGTGCCATTTACCATTACAAAATTTTGATGTGCAACCGTACGATTACACAAGCTTGACACGTGACCGTTCACGTGAAACATCCACAACGAATTTTTGTGACGTATTACCGAGATTTTTTTCAAATATAGAAAAATAGCCTGTGTAGCGTTAGTTAGCTAATTATAACATTACTGAAGATGAAACTGCGCTGTCTCTGTGATTTCTATTTTATTTATGTCTTTGTGATTTCTATTTTATTTACGTCTCAAGCATAGCGAGAAAAGGCAGACGAAAGTTCCTATTCCAGAAACTTTGAAAAGGAAGAAAAGAACTTGCTAACTCATGCTATTGAAGTTTCTATAAATAGAGAGATTACGAAATAGTTAGAACTTTCCAGAAGATGCTAGAAAGTTTCAGAACGAGGCTCAACTACTATAAGAGTGAAGTACATGTGCTCGTCAAGCGTCACACAGAAAACGTAAGCCGCGGAATTCTGAACTAACGTTTATTATCTCCTCAGTCAACTTTTTGCACCAAAGATGCCTGGAACCCCAGCTATAGGAATCGATCTTGGTACTACGTACTCGTGCGTTGGTGTAATGCAACATGGAAAGGTTGAAATTATCGCTAATGATCAGGGTAACAGAACAACTCCTAGTTACGTCGCTTTCACCGAAAATGAAAGACTCATCGGAGATGCGGCGAAGAATCAAGTCGCCCTCAACCCCACGAATACAGTGTTCGGTGAGTCTTTTTCTCTAGCGTTTTAGCTAAAATTAAACCTTAGTGCGAGAGAAATATTTTTCATTTTAAAAGTAGAAATGCTTGCGTGGGTAAAACTTGAAGGGGACGTAAGTTCTTTGTGTCCGCCATGTTGGTTTTCAATATGCTTACGAAATCATTTCTGTTCTTGCAGACGCGAAGCGTCTAATCGGGCGAAAGTATGACGAGGAGTCTGTCAGATCGGACCAGAAACACTGGCCTTTCGCGGTGAGTAATATTATCTCCGTGTAAGCTACGCCTGAATTTGTAAAACGTAAATTTGGAGTTTCCTCGGCCTCCTCGGGAAGTAGTTCGATGGTAATTGTTTTCACTTTCTTTTTCAGGTAATCAATGATGGTGGTCGACCAAAGATTCAAGTCGAATACAAAGGCGAGAAAAAGTCCTTCTTTGCGGAAGAGGTAAGCGTGTCTTAGGTTCATTCGTTTAAAAGTCAAATAGGGATGGTTTTATTCGTATTGCGTAATCTGACTAGTCGTCAACCACGCGCCTTCATCGTGTTCATGTGTAATTTTTTTGTTCTCTCTTTTAGATTTCCTCCATGGTTCTGACCAAAATGAAGGAAACTGCAGAGGCTTATCTTGGGTCCAAAGTCACCGATGCAGTTGTCACTGTTCCGGCATATTTCAATGACTCGCAGAGACAAGCCACGAAGGATGCTGGTAAGCTGTCAACACGCAACGGCAATCGACTCCATTTAACCTGTTGGAAGTAGTTGTGCCTTCTTCTCTGATACTACTTTCGTTCCTCTACACTTACGTTTGTTTCCAAGGTTATAAGGAGTGGGCTTTTTGTGGGGGGGGATTAAAATTTTTAAGCATGCGTAGCGGAGATGTACAAAGTTCACCTTCCACGTGTTTTTTCTACTCTCTCATTCTCACCCACACCCTTGTGGCGGTAGAAGAAGCAAATTACGTCACGAGACCGTACGAAGAGATAAAGTAACTTAACCCTTAGCTCCTAGATTAGATTTGTAATTCTCTTCACTGTTAACCGTACTATACTTATAATGTTAATTCAGAGAATTTAGTATTGGATCAACTAATTATCCCTAAATTGATGTTTCCTTTATTCTCATCACTTATCTGGTTGATATTGTAAAGAGAAATTCTTTCTTGGTCACTTGTGGGAGTTGAAGGTATAAGTTAACTAGGCTTAATTTTAAATTCTGAAAATGATGGTTTCTTGGTGTGAAGTTACATTCTCTTAATCTAAAACGTTTCACCAATTTTGAGTGCCTAAAATCTTGAACATAAATTTTCTTCAATGATTGTAAAAGCTTGAATGATTGGCCACCTAACATGTCTTCATTGGTGTTGTGAGGAACCAGATTAAATGTTATGCCTTACAAGTTTTGTCATGATTATCGTTTATTTTGTGTCATTTTATTTATTTTATGTTTTTTTTCCTCTTTTTTTCCACAAATTTTGCTTGGAATGTTTTTTTAAGGTATCTATGGTTCTCCCTGTTGATAACCTTTAGCAAGAGAAACAACAACCAACTTCTGTGTTTTAAACTTATTCCATGTATTAACTTTTGTAGGAGTCATTGCTGGCCTTAATGTTCTTCGCATAATCAATGAGCCAACTGCTGCCGCCATTGCCTATGGTTTGGACAAGAATGCTGCCAAAAACACAGAGCGTCATGTTCTCATCTTTGATCTTGGTGGAGGTACCTTTGATGTGTCTGTTCTTACAATTGATGATGGCATCTTTGAAGTGAAGTCAACCTGTGGTGATACCCATTTGGGAGGTGAGGACTTTGACAATCGTATGGTTGATTACTTCAAGAAAGAATTCCAGAAGAAATATAAGAAAGATATCTCAGGCAACAAGCGAGCCATGCGACGGTTGAGAACTTCTTGTGAAAGAGCCAAGAGGACCCTCTCTTCTAGTCATCAGGCCAATATTGAAATAGACTCTCTTTATGAGGGCATCGATTTCTATGAGCCATTCAGCCGTGCAAAGTTTGAAAAAGAAAATGGAGACCTTTTCCGTGCAACTTTGACTCCTGTTGAGAAGGCTCTGAAAGATGCAAAGTTGTCAAAGGAAAAAATTGATGAGATTGTCTTGGTGGGTGGCTCTACTCGCATTCCCAAAATCCAAGAGTTACTCAAAGATTACTTTGATGGCAAAGAGTTAAACAAGAGCATTAACCCTGATGAAGCTGTAGCTTATGGTGCAGCAGTACAGGCAGCCATCTTGCATGGAGACAAGAGTGAAGCTGTGTCAGACCTGCTGCTTCTGGATGTGGCTCCCTTGTCTCTGGGTATTGAGACTGCTGGAGGTGTTATGACAGCACTCATCCAACGCAACACAACAATCCCAACAAAGAAAAGTCAAGTCTTCACAACATATGCAGACAACCAACCTGCTGTTTTGATCCAAGTGTATGAAGGTGAACGTAGTATGACCAAAGACAATCATCCACTCGGAAAGTTTGAGCTCACTGGCATTCCTCCTGCTCCTCGTGGTGTTCCGCAAATTGAGGTCACATTTGATGTTGATGCCAATGGAATTATGAATGTTTCTGCAGTGGACAAAAGCACTGGAAAAGAAAACAAGATTGTCATCACAAATGACAAAGGTCGATTGTCCAAAGAAGACATAGAGCGCATGGTGAAAGAGGCTGAGAAGTTTAAAGACGATGATGACAAGCAGCGCGACAAAATTCAAGCCAAGAACTCTCTGGAGAGTTATGCTTACAACATGAAGAGTACAATTGAAGATGACAAAGTTAAAGACAAGATCAGTGAAGATGACAAAACGGTTATCTCCGATAAATGCAAAGAAGTCATTGATTGGTTGGATCAAAGTGATGGAGCCTCAAAGGAAGAGTTTGAGAGCAAGCAGAAGGAGCTTGAGAAGGTGTGCAATCCCATCATAACCAAGCTCTACCAGGGTGCAGGTGGAGCACCTGGTGGAATGCCTGGAGGTGGAATGCCTGGAGGACCAGGTGGCTTCCCTGGAGGACCAGGTGCCACACAGCAAGGAGAATCCTCAGGTCCCACTATTGAGGAAGTAGATTAAGTTTGATGAACTTACCTCTCAACTTTGTTGACAGGATATCTGCACTAGCTTATACTGTTGAGAATTTAACCAGTTAACTGTTTGAGTTACTGTCTTAGCAACAGTAGTTTCATTACACTATGTATCCTGCACATGTAAGAGCCAAAGAATAAAAGGTTTTATTCAAGAAAGACTGTGCAAGACATTTTTGGGGTCACTGTAAAATTAAAGTTTTTGGCTCATATCTGTTTTCTATGTTTCTTGAGAGCTCTGTATGTGTCCTACACATACACAATGGCACTATAAAATTGTACCACCATTGATCAGCAAAGACAGGCACATCTAAAAACCTTCTGAGTAAGGTACGTTGGCCTATGGAAATTCATCACTTCCAGAGTATATCAGGTTACTGGTAACTCAAGGTCGAATAAGTTGCAAGGAATGATAATAGCAGCATGTAGAGAAAAGTTAGTGTACCCCAGCTATTGCATCATGGAAAATTAATGAGAAAGGGTGGTGCTCCTTCACTGTGTTGGAAAGACATGTTTAACATCTTGAAGTAGAGCGCATTTAAACGTAATGCTCTGTGAGCAGGTCTCTTTTTGCATGTCACACAAAGTGCTTCTCCTTGGTATGAAATAGTTGACTGCCCATAGGAAGGTGTAAAAAGTGACTCGTAGCACTGCATCCATCAACTCCATATCTTTTTTTCTCAAATGATCACGTCTAGTAAAGCCCAGTTAAACCAAGGTCTACCTAACTATTGAAGATGGACAAATTTCTTGCTTTAGTTGCAATTCTTTCTCAATGTTTCACTCGGATTGCCATATAAGTGGGTTAACCAGTAATGAGTGATGCGCAACTTCACCCTTATGTTAATGTCTGACTATATGACTATCCTAAAAAAAACAAGTGCACCACAAAAGAAAGCAACTTTGAAAAGACAGGAAGAAAATCTGCCCACTCTGTCAAAGGTGTATGATTTTGAGGAGGTTGGTATTCTTAGAAGAGGACCCAGTCACTGTAAAAGATGACCATACATTTATTAAATTCTGAGTGAGACTAAAGTATCCATAAGAGTTAACCCAACATTCACCTCAATTCCATCCCTTGCACAAAAATCAGTAGTTTGTATATTTTGTGATTACACCTTCGTTCCTTTCATTTTGCTTCAGATTGTTTTATTTTTTTTCTCAGGACAACCCATCATTTCTGAACACAGCTAAGGTATTTTAAATAGCTTGAACAACATCCTCAATGCTGTCTCTTTCATAAAAAGTGTGTTTACTCAATTGAGATCCTTTTGTTTTGTATGTTTTTTTTTTTTTTTTGCTCAAGAGTCAGTGAACCCTTTCTCTCCTTAGATTTCATTAAAGGTTTGCCTCGCTATCTTTCACACAACTCTTATGTTATTTTGGATAACTTGACATTGGATCAACAAATGATCCCCTGAATGTTGCTTTTCTTTATTCTTGTCATTTTTCTGCTTCACATTGTGTTGATATTGTAAGGAGAAACTCTGTATTGGTCACTGGCAGAAGTTAAAGAGTTAAGGTTGTAGTAGCTCAAATCATTTTGCTGGGTGTGAGAAAGTGGTCAGCAGGTGTGAGCTTCCTTAGCACTATATTGTCAAGTATAAAGTAATATATTGGAGGATAGATATAAAAGTGCTCAGTTTTCAGGCTGCTACTTTCTGCTAGCTGTCTGCTCTGCTTTTTTCAATCTCTTCTTGAGCTCAAGAGGCATCTTTTCATAGCACTTCTTGCACAGTGGCTGCATGTCAAATTCATGAAATTTGCTCCTGCCAAGAAAAAAGGGATTATCTGAACATGTGGAAAATTGACAACTTCAAGCAATGCCATCCCTCTTGAAATCAAGATTTCTTGCGGCTTTTAAACTCATAAAATTTAAATAGGTGATGTGGTACATGCAAGGTCAGAGCAAGGAGAGTTGTGATGAGATAGAAAGGCACTTGAAACAATTATAGTCCAGTAGTGCAAAAAAAAGCCAGCAATTACTCACTTGAGATTTAAAGAGATGTTGCATCCAATGCAAGTGAAATGCTGAACACACCAGCACTTGTGAAGGGCATTTACCACTGCATAATAAAGAAACAAATTCACTAACATGAATTTTAAATTAAAATACTCTGCAAAAACATATATTGTCACTAACAGTTCATTTTGGTTAGTTTGTGTTAGCTGGCATGAGAACAATTTTTTCAATCCACAAACAAGATCCCTGCCTGGGGTGTGAGAGCTTAAGGTTAAAGTTGAAAATTTGCTGTTCATCATTTTGTTTTGGTGGCTGTAACAACAACCTAATTTCAGAGCAAAATGGCTGTTACCAAGAGAGTTTCACCTTAGCACTACAACAGAATTCCCCAAATCTCAATGTATTTTATCTCTCTTTCTGGAAGGATAATGCTTTGGTTGATTCAGTCTGAGGGCAACTTCAATACTTAACAACAGAACCTAAAGCTTTATAAACATTATACCTCATAGAGGCCTGAATTTTTTTTTCAGGCCTTATTTTCACTACTGCCTAAATAGTGTTCATTACTGCTTTGATATTCATTTCTTAAACTGCAGTTCACACATGGTTTTCATATATTTGCAGTCATTGATTATAGGTTCTGTTGTTAAGTATTGAAGTCGGCCTCAGACTGAATTAAAAAAACATCATTATGATATTGATAATGGTAATATTATTATAGTAATTATTTCTATTATCATTATCATCATCTTTCCCATCATCATCTTCATTATTATTAATATTATTATTATCCTTATTTCCATTGTTATTGTTCCTCACCATCTCCAACAATAGCTTTGTTGCATTCAAAGCATACATCACCAAACAGCTGCAAAAGAAACAGGAAAATGAGGATATCTGAATCTCATAACATCATTAGGTTGTCAAAAGATTAAACCTATTCAATTAATACACTATCCTGGAACTAGTGAGTGTATTACCAAGTTGAAAATTAATGAGCTTTGTAATGATTCAGTTATATTGAACAAGAGCAAGTGAGGCAACTGCATGTTTAAGTTAAAAACTTAAAAAAAAAAGAAAAAAAAAAGTGATCAATTTATTTTCCACCCACCTCATTGTAGTGAGTTTCACAGTAGGCCAGTCCCTTCCTTTCATAGTAACGATGTCCATAGAAAGGCTTCTCACACTTAGCACACACAAAATGCTTGTAAAAAAAAAAAAATTCTCACTTAGCATCCACAAATTTCACCTCTCTCAAAACTTTACTTTTCCAGAGAATAAATTGGACTATAACCGACAAACAAACAAATGTCACTCTTACATGTACCACAGGATACTATGAAAATCCAAGTGATATAACAAGAATAATTTTGATCCCTTGGTCATATATATGGCTGAAAATCTTAAGAGTTTGTTTACCTCAACATGCCATGCTTTTCCAAGGGCATGTACCACACGCTCCTCAACAGGCCGCCTGAGATGAAAAATGTGTCACCAATAATTATTTTAGAAACAATTTTCATATCAACAGTTAACCCTTTAACTCTCAGAAGTGATTAAAATACAACTTTGCCATATGATATCCATACATTTGATTATCCAGCAAACAGGTGATGAGAATACTCAAACTTACAAGCAAGGGTTATCTTGATCAGACAATAAAATTTTTGTAATTTATTTACAAGGACAAGGAAATTTGTAGGGTGATTTGGGTTGTTCATTGGTCCAATTTTGTTACTGTGCTTTCTTGCTATCCTAATCCTAAAGCATGTTTTGCCTGTTCCAATGCCCTAATATGGTAAAATGCCATTATCGTGGAATAATAATTCTTGATATTCACCTGTAGGTGGACTATTATACTCAAATTGAAAATTAACTTGAAGGTGACTTGCATTTCATGTATACTTACCTACAAGCACCACAGATTGGTGTCCCCATTTTGTCATGGCATCTCAAACAGTACAACTCTGTGTCTCGCTTGCGACATAGATGGTCCAGCTCTTTGCTGGAAAGATCATTAAGAAAAAAAATGGGGAAAAGAAGCTTTTCAAAGGTGTTTCCTCACTTGCAGAAAATTCCTTAAAACTATTATCAAGAAATAATTTCCATCTTTTGAATTCTAAGTTTGAATACTAATTAAAAAAAATGATATAGTAATTATCTTGAAAGTCATTAGTTACACCATTGTTAAGTCACCAGTGTTATCCTTTTCAGTTGGTAACATGTCAAATTTACTTTCTGTAGCACCTCTTACTACAGCTTAAAATTGCTTTAAAAATTCAACAGGTAAAAGGATTGTTCTATCGGTTTGAAAATTTCCTTTACTTGTCGTGCTCAAAATAAGGGAGAACACAAGAGTCACTTTAGAGTGATGCAAAAAGGGGAATTTCTGATTGATTGTCACAAAACCAAAACCAAAGGGTTGACAAGAACACAAAGTAACTACAAGAAAACTGCTTGAAGCCCAGGAAAACACAAGGGACCAGGTCACAAATTATTTTAGTTTTTATAATCTGTTTGGTTGAGAGGATGGCATAACTTTCTAGACCAGTCAAAAAGTGATGTAAAGCAAAACCATTTGAAGCAATCCTGGATTACTTTCAACACTCCATTTAAAAGTTCTACATATGAAAAAAAAAAAAAAAACAATCAATATCTTACTTGCATGAGAAGCAGTTGTAATGCCAAGGATGCACAGGCTCACCCATGTACATCAAATGCTGTCCTTCAGGAATGTAAGTACTATTGACCACAGAAACAGTTTTAGTGTCTTCAAATACATTATTATATCTCTCAGTTCCGAGTACATGTGGGCACGAAAGAAAAACGGAAACAGAGTGGATGAACAAACCATCAACAATTCACTGTATACTTACTGACACTTGCGGCACACGTATCGTCCCGTTTCTGGAGAAAACAATTTTTTTTTCACTTTATAAGTAAGTTATAATAAAAGAAATGTCAATGAAATAAAAAAATTAATTAAACATACATAACAATTTTCATTACAATTATTCTTCAAGGGTAAAAAATGGCAAAGTACTTGGTATAATACCCTGCAAACAAAGTTTACTTTAAATTCTCAAGGAAGGTCAAAAAACATGCACACCATTATAACACACCATTATAAGTATTTTCTTACTTTTAGTCTTTTCATCTGCATTACATTTCTTGCACAGTGCCCTACAGTACAGGAAATAGTATTGGCTTGATGTAAATTAAAAAATTTACCTCTTTAACCCCCCCTACTGGTATTTCTCCTAACAGTCTCACCCCTGAATCAGAAATTAAGGTCATGAGAATGTATGAAATGATTGCAAACTCAAAGAAGCTCTTGATTGTTTGACAAATTCTCCTTATAAATACTATAAGAAATGAATAGAGAACAGCATGGAGAACTTGCATACTGATATTGGGGTGTAAAGAGTTGATATGTGAAAGAGGTGTTTAAGACTTATCACACTGAAAGCTAAAAGACAAACATTTTTAACGTCTAAATTCTTAGGCTGTCATTCAATAGGGCATGTATCCCATCTTGACGTAATTTTCTTTTTTTGCATGATAGAGCTACTTTGTGGCTTTCTGACTTGTTTTGATATGACAAATACCCTCCTCTACTTGTTTTCATTTGGTTGATTTTGGCCACACTTCCTTGAATTAACATGCACAAAAAAAAAATGGTTTTCATTCACAGTATCTTGTAAATACCATGAAAAGGAATTTTTTGATTAAAATGATTTACAATTTTTTTTTTACCATCTTTACTAATGAATTATACCTTTTTTACACCTCTTTTTCCATACACCCCTCAAATTCCCGAGATCTGATTGTTAATTCTCCCCTTGAAAATTACTTACAAGAACTTGGTATTAGACCATGATGACAACTTTTACCTGATAAGTTTGAGTATTCTCAGTACCTGTTTGCTGAACAGTGTGTGGATATTATCAGAGAGAAGTCAATTGTTATCACTTCTGGGGATTGAAAGATTAAATTTATGTGTGAGAAATATTTGCACTCTTTAAACTCACCTGCCTGCGTTTTTGACAAACCCAGAGTCTGCCAGTCCATCATTACAGATTTCACAACGGAAGCAATCAGGATGCCAGTTAGCTTGCATAGCCTTAATAACACGCCCAACCACAAATTTACCTACAAGGGAAATCTAAATGTTAGGGTGTTCAGTAACTGAGTCTTAAAAAATTTCACCCCATCACCTCTGCGATGTGAAAGGTAGACTCTCCAGACTGATAAAAATACCTAGCTTTGAAGAATATTTTTGAGAATTTGGTTTTAAATCCAGACATTATCATCAAATTGGAAATCTTTTTCAATCTTGCTGTTTTCTTACTTGATGGTGTACTTTGAATATGGGTCATTAAAAAGTTGGACAACCTTGGGAGTATCCAGGTTCATAGTCTACCCTCAGTTCTCATAAATTTAGACCTCTCAACCTTGAGTCCTGTGCACTAACCCTTTCACTCCCATGAGTGACCAAGACAGAATTTGTCCTCACAATATTGGCACAATATCAACCAGATAAGTGATGAAAATAAAGAAAAATATTAATTTGGGGATAATTTGTTAATCCAATACTAAATTCTCTGAACTAACATTATAGGAATTGTATGGTTGATAGTAAGGAGAATTACAATTTGATCTGGGAGTAAAAGGATTAACTGTGTGGCCAATGTGTCTCCCACTCAACAAAATTCTCAGAGTGACAAGATTTTGATAAGTATCTTATCTAGAAGCAGCAGCTATACTTCATGCTGTAGACAATGCAATTCTGGTAGTATAGGCCACTTTATGACTGTGTGCAGACTTAACCTTGTGTAATTGGGATGGTCCTTAGATGAAAAAAGCTGTTCAGCAAACATTGGGCACACTTACCACACTGTTTGCAACAAGGAGCAAACAAAGTCTGGAAGTCTTCTTCACAATATCTTCGCTCATCATACTAAAATACAAAGCATAGCCCATGAGATTTCAGAATGAGTTAATTCTCTTCTGACTGACGGCTTTAAATTCATACATGAACTGAGGGTCTAAGTACAGGTTACAGAAAGCCTAGTGGCTTAAGGTGAACTGTAATTCTTCCTTTTTGGCCAACAACCATTAAAAATTGCCTCAACATGCCAAATTGTCAATCCTACATGGCTGGATGTTAAGAATACATGTTGTGTTTTTAACACCCGATAAGCTTCTTTACCCCTTTCCACCCTAAAATCAGTATGCATATTTTCCATACTGTTCTCTAAACATTTCCTGGGGTGCAGACAAACAAATTAAGAGTATCTTTAGTTGCTGATCATTTCCTTTATTCTCATGACCTTAATGTTTGATCCAGGGGTGATATTGTAAGGAGAAGTTAGATGATAACATCAAAGGGTTAACATGAAAGCAGTCATATATTTTTCAAGTTTCTATTTTAAGCCAAGGTGTATAAATTCTCTTAAATAAAACAAAAACAAGCAAAAACTTGCCTCATAAAACAAGCCATCAGGAAAAGGCTGAAAGCATTGCACACAACTAGTAAAACAAAGCAAAAAGTGAAAGGTCACATTAAACAAAGCTAGCAAACCCTGATTTTAACTGTTTCTGAAATAATATTACTTTGTACGCAATCAAGTCAACCATTTCCATTCACAAAGTAACATTAATCCTACTTTTGCTTTAGTATAAAATGTGTAGAACACACATTTTGGGTAACTTATCCATGTGGCTATCTTATTTGTTAAAGAATGAGAAATTCATACTTCAATTTTATCTTTACCATGGTCACCACAAGTGAATTTGTTTTCAAATTGCTAGCCACTTGCACAAAATTGGACATGAAACTGATCGTTTAAAACTATATGCATGTAAAACATAATGCATGGCTTTAAAACATGTTTTAAATCTTACACCAAGTCCTAAATGAGTGCATGCAATGAAAGAGAGGGAAAAAGCATATTCTTAATTGACTCTAAGTATCATATTAATATACTTAAGTTAGTCTGACAGTTCATAATTGTCAAATCACAGGTATCCTGAGCTCACATCTCAAGAAAAAGCAAACAACTAATAGGTTGCACACTACGATTGTGACCATTGTTCAAATGGAGGTGGTTTGCACCAAGAGAATCCTTCCAATCTGCAATTTTCTCTCACCCAGGCATGATACAACCAGTTTCGTGTCCATATATCACAAGGTAAGTAAGGTGCATAAACTGAGAGTACCTCCTCTGTTCTAGATAAAATTCACCTTGGACCTGAGCTTCTTCCACAGCCATGTTCACTCTTGACATCAAAAGAATAGGCAGAAAGAGGCAGAATTGGAAATGCTGGTGGGAAACACTTGTTTTAAGTGTAATGCACAGGGAATTTTAGAATTGAGTCATTTTCCATGTTGCAGTGATCAGAGATTTTAAACTTTGGATGGAAAAATTGCCAATTTGAAGGATTTTCAGGGTGCAAACTGCCTCTGTGTGAACAATGGTCAAAATCATAGTGTGCAGCCTTGGCTTCATCTCATAGCAGGAATAACAGTGATGGTAAAGCAAGCTTAAAACAGCACAGAATGCCAGAAACCACAATGGACACACAAGGAGTGAGTAAGTATTATAAATCTTGCATGTAAAATGTTCATATTTGGGAATATTTAATGTTGTAAATCCACCATATTTCTTTCCTCATACTATTCCTTATAACGCATTCAAATTCACAACAGTTCCTCTGTTGAGAATTTGAATCCTTTAACACCGCGTCACACAGCAAATGAGGCTGTCATGAATTACTCTTGTGCTTTTTCTCAAGACATGAGCGCGGTATGCCTGTGATCAAATTTGGAGGTGTTTGTACACTGTTCAGGGCCCAACTAAGGAACAGCATACAAATAAAATTTACCTGGCCTAAAAAATGACAACAACAACAACAACAACAACAACAAAAACATTCAAATGTATTCAAGAAAAGGTAGTTTTTAGAATTTCAGAGTGATTACTCGACTGTGTAGAATTAATGTCAAACACCAAACTGAATACCCACTGAGATTAGAATTATTGTACAACAAATGAGGTAACACTGATTGAGTATTCAACCCGGCAATTTTTAATTTCCTTCCCCTTGAATTCACACCTAATTTTTGGGCAGACATGACTTCCGATCGCGAATAAAGGTGGGGTAAATTCCTGTAATTTTTTAAGGCAGCCTTCAGACTAAATGAACCAACAAATCTAACACAAACTAGTTCGAGAAAATGATTTATACTGATTTACAAAATTTCTCTCCGAAAAATTAAGGGTCATTAACACTAAAATGGCTTGAAAGTCAAACCTTATCTATAAAAGAGATTTCGGAACTAAAAACTGAATTCGATTAAATTGAAGCAGTTATCTCTCTAGGTCAGGCAGACGCCCGTGGATTAAAATTGTCTGTTGTAAGTATCACGTCATCTTTCGAGAAAATAAGAGAAATTTCACAAAGGCAACAGTGTCAATTAATTATTTATCTTAACTTCACAGAAATTAATGACTTACACAAAACAGCGTTCGTGTAGAATTTGACCATTGGAATTTACCATTCGCTCGTCAACCCCAAAACTCTCTTGACAAACCGCACAGATGGCGTTCCCCAGTCCGTAACCCGCTGGCGGTGGCATGTTGTTTTGAACTGGCATTCTTATTTGAAGGCAAGAAGAAAATCCGATCTGACTACCAAATAGTTATCACGAAGGTGAACGAAAGCCCTGAAACTGAGATTCTCACCGGGATTGACAATAACAACGAATGACTGTGGCCTCTCCTTGAAAAGTGAGATAACTGGGTACTAGCTGAACACAAGCTTCCACTGACGGGGTAGGGACGGTGGGGACAAGATTCCATTTGTTTTCAAGGAGCGTGACCCTCTGTGTGTCACGCCCAGCAACTACGTGTAGAGTAACCGGTGTGGAGGGCAAAATTTTTGACGTTCAAGGCACCCTCAATACTTTGTCTTACTTCCTCTGATGCACAGACAATCTCCGGGCGGGTCAGTCAGTTCCTTGGCCATCACAGGTTACTTAATAAAGGATTTCTTGAACAGGGTCAGAGTTTACTACCACAAAGGAAGCAAACCATCTAATGAATCCCGATACTAAATTCAATACCTGGTATCACAAAGTATCAGACTCAAGGCAGACGACAAATTAAAATAAATCATTTCACTTTCTTTTTATTCCATGATACTAAATCAGCAACCAATTAATTTGATCCCTGAGAATCATAGTCGTTTTCATATCTATTTGATATATATCCTAGGCTTAAATTCTAAGCATTGACTGACAGTCAGATCATGAGCTGATCAGAAGATATCTCCTCTAAAATAAGCCTTAACGTTGAAAATCTTTCTCATAAATAATCTTTTCAACTTCTTTCGCCTTCATTATGAGGCTGTGCTACTAACAATATTGTCCAGCCCCTCCCTTCCCTCCTCCCTTCCCTTTCACCCTTTCCCCCACGATCATTTGTTTCATTTTAGCGTCAACACTGAGTCTCCAAACATCATTAATATGCGGCAAAATTAGTTTAAAAGAAGCCTCTACTCTCTATCCCCTCTTCCACTTTCTAGCGAAGGGGCGTAATTTTGTTTTATATTGTATAAGTGGAGCGGACACAAAAAAACGAGGAAAGCTCATTAGGGTAGGTCAAGCGAGGGAGCGCAGAAAACAACTCAACGGAGTGAAAAATGATGTGTAAACGGGTGCCATTTCTTGCGTTCTTGCGCTCCTTCGCGCTCACGTCACGCTTCCTCGGCTCGCCTGCAAAACGCAAGAGAAAAAGGAATATGACACCTGCTATTTCATAAGCACTCTCAAGCGCTCAAAAACAAGGGTATTCAATCGATCAATTAGGGTAAAAGAAATTACCTCAAAAAGTCATTGAAAACTCAGAATAAACACATGTTAATAGCTTCACACTAAGGAAAACACGAGTGATCATGGCCTGGTCATGACTGATTCTGATTCGTTGAGCGACTGGCGTGAGTCTTCTGACTGATGGCAGAATGAAGGTAACGGAGCAAAACATCCCCCACAACTTTTGACATTCAATCAAAAATTTGCTCCATAGCATTGTTACAATGAATCATATTCTCACTAGAACTAGCCTCCTCTTGAGCCGTTGTTTAGGATATCCCCTAACGCTTCCCAATCAAGAAGTGGCTTCTCCATTCCATACCCCATAGAGGACACCTCGTGCAAAATTCGTCCATTTCCAGGGGTGGACGCTGCGTGACATCCCAAACAACAGCTGTGAAGGAGAGTAATCTGAAATGTACGTTCAATAAACATGCAAAATGGATTGACTCTTTTCAATACTCAAACGGGGTGTCCGGTTCATTTATCAACTTCTTCCAGAACATAAGCGAAGCCAGTCTTCCGCTCTGCGGAATGCATGTCGGAAAGACGGTTAGCATGGTACCGAGGTAGTTATATCCAGGCCCCACATAGTGATACTCGCTCAGGTAACCACAGGCGTCATGAGTTGCAGTGTGATACAGAATAGCATCTATTTCTTCTTTCTCTTTCCCCGTGATTCGATAATGTTTGTTGTTTGGGTTTGCGAGTTCTGTCCTACCTCCTGAAAGGCACAAGAAAAATTTAGCATTCGCATGATTTACATGGGGTAAATCAGGGAAGGGGGAAATTATTTTAATTTTGTGGGGATCAAAACCTTCTGAGGCTCGTAAGAGGGGTCACTTTTTTCAACTTTACTTTCGGCCAGATTTACTTTCAACCTTACCCTAACCTAACCCTAACCCTAAGCAATTCCGTTGTTATTTCGGCGGTGAAAAGAATTGTGCTTCTTCATTGTACACTTCAAAAAAAATCTTCGCTACAAGAAATTTCATTTTTGAAAATATTGCTAATGAACGCAGAAAACAGTAAGCCCGCACACTGCAAAAAATATATTTGAGGGATGCTAAACATAGAAGCCTCCATTTGGTACGAAAACATTCTCATATATTTGTCCTCGAAGCTTACAGTTTCGCTTTTGTACGCTTCTCTGAACAGACAATCTTCGCGGATAAATATGCGACCATGAAGGCTATTTTTTATTCATTAATTGGCTGTAAAAGGTTCTCCATGGATACAATTTTATTGATTTGGTTTAAGAAAAAAAAACCGTGAAAAAAAAAATTCCAGGTTAAACAAGCAAACATCAATTATGAGCCACGGTCTCAGTAGGGCCTCGAAAGAAATTGCAAATAGAGGGGGGCGTGTCCGAATAGAGCATGAAGCAAAATAGTTTCACACGAACCTGCAGGATGCAAAAGAACACCGAACACTGGGTCAAGGCCACCGAGCGTGTCTGCAATGATCTCTCCACATCTCAATTGCTGTTTGGTTCCCCAGTACCAATCGTCATCGCGTAAAACAGCTAAGGGCTTCTTGTTGTTGTGAATGCACTGGAAACACTGCTGTTCTTGAATATTATTCTCCATGTCCTCTCGCTGTCCGCGAATGAGCAAAAGTCTCTTGTAGTCTGTCATCATTTTTGTTTCGTAGAAACCAGGTCTGCCCTTCGTACGAAGCTTGACGACTTCCTTAAGAGTGCTTTCTGCCTCTGAAGAAAGTCCTTTACCATTCTCCACAAGATTGTAAAGCTTCCTCAAGTGTTTACCAAGGCTCTGAATTTCTTCATTTCTTGTAGCTACACTCGCTCTCCTGTCGCTAAAAGACGAGTAGAAGAGCTCTCTCAGATAACTTTCCCTTTGTTCCTTTGAGAGATACGAATGCATTTAAGTACACAAAACCGCGACAGCACTCTCAGCTCCAAAAGTGTGACAAGTCGGTAGAGCAAAATTCTTCATAACATACTTGGTAATCCTACACTTCTATTCCATATTCATTGAAATGTTGTTCCCGAAAATGTTGTCAAGAAAAATTGCCAATATTTTGACATCTGCTTACGTCAACACGCGTCTTGTCCTACAATTTGGTAATTTTGCAGGTGGTGAAATATTTTGCGGTTCCTGAATGGCCGTCGTTTGAAATTTTGCCATAATTCCTTTCTAGTAAAGGACTTGGTAACCAGTCAGAATTTGTCTTGACAGAAAACAAGTCATTAATCATGAATAAACCTGTTGTGGGTGGTTATCAGTAAAAGAGAGATGAAGTGTCTTCTCACGTGCGTCATTAGCTCGACAAATAAACTTTTTTTTTCGAGTAAATAAACTGGTATAGTGCTATTCTTTTTCAGACCTTGTCGGCTTCGAAACCGGTCATTTTGGTGCCTTTTGTGTCTTTTTCATTTTGTAAGTTTGCTCGATATTATTTTTTCTCATAACTTACTGGCAACTTAAGAATTCAACAATTACGCTCTCAAGAATAGGCCAGATACCAATCAATGCAAGTGTTGAAATTCCAAATGAAACGTTGCCGAGTGTTGCAATCACTCGCAGCTATGGGCATCGAAAATTGATTAACGCCATAGGCTAGGAAAACTTAAATTTCCTGTGAAGCGTTCCTAAAGTAATACTTTTTCTCACGAGTTGCGAGAAAATCTTCCAATTTACAAGCTTGACAAAGTACTAAAAAGTTTATACCCTGTACTTTTAATTACAACTCATCCCTTTTAGACACGGTAGATCTGATATGAGTCGTGCGCGTTAATGGTTTGCTTATCGACTGGATATTCCCTTTTATGCGATAAGCTCCATGATAAACGCGTTTTGGTGACTTCTTACTCATGATCTATTGGAGGACAGACGCAAAGATGACGTCACCATCGACTGTGTTTTGCTTTTTTGTATCATATAAAATAAATCGATTCAATGTTCCCGTGGGTCTGTACAGAAAAAGATCACAGAAGACTTCAAAATGTTGTAAGAACATCAGTGACACACTTGACTGCACCTCGTGTCCACCTCCCCCTTCCCCCCCATATTTTGACGTCATCTGTGAACAGACGCACGGCAACATGGAATCTAGTTGTGGACAATTGACACGAAAGGCGCGACGAATTTTGTTTGTGTGAGTATACACAGATATCTATCAGTACACAGGAGTTTCTCTGAGCACACAAGGGTATCAATGGGTTTGCATGAGTACACTAAGGTGCCCATGGTTAAGCAGCGGTTTACGCGAGCATACACGGGTACCTGGTTAAGAAAATTTATTTTATCTTTGCAATACTTTCTCTTTGAAGCTAAGCCAGTAATTGTAAAAATTTCGAATTTGAAAAACAGCACTTACAATCCATACTTTGAATATAACGAAGCGCCTCTAAAATCAATTTTCTCACAATTTCACTAGGGAACTAAGCGCCTTTGAAAAAATATCGTTTAAAATTTGCTTTACTGGATTAACTAGCCTTGCTCTGAAAAAAAAGTTACAATTTTACTTGGCAGGACAACTAAATAATTTTACGATAGAGAAAACATGGCTCTTAAATTTTGTTCAAAAACTGTTACACTCAGTTTAAGAGTACATTGTCCATTTTCCTGTCTCAAATTAATATGGGCAGAAGTCAAGCGAACTTTTTACAAACATTTATCGCCATTTGTATCGATCCGAATTGTCTTTCGCGAGTGGAATCCTCTAATGACTGGCGGTTGATGATTTCATGTTACTTAATCTTTTCTTATTTCAGTAGACTATGTTCTTTTACTTATGCCTCATGAGATTTCGTGGGCACCAGCCAATTCCCAAAATCAAATGTCACGCTGTCACCAGTCATCAAAGCCGCTGTTTCTCATCCACTTTCTGACCTCGTGAAGAGATTCACTTTCACTGTAGAAAAAGTGCTCATAGAAGCAAGTCATAAACTGCTCTGTGGCTGCGTCGCCCTTGGCGCACCGTGTCCCCAACATTGAGCGAGCACCGGATCCTAGGAACGCTTGAGCGATACCAATAACTCCCTCGATTCTAATCTGTCTAATAGCGCCGTGACAACAGCTAAGTACCACCAGTTAAGCTGGCAGCTTAACTTGTGAAATGTCCGCCATCGTCTAATGGTAGTCCTCTTCAGGAGGAATGCAGCTCGTTGGGATCTTAGGAGAAAGAGCAATCTCTCCTCTATCGGTACCACCATGGGCAGCAATATTTATCAGGCTCACTGAACTTATCCCTTGAAGTACATCCTGCTTTGTTGCGCAGTCTCCAACGATATCACGTCAAGAAAGCCTTCAAAGCATCTTCGTTTCCCCTTTTGCACATGGCAATGGTGCTATGTTTTTGCGTCTTTCCTTGTAAATCACCTCTCCAACCACAGGGTCACCCATTATCAGTGCATTAGTGTGACTGTGATATTCAGGGGAACTGTCTAGGACGAGCTTGAGAGTGGTCAGAGATGGAACGATACGAAGCCCGAATACCTCTGATAAATATTCGCCTCCTTTGTCAGAGCCGCGAATGGTATCTGGTACAGACAGGAATCAGGGACAATTATAATCTTGGGCTCCGTCAGTAGTTCGGCCGCAGGAGCAATCAATATCTTGTAACACAGGTGAAGATTTGTTCTGGACTGTTCGCTACCATGGTCACGAAAGACCGCTCACTGGTTTTCATAACAAAATGAAATTGATTCTAGGTCATCTAGGGATCGATCACCGCAATTCTGTTTGGGTAAAAATTCTAAGGCTGCGGAAGCTTTCTTTCAAATACTCATCTAGGTCAGGGACGAATCCTTTCACCACGTTTTTGTCCAGGCTCACAGTCTTTTTTAATAAGTGGATACCTCCTGTTGCTTTGAGAATCCAGAACCGAACATCCTCTTCTCCATCGGAGATGTAGAGGCAGGTAGAGTCAGTTCCTTTGCGACAATATTTTGAATCCCACACCATGATTGTGGATCGCCTGAGGGCTGCTCCTCAACAGAGTACAGAGCTGCAATCAAGTCGCTTAGGCCTCTTGCCCGTCCCAGGACCTTTCAGGGACGTTAAGCAAACCAGCAAAAACGTGATGTCAACGAAGACGTGGCAAAATAATAGATCTAATGGGCAGGACAATGGTTTAGCACGTGATTTTTTTAAAACCTAGTACGTTTCTTAGCCGTCCTTTGCCAAACAACAACATGAAATTACCAAAATTTGCGCTGAGAACGGGAACCCCGACAGCAAATTATGTAAGTTTCCATTTGGAAGTCAATGCTGCTCACATATATTTTGCAATCTTTCACCCGTTAAAATACGTTTTTTCACGTGATCGAAACGTATATCAGTAAATACATTTTATTCTCACTGAAACATGTAACCTAGATATCAGTGATGTGTTTCTCGTTTTTAAATTTAGTTAAATACCGCAAGCCTATGGAGCCCGCAGTATTCGATAAAGTTTTAAACCAATCAGATAACAGTATTTTAAGTCGTGAAACTCAAAATGGCTGTACTTCTATTAAGTTTGGCTTGTGTACTCAACGGAATGATATCCAGAAAGTGCCAACCGAGTAGAGCATACAGATTGTTTTGTTAGTCAAGATATGTTCAAAACATCAACAGGCACAAGAAAAATTGACTGTACACCGCGATACTTTTATTCTTTCGCGTTAAACCAGCAATGATACGACACGGAGCAAGATTCTTTGGATTATGACGTGACGTTTGGTCCATTTTTTTTTGTGTGGTTGATTGTGAGAAAAATTCTGCGGTTCTGTTACTAATCTACCAGTGGTATCATACGAAATCGGATGAAAATTATACGAAAGTTTGAGGTCAAAAGAATATGAGCAAGACAAGCTCCAAGGGGTAAGTTTCCACTTTTTGCAACATTCAATGAAATTGTTTTCCTTGTCCGAACGAGTGTTTGTGTTGTGAAAACGTGTGGCCAAATTTTATTTTAGGAGTAGTGCAAGGATAGGCACTTTACTAGAGCAACTACAAAAGCTGTGCCTCGCAGGTTCCGAGGCCAAGTATGATCAAGAGAAGCTTGATGTCGAACAGTTGCGTTACGTTACGAATAAAATTCAGCAACTTTTGTCTTCTCAAGGTAACGGTTACAGTTATGTAATTTAGCATCATGTTACCAAGCACAGAAATAAAGGTATACTAAATTTTCAAAGACTTATTTTTCTCCACGTTACCAGCATGCTCTCAGTCAGTTAGATAGTACTGAACGTTAATTGCTCACAATAAGGCGAATTGTCTTTATGGAACAGTTCTACTGTAAATATAGTAAGATTATTTTTTTACAATCAATCATGCATCACTTAAAAGTTGTTGTACGAATTAATTTTTATTTAACGGTTTTTTTTTCAAACATCTTTTACCATTTATGCATTGCAATAAATGAGGGAAAAATCAAAATTGTGCTAGCTTGGAAAATTTAAATAAATTTGAACCACACTTTGCATTTCTGACAATGGCAATAAGCATGTAACAACTTTTTGATAAACACTTTTGCAGAAAAATGTCGCAAGGATCTGACGACAAAATTTAGAGATGGACTGTCAACACTGCTTTTAGTTCTAGAGGTAAAGCTTTTTCATGAGAAACTTTAATCTTAAACATCTCAGTTTGTGGATCAAGTTTAAGTGAAAATTTAGGAAAATGTTTTGTTTCTTATAGATGTCAGCAGATACACAACTCATGCTGAACATTTTGGGTTGTCTGTGCGAACTGTTAACCACAGGTATCTGTGTTTTAACCCTCTATGCTCTTATGTCAGTATGCATTTTTTCCATACTGTTCCTTATATATTTCCTAAGGTGCTGATAAGGAGAATTTGTTGAACAGTCTATTGTTGGCCAGGCTGTCATTTCCTTTTTTTCTTTTAACCTCAATGTGTTATTTTGGGAAGAGAAATTAGATGCTAGTCACTCTTAGGGGTCATAAGGTTAACCATTCATAATGAGTTGAAGTGCGAAAGTTGTAGAAAGGGGGTAAGTTTCCAAAGAAACAATAGTGCCATGTGGATGGGAGAGTATAACAGCAAATGGAATGCTGCTCTGATGAATGGCTAATGCCCAAAATGTTAGCTTTAAAACTCTTTATGGTGGCCAATTTACGTTAACCCTTTAAATCCCAAGATCTGATTGTTAATTCTCCCCTCCAGCTGCTTAACATCTCCTTGTAAATTAGTTTTGAGAACTTGGTGCTAGATCAAGATAGCAGCATCTAGCTGATAAGTTTGAATATTCTCATTACCTTTTTGCTGATTAATGTATGGATATAATAGGGAGAAGTTTTATGTTGATCACTTCTGGGAGTTAAAGGGTTAAAACTTAGTTGGTAATACTAAATTACCTTAAAAGTTGTAGAGTTTGACTAATACTAAATGACAGGGTGTTAACAATTACCTGCACCATACAAATGACTTCTTCACGGCATTTACTCTGAAGAGGACCAAAACAGAACTTCCTAATACAGACAGATCGAAACTTAAACCAATCAGGACCCACTCACCAGATTTCTGTCTTACAGCTGATAACATTATGGCTAATCTGACCAATCAGTTTAGATAAACTAGACTTATAACACTCAACTGACAACAACAACTCTTCACTGGACTCTAAGATGACTTCTGCTAAGGTTTTCAAAACATCAGTCACCACTACCAACAAAAGTCCTTATAAGGATTACAGTCACCTGGACAATCAGATTACATAAACAAATGTTACCTGCTGGTTAAAACCATTTACTGTGGTACGGCTACTACGAAAGGAAGTCATGTAACTAGGCATAATTTGTAGACTATGATGATTTTGAAAACTAGAGTAGAAATAAAGATCACGATAGGGAAACATCATCTAAAATATAACTATCACGGCTAATTTTACTCAGCGGGTGATGTGGTGCATATGATAAACAAAATATATGATATGAAAAATCATATCACTAAGGGAAGCTTGAATCTATTGTCTGAATCAATATATGAAATGTTACTTAAACATTTAGATCATGTTAACCTTTTAACCCTATGAGTGATCAAGACAGAATTTCTCCTTCTTTGTTTTAACATTATACCCATTCTACAGAAATTTGTCATGAACTTACAATTTTTGTTGCCTGAAAACAGGTAAAAGGGCATCTGTTCTTGCAGCCAAGGGTACTGTAGATATCATACTAAGAGTGATTGTGAGTGCTAGTAAAGAAGCATCAGTTTGTGAAGAGGCCTTGCTGCTTTGCCACGTCATTTTAACAAAAGTTGGGCCAAAAGGTGAGATGTTAGATATATGTAAGTTAATACCTGGTGATCTTTTTGGGTATATGTAGACAGATAAATCTGAAAGGAACACGGCATTGGGTATTACTTGTTATCTAGAATATATTGACCTTGAGAGCCAGTAACCTCTTACAAAGAAAGCTGTGAAGTCTGCACATGGTTGACCCTGATATACATCATTGGGTTCAGATATTGACCACAGAAGAGTATTACTTGAATCATTGTGAATAGGGTAATTAGAGTCCCTATGTGTAGTACATGTTTAAGGGTGCTGAACTCGTAATCTGGTGGTCCTCCATCCTGCTATTCGCTGGATTTGTTCTCGGTCACCCCTATTTCAACTCCGTGGCTGCACTTTGTAAATAGCCAACTGGTCTGCCTCCTGCCAGTTGGGATTTTCAAGTGCTTTATGTTGCCTTGAATCATTTGTTTCTTTCTCTTTCTTAATGTTAAGTGCTTGGGGGCTTGCAATAAGCGCTACATGAATAATTAATTTAATTTTGATATAGTAGAGATTTAGGTTACCAGGTACTGTCTCTGAAGTACTTTTGTTGTCATGTTCCTGAAGAAAATCTCAATTGAGTGGTTTAGTATCACTTAAAATCAGGGGCCATGCTAAACCAAACCTTGCAGTCAAGAGGAAAATTGAAAGAGGCCTGGCTTAGAAAATCACATAAATGTATCAGTTCTCAAAGGGAAATGACACTCTTTTGCTCACACGTTATGGAGCATGTCTTGTCAAAATGAATTCTTCTTGTCAGTGAAAGAGCTACCTGTTGCTGTATTTATTTTTGTTCAGTAATTGTTTGTAAAACTACCTCTGAGGGAGATTTTGGCATCGTGGTTTAGTTCAGTCAGGAATACAAAATAAGCAAGAATAAACCAAGAAAAAACAAGGGTGACCAGGTTGGAGAATATTGAAATGGACTGAAATTAAAAACTCAGAGATGTGCAATCCATCCACAATTTACCTCCCAAGATCTGCTCATTAATTCTTCATGCTTTCTGCTTGTTCACAGATCGTAAACTTTGTGTGAAAGCTCGTTTGACTGGAGCTCTCCAAGTCACAATGAATATGGTGAAGAACAATACAACATTCTTTAAGGTTCTACAACCTGCATTACAAGTCCTTAAACTTTACTCTGCCAATTGTAAGTTATCAAACTGTACATGTTCAACTCTGCCATACATTGCTTACATGCATTGTCATAAATTGGGGGAATTTAAGCTTCATCTTCATCTTTAGTCACCTGTTTTTGTGTCATTCTTTCTTTCGTCTTCTGATTCCTATGAAATTATAAGATGAAGGCTTGATTTACAAATAATTAATATAAATACATGGTGTGTCCTAAATCTCGACTATGGCCACTTTACATGCAGTTGAAGAGGAGATTCTAAAGGAGGTCTAAAAAAGGCTCTACATAGCACCCCTACCACACAAAATGTGTGACTTCAGATTATGATCAGCTGATAGTCCCACAGATCATTGCCTCATCAGTCATAGTCACAAATTTTGGGGTCAGTGACTTGCTACATGCTAATTTTTAGGGGGTGCTTTTGGATGTACAGTCTCACCTGTGGTAAGCAGCATTATATTATGTGGTCACTCTGAATTAAGCAGTCAGTTGTCAAAGTCTCGCATTTGTTTACCCTTAATTACTGTAATTTTCACCTTTAGTTAGTAGTCATCTCAATTGGTTGTGGTCACCCTTTACCGAGTCCTCTACTTATACTGAACAATAACTTAAAGCAGAACCACTCTAAGAAAACTAAGAATAATCTTTCAGGGAGGTTAAATTTAATCTAAGTTTATCTCCTGAAATTGTGGTTAGCAGTATTCTTCAGTGAGTTTTTTTCCTTTTTCAGAGCTTATTAACTCCCTGATCAATCAACAAACTTTTTGCAACCAGGAGCTCCTATCAGAGCTTGTTTACTCCCTGATCCACCAACAAACTTCATACAATTGGGAGCTCTTATCATAGCTCATTTACTCTCCCAATCAAGCCACAGATTTCTTGTGATCAGGAGCTTTTTTCAGAACTCATTAACTCCATGATTAACTGAAAAACTTCTTGTGACAAGGAGCTCTTACCAGGGCTCAGTGACTCCTCAGTTGACCGACAGACCTCTTGTGATTGGGAGCTCTCATCAGAGCTCATTGAATCCCCAATCAACCAACAACTTTCTGTCTTTTTGAGTGATCAAAATCTGCTATTTATTATTTTCATCATTTTTTACTATATTTTGTGAAATCAAGTTTTTTCTTGATTTCTTTAGCAACAGTTGCCATTTGAACTGTTAACCAACTAATGAAAATTATCCTGCATTAAGTAACTGCCAGAGTTAAATCACCCCTCCAAATTTTATTTTATTTGATTGAGTAGTTACCAATGTATTATTGAAAAGTTCCTGCACACATAAATACTGTACAATCAAACCTGTATTAAGGAGTTACCCATGGGGAATGGCAGAGTGACCGCTAAATGCAAGTTGACAGCTTAATACAGGTCCCTCAGATTAGGAGTATTATAAAAAAACAAACACAACACCACTTTATGCCATAATTAGCCACTTAATGTACAGAATCTTGCTCAAAAATACTACTTACTTTGAATTTGGGATAGAAATATGGATTAAAAATTGCTTGAGAGATTACTCTTGGTGTTATTTGAATGGTTCTGCTTTAAGTGACTGTTCAATACAGGTGAATGACAATACAGACAAGCCATTGGGACTTTGTCAAAGGTGACCCTAACTGCTCAATAGGGGTGACGTCTTAATAGAGGTGACAATTATAGTGATTAAGGTGAAACAAATTCAGAACTGTGGTAACCAACCGCTCGATATAGGGTGACCACTTGATACAGTGCTGCTTAATACATGTTCACCTTTATCATTTGGTACTTCCATCACCCCTAACAGCATTTCACTAGGTCCCCATCTGGTGACTATGGCTGACTTATCTAAGACCTTTTGTTATCAGGCTACCATGATTGGATGTCAAACCTTTGTGTGGTGGGGGTGCCACAAGTCAGCCTTTTTCTGGCTTCTCCTCCTCAGCCACTATTAATGATATATTCTCTCCAGAAGGAGTCATGATTCTAAACAAAGTTCAGTCACATGTTTCTGGCCATGTATGCTTTCTCTTCATCACTAGGGTTGTGTCTTAGGCAAGGCTAGATACTGTACCTTAGCCAGCTACTTGTTGTTGGAGGACATGAGTGAGCTATGTTGTATAAAAGTTTTTGAAACTGCACTCTTCATATATCTTAGATAAGTCAAGACCCTTCAAGCTTTCCTTTGATTCTTCTAAGAGTGCACTGTTGAATCTTGTTTTGAAGCTGTCAACTGCAATGCCCTGGCCAAAGCAGGAGCTGTTGGTGTTCTGTTTAGAGTGGTTAGCAGCTGTGGTCACAAGAGGGTTATCTGTTTAAAGTAAGAATGCATTTTTACCTTTTAGCTCTTGAAACGCTGGTATATCATTTGGTTTTGCATTTTATTTCTTAGATCACCATCAGATCTTTTACAGAGCTATTTTGTTGTTCTTTTGTTTTTGAACAAAATTGGCATTTCCAAATTATGTGGACAGAGCCTGATAATTTACTAGTAAGAACAATTTATTAGAGGGTGTTACATGTAATACAGTCAATTTTCACAAATGATTTCCTATTTTCTCTGTTTACATTGACTTTTAAATTAATGGCAGTTATTTTATCTTATTTTCCATGGTTTATTTTTAGAATAATCAGCTTTACATCTATTGATTAGAATTGAAATTCATAACCCTTTAACTCCCAGCAGTGATTAAAACATTTAACTTTTTCCTCTAATATCCATACATTACCCAGCAAACAGGTAATAAGAATACTCAAACTTATCAGGTATAAGTTGTTTTCTTGATTTAACATCAAATTCTTGTAAGTAATTTACAAGGAAATGTGCATCAGTAAGGGGGAGAATTAACACTCAGATCTTGGGAGTTAAAGGGCTGAAGGCACTGCATACCTCACAGTAGCTGTCACAGTGCCCCTTCAAGAATTGGGGTCATATTTTTTCAAGAACTGAAATTGCTTTGTTTTCCATTCGTTATCGAAGGCTGGTGTTGGAGATAATTGCTACCCTTGTAAAATCAAGTGAGTACTCCATTTTTTTTCATCAGTTAATCATATATTAAGTCATCTGATGGAATTGTTAGCCATCCAAAATCATTTGTAAGTCAGATGCCATTATAAAGAAATAAGTTATCTACGTCTGTTGTTCTTTGCATTCTTCAAAGTTGTTCAAACACAATGAATAGCAACAAAATAATTAGATTTGTAATCCCTAAGCACTTTTTATGTGAAAGCTGCTTTGTTGTTGAGCTACATGTAAATGAATAACCTGATTTATTATTGTAGTTATCTTGCTATATTCCCTATGTCACAGTTGTTGCAAATCATTTTTATGAGTTGTACAAGTTCAGACATCATAGGAATTTGATGTAGATAAGAATATAGTGCAACAAATATTGGTAATTGTGAAGAACAGCTCCCTGAAAATACCAAACAGTGACCTGAAAAATAAGAATCATTTTAATCCAGTGAGGTATTCATAAATTAATGTACCCATAATACAGTCATGAAGCATTAGCTGTTATTGCAATGTTGAGGGTACTATCTGCTCACCACAGATTACACTCAGAAGTCTGCTACAAAAAATTAGCAAGCTCGTTTGACTTTAAAGAGGCATATTTGTCCCATGAGGCATCCCTCCTTCAAAGAATGGTAGCACTTTTAAGTTTCTGTTCAGCAGATTTTACTAGACAGCTAAGCAGACTGAAAAAAATGTTAAGGGCTATTTAGTTACAATAAGGAACAGAGTTGGACTTGTTAATTGGGGATGGGGACTGCACACTCAAAATCTTACAATTTATCAAAGTTTTCTTTTTAAATTTAAAATTTAAAGTGGAACCACTCAAATAAAATTAGGAATAAAATGTGATTCATGTCTATCTTCCAAAATCAATGTTAATTGTATTTTTGAGCAAATTTTGTACATTATGTGGTCAATTATGGTATGAGATGGCGTTTATTTCCTTTTTAATAATACCCCTTTTCTGTGGAACCTTTAGTAAGCAGTCAATCTCTATTTAGTACTCAATACAGATTGGACTGTAAATTATTGGACAGTATAAACAACTGCCTTTACCATGTCTAAGCTTATGACAATATAGAAAGACTAGCAGAAAAGTTTTCTTCAGCAGAGGCTAAAAAACCAAGTAATCACCTTTGGCTGATCTCTTTTCTTTTTCCTACAGAGAGCTGTGCATCAAAAGCAGTCAGCTATGGAGCTGTTCCACTGCTGTTACAAATGTTTTGTGATTGGCAAAGAACAGATCATCATCACAGACAGACAAACATCAGAAAAGCTATTCTGAATGTGATCAAGAATATCACCATGTCAAGTATGTTAACCCTTTACTCCCCAACCTGTGAATACATATTCTCCATACTGTTCTCATCATTTCATTAGTTATTAACAAGGAGAATTTGTTTAGCAATCAGGAATGTCTTGAGAGGGGTGTTCATTTCCCATATTCTCATAACCTTAATGGTTTATCAAGTTGTGATAATGTATGGAGAAATTAGATGCTAGGTAGTCCTATGGGTTAAAGGGTTTATAGAGGAGACTACTGATTACATTGTTTGAATCTTTAAAATGTCACAAGGTACACTGTGGTTGATAGATGTTGCTTCTTGAAAGACAAATTGTTCACACCTGAAATGGCCAAAACATTGTGTAAACCAAAAAGAAATGTTGAGAAATATTGATTGTGAATGTTGCTTTGGATATCTTGCCCTCTCAATTTTTTTCTAGTCTGTAGAGAACTGGCTGTCCTCTGGTATTGCTACCCCACTTTTAAATTATTTTGAGTTAGTTGTTACAATGTTTGAAGGAAGAAATGGCCTAAATTATCCTGAATTAACTGTATCAAAGAATTGATAGTCAACTTGCTGCTTTGAATTGCAAACCAATAGAAATATCAAGAAAAGATGTTATTTGTTTGGTCATGCATGCTACAGTCAAACCTGTATTGCACGTAAGCGATCACCCATGGGGAATGAAAGGATTAGGGACTTTGACTACCAACCACTTAACACAGGGTGATTGCTTAATAAGGTGCAGATTTTATTTGTTTGGTTGTGCATGCTACAGTATTTGAGTGTTACAAAGAGAACTCATTAGTGTGCTAGCATCCTGTTCACGCCAGGATCAATAATGTTGAAAGCAGTATGTGCATAACTAGATGAGATTTATCAGTATGGTTAAATTTCTGAATTTTAGGAAGTGGTAAGAAGGCATTTATCCAAGCTGATGGTATTAAAACCCTGTACACTTTGTCACTGGAGACTTTGGAGTGTAAGTAATTTTTTTTCACACAAAATGTTTTAGACTATGTTACATGCTTTTTATTACATTTTACAGGGGATTCTTTTTTGTTCCATTTCAGGCCGCGAACTTGAAGGGGTAAACAATCTCAGCAGCCAGATTCTACGAAGATGTTTTCCAACTAACAAGCTTCCATTGTCAACCTTATCATCACCACTGACATTTGCTCTGTTAGATTTAGACAGCGCTGGCCACTCAGCTGTAGAAGATCTACTGGATGATAGTGGGGAAGGTGATTACAATATGCGGGTTGAAACACTCTCTACTGTATAGTTAAGTCTAAGGCAGAGATACCAACGTTGAAAATCTTTAGAGGTTTGACGTCGAATCACTCCCAACCTTCATTATTTGCTGTAAGGTTGTTTAATTTTTTTATAATAGAAATTATTTTATTAAAACAAAATTAGGTACTTTAATGTGGTAACCACCAGAAAACTTTGTCACTCCAACTTAAAATTTTGAGATCTCCTAAATTTTATAGATTTAAATTCTATTACACTTGAAATTCAGTGTCTTATGAGGAGTTGTATTTAATCCTATCAAGACACGTAGGAAGTAATCTTATGATCAAGGTATTTACTATGTATGTAGGTGAGTCTACTGATGTGGAATCAGAGGAAGAAGAAGATGACAGTGGAAGTGCAAGTCAAGATGATAAAGAGGGGCTTGAAAATGGCAACAAGGGTAAAAAGCCTGAGATTAATTCCTCAAATCAGAGCAAACAAGTCAAGACAAGAGATGATCTGGCTATGTATGAAAAGTACTTCCCAGAACTGTTTGAATTTCAGGTAAATAGTTGAAAAGGCAACATTCATCTTTCTGCAAAGTTCACCAGTAAGCAGTCATCTTGTGTGCTAAAGCAGGTTCTCTTAGCTTGTGCCAAAACATGTGTAGTATGGAGACTTCAAGATTATCACCACCAATTAGATCTGTTATCATATATTTGGAGTATATAGTGTGGGGTATTTGCCAGCTGAGAGGTCTGTTTGGTGAAAAAGTGCGACCAAGGACACAACATTTTTTCACTTTACATACTGACTCTGAGTTGGTAAATAACTAAGTATCTACCTTGTTCCTCTAGGAAAAAAAAGAGAACATGGCAAATTACTGGGTATTTGTCAAAGGTCAATTGAATAGCTTAAAATGTTAGTGAGTTTATTGTCGACTGATCTCCTTCATATGTATAAATGTACATTCAATTGCTTGTTAGTGTGGAGAATATGGATTTTTATCAAATAAACACACTTTCGGATCAATGTTAGGTTCCGAGCAACTACGCACCTACCTACCCCTCCCTTAACCAAACAAAAGCCCACTGATAGCAAGTTAATAAGGTTAATATCGGGTTTAGGGAGGGGTAGGTGCGCAGGTTTCTCAGACACTGACATTAATCTAATCTTTTTATCTATTCTCAACATCCGCTTGCCTGCTTGAAAAGCTGATGCAAGCATTGCCTCATTTTTTGATAACTTTGAAAAGTTTGAGGTTGATGTGTAATCATCCAAAATGTTTGTTGTTGTCATTCGTCAGGTTGAAGTTGCCGAGCCAATGGAAGATGACATGGTAACATCATCATATCCAATAGTAATTCCAACAGGTTCTGAAGAGCCCTTGTCCTGCTCGCCAACCGGACCAAGCCATCTGTCCAACCAGCTTGATTCTATGAATTTTGAAAGGTGGGGACATACTGCAGAGTTAATTAAAAATGAGGTCGAAAGTAGGGAGCCTCAGAAGATCATATTAGTTAAAGTGGCATGAAGGATAAACAAATCGAAATGTTGTAGAGGTGTAGGAAGGGAAATTTTGATTTAAAAAATTACGTTGAACATCAAGAAAGAAGTTTTTTTTTACGACCTTAGGAAAAGGAAAAAACTCTGATTACCCATGAGGAATCGACTCTCAGATTTACGTACTCCGCGCTCTGATGCTCTACCTCTGAGCCACAGAAACTCTCTATCACATTTGTTAGATGTAATTTATAAGAAATTTGTTTTTTGTCCGGGTCATATTTAGAGCGTGCACTCAGGTTAAAACATTTAACACAAGTGTTTTTATTTTACCTAAATTCGTCGCAAATAGTTGACGTTTGGTATATTGCTTAAGACATAATGAGATGTATACATTGACCAAAGCACACTGAGTGTCAATAAGTAAGGATTACCCCTCTCCTGTAAAAACCAGTGAACAGTGTTCAGATACTTTCAACCTTATTACTGAACACGGTAACAACGGAGAAGGCCGCCTCAAAAGCCCATTTAACCGCATGTGTTCACGGAAGTAAGAAACGAAAAAAAATTTAACCTCGGTTAAGTTTTAGATATGACTTTTGTTTATGTTGCTACAGTCCACCAACTTTGACACAAGCCACAGCGACACAAGAAGAGCTTACTCAGGAAGAGAGATCTTCATCCGCGAATTTCACCGCTAAGGTTGATAACAAAGGTACCTTTGAAAGTGTGCTGCCAATCGTCAAGACACCATCACCTGATGTGTACGGCCATTATCCACCGTCCGAGCCTGAACCACTGGGACAGAAAAAAACTGGACTACAGAGGTACAGGGCTTATCCAAATTTTTAAACGTGATGTCAAATTCTTAAAGGGTGCAAATGGTTTGAGACACTAGTCTTTAAAAATGTTTGTGGGAGGACGAATCAAATGGCGAGACAGAGAGCACTTCATAGTCTAAGATTAAAATGATTAAAAAGACGGGCAGCTTACGGACTAAAAACTGTTTGTTTCGCACTCGATTTAAAGGTCGGGGTAGACTGTGCCTAAGATAAAAAAAACAGTCGCGACCCAGTCCCCTCCTGAGCCTTTACTTCTTGTCCACGTTAGTCGGACCGTACAAGAAATAACAGACTCTCAGAAGTCTATGCCTTTTGAGAGAGCGCGTAAAAACCAATCTCCTTAAAGTTCTGAGTCACATGTACGTCGGTATATTTTGGTTGTTGTTGTTTTATTTTTACGATGTTAAAAGGTACATTTAACTCGAGCAAGATTGAAAAATACCAGTTTAGTAGGATATGACATATCATCGAGACTACGACGATCCAAAAGGGAACCGGGATTGTTTAATATGGTGATGTTAACAAAGAGATTCCACGTTCCCTTGCGTGTGTTTAATGAATATGTCACGGATGACATCAAACTGTTGTAAGAACAAGAAAGTGGCTCACGGCGCGCAGTTGAATGTGTTTCTGGTGGACTTACTACATTTTTACTTCATCTGTGATACATTAATATCTATATAATAAATATAGCCTTCATTCGGCGCGAAAATATACACTGATATTTGTCCGCTGACATTACCTGTTCTAAGATGCGAACAATTTTCCGTGAGCGAAGCTCGAGGAAAACTGAAAGCTTCGAGGAACAGATTATGTTTATGGACAAATATACGAGCATATTTCCGCGCAACTTGGAGGCTATTGTGGTTATTATCCTTCAAATATTTTGCAACGTGTGTGAAAAATGTTTACGAACAGCTTACTGCGTGGGATGTTTTCCTTTGAGTGTTTTCTGGTACGATTATATGAACAAATGAATATTTCCTTCTTCTGTAACAAGAATAAAACGCTCTCTCGTCTTGAATGAAATTTTAAACGGAGAATTATCGTAGTAGAGGTAAGGTTTGAAAATTATACTTGGATATTTCCAAGTTTTAGATGGGGAATATTTGATCAAGTGATGCGTTTAGACCATTCACGCACGAGCAAAAATATTTGATGGATCATATACTGGATTGTACATTCATTTTGATTGGTTCTTATGATCAAACATACATAAGTATATACATGTAGATTAGATGACGGCACCATCAACAACATTTTGCTTTCTCTATCTTGTAACACAGTCAAACGGATTCCGTGTTGCTGTGCGTTTGTTCACTATTAGATAACAGATGACGTGGTCATCATGGAAGTGGTAAAAAGAGGCGCAGTAGAGTGTGTCAATAACGTTCTTACCACACTTAAACGTCTTCTTTGATCTTACAGACGCACGGCAACATAGAACCCACTACTCATTCTTTTTTTCTTTTTTTTTTTTTAATTTTTGCAAACGAGGCATTGTTACCTTTTTATCCCGGCCTTGCCAAGATGACATTGATCCATCTGTGCTAGCGTTGTTTGTTGTTTTTCAGAACTATGATCTTTAGGGACATTGCACGACAGATTCATCCACAGAGAGTGATAAACAAAGTTGTATTTGATCTGGATCAGCTTTTAAGACAACCCGGTGACCCTGGAGGAGCACCTGACAACGGGTTATTAGCTGTGGCTAAAGAGCAACTCAAATTAGGACATGCACGGAAACATAGCAACTCCAGGTTTATACACAGAATAAACGCTTGTCTCATTTGTCAGTTTAATTTTTCAATGTGTGAATCAATCTTCTTCAAACTTAAACTTTCAAGATACAAGTTGTAATTCGCCCAGTTCTGACCACCATGGGTCTCCTCTCAAATCAGTCTAGAAAGTTAGGTGTTTGATCATGATAACACCTTCTGTTGTTAAGTTTGTTTGTTGTCATCGCCTATTTTGTGGTTGTTGTATCGGGATTGCGAAAATTTACTCACTGACCATTTGACCCCGAAAACTCCGTTCAAATGGTCATGATAGTTGATGATAGTTTCAACCACCACGCGCGTTTAAACACGAATTATCATGCACTATCATCGACTATCATTAAGTATCATGTAGTTTGGACGTGTTCAAATTCGAAATGATAATTGATGATAGTTTTTCGGTCCATAGTTTTGCCAACAAACGGGCTCAAACCGAAATGGCAAATGGTAAAATGACTGAAGTAGCCGTCAAAATTTCGCAGAATGTCTCCTAAGTCATTCTTATCATCTCCTGGTAGGATTCAGCATCTTTAAGTCGCAGCCTCTTGACTAAAATGTCATTTGCCACCAAAATTTCTGAGCGTACAATATTAGTTTACAATAACGTTTGTCAACTATCACCAACTAACATGAACTGTTTGAACGCAAACATGATAGCGAATGATAGTTAAAACTATCATCGACTATCATCAACCATCGTGACCGTTTGAACGGGGCTTAAGAGCTATGCGCATATGATTTCACCCAGCAGTATCGCTCTGAATCAAACATTAAGGTCATGAGAATAAAGGAAAAGATCGCGAACTTGATTGTTAGACAAATCCTCCCCGAAAGTACTATGACAAATAAATAGAGAACAGTATGGAGAACTTGCATACTGATGTTAGGATGTGGAAAATCAACCAGTGGATTTGTTTTCATTTTGCAGCATCTCTGAAGGAGAAAGATCCACTCCTGAGGAGACGGCCAGACCGCTGAAGTTTGAATCACGGTTTGAGAGTGGCAATCTACGCAAGGCCATTCAGGTAGTTATTGTGATTTTAGGTGCTTTAGTCGTGAAATTGGGAATTTTGTCGATGTGTGACGTTTTGGCTTTCCAATTGTGAATAATCCATGACTCGACTCGACAATACCCAAGACACTGTAACGCTCCAGGGCTTTGAGGCAGGGCTTATTGGCGAGGAATTCTCATTAGAGCGTGTTGGGGGGGGGTCTACCTGGCTTCAATGTAAGCTAATGGTTTAGTTTTTGGTTTTAGGGGAGGAGAGGAGGGGGGCTTATTAGAGAGGGAGATTCATTTGTTCGTTTAACCATGTGAATGTTAAGAAGTTATGAACTAGCCTATGAATGATCGAACATACTTGCCTTTTTCAACACATCTTATTTCTTAGGTGCGGGATTATGAGTATGATCTGGTTCTAAATCCTGATATCAACTGTAAACACCATCATCAGTGGTTTTATTTTGAGGTGGGTTCTTGCCCTCTTTTCATTGCGTACGACACAACTAACAGTTCCATGTAGTGGAAGATGTTTTTTCGTTTTGTCACGAGCGTGGGACAAAGATAATAGTCTGAATCCCTGTAAGGAATCGAACCTCAGACCTTCGGATTCCGTGCTCCGATGCTCTACCACTGAGCCACAGAGACTCTATGGTGAGCAAGGCCCATAACGAAGTTCATATATGACACGCGTCCTACATATTGCTAGGATCAGCAATGTCGTTAGCGTCATGTTTTGTAAATAGAATAAGAAAGATGGCGAGTTTTGAGCTCGGCAAAGAGATAGAAATCCTAGCAATATGCGGATGCTGATCCTAGCAGTAGGTCGATTACTCATGGGGATTCAAAATTTTTTTCTTTGCCCTACACAAGACGAAAAAACATCTATTTCTTTACTGGGCTCAAAGCTTAGCATCTTTCGAATTCTACTTTTATGTAGTTACAGCACTCTGATCGTCGGTATGAAAAGAGATAAACTTAGTCGGACGGACCATTAATAAGTGAAGGAGAGAGGGTGGGTGTGCAGAACTTTCACTTGGTATCCGGTACATTTTTTTCTGTATAATTTTGTCGGTAATATTTATTGTATGAAGTTTATGCCGCTGGGAAATTCTTGTCAGGGCTGGGCCGTCTGTGATGTTCTTTTTTCTTTACTTGGCTCACTATCTTTATTAAAACTATCGCTAATGGTCCTTCCCTATAGATAGGTAATGGAAATTGTTAAGAAAGACACAATGTCTTAGAAGGTTAAATAATCAATAGCCTCTATTTGGCGCAAAAATCTACTCGAATATTTGTCCACGGACATCTGTTACGAGATGCAAGAAGTGAGTCTACGGGGAACGGATAATATTTAAGGAAAATTATACGAGCATATTTTAGCGCCAACTGGAGGCTACGCGTAGGGAAAATTGTTTACGAACAGCTTACCGTTTATTGCGTGGGATGTTTACTCTCCAGTGTTCTCTGGCAAGGCTTTATGAGCACAAAAACATGCGTGTTCTTCTGTTACAACAGTTAAACGCCCTCTGATCTTGACTTAATTCTGACACGAAAACTTTTATCGTAGTGGACGTAGGGTTTGAAAATTGGTTAATATCACTAGGGGAATATCACCGGATATTCCTCAGTCTTAGCCGGAGCGTATTCGGTCGCATGACCCATTTAGACCAATCGCGCGCGAGATAAAATATTTGATGGATTACAATAGTGGATATTGGCCCTTCAAGTCTATGCATTTCTCTTCATTTCAGGTTAGCAATATGGATGCTGATATTCCTTACAAATTCAACATCGTTAATTGTGAGAAGATCAATAGTCAGTTCAACTTTGGTAAGTTGGTTTTTATGAGTAACAGAATTTCCATTTATTCGTGTAGGCTTTTCATGACACTGGTTGTTTCTTATGTTTTCTTCAAACTTTTTGCGGGAAGTTGGCGTGCGTTAGACCGGTGTATCGCACTCAGAAGGCCATCCGACCAAAAAATCGGTGCTCGCTGGGGTTGCAAAACTCACGAAGTACTCAGAAAGCTTAAGATGTTTCTTAAATTATGGAGAGCGCATTTCGATTTATTGTCGAAACGAAAACCAAAGGAACCGCAAAAGCTAATCAGAGGAAAAGAAAATGTAACAAGGAGCCAATGAGAACGCAGAGTCAAAATGGGCAAACAGCTTAAAGCGCGGGAAAACGTGGGTGACTAAGTCGTGGTTGGTTTTAGTTTTGAATCTGATTGGTTTAGAGGATAGCGCAAGCTTTGGACTCATCACAGAGCGACGTAAAGTAAACCTCCGCAATCCGGAATTTGAAAATTGCTTTGTAACTTGAAGATGATTTTTGGGGACATGATTCTGTTCTTGCAGGCTACAAACCTTTTTTAAGACTTAGTACGATTTCATAGTCGGGATGACATATGCATGGTTCCTCAAGGAAATGGTCTAGGTAACCCAATACTTTGTTCGCTATTGTAGGTATGCAACCAGTGATGTATTCCACATTAGAAGCTCAGGAAGACCGCGTCGGCTGGGTTCGAGTCGGGACTAATGTTTGTTATTATAGAAATTACTTCACACGGAGCCGTGAGGTGACTGGTGGACCGACCGGCAAAACCTACTACACGTCAACTTTCACCGTGACCTTCCCTCACACAAATGATACATGTTACTTCGCTTATCACTACCCCTACACCTTCACTATGCTTCAGGTAGGTCTTCCCATCTTACCTTGTCATCTTTCTGTGTCGAGGTTTGTACAGTGTTTGGAGTTTTTGAAGAAGTTCGAAAATCTTTCAGTTAGTTTTCCATGAAATATAAGGCCGGATTAACATCTGAAAAACTTCACTTAAAAAATCTAGAATGTTTTTTTATTAACAGGATGTTGTTTATTGAATGAAATGTTAGTCGTCTAATCGCATCTCTTTGACAAAATTTTTTAACAAAGTTTGAGAGACTTCTTCGGTTTAATCCGTGAATCTGCCATCATAGATATCAGAACACATTTTATCGTAGTTTATGTGTGTTTGTGCCGGTGTGTTTGTGCCGATGTGTTTTTAAGTAACCACGGAGAAGTGTTGAATTTCGCCTTAAAAACGTTTTTTGTAAATCTAGCCGTAAGACTCTTTATATCCTTCCTTCACCTCAAAGAAATCAAGACTAGAAAATGATATTCCGTTTTGGGTACCTTATTCTTTTTACGTAGAGTCACTTATCACGCTTGGAGTCCGGTTTTAGTACAAACGATATCTTTTACCGCCGCTTGACTCTGTGCAGCACTTTGGCGGGAAATCCTTGTGACGTCATCACCATCACGGCACAGCCTCAGGGCAGAGATGCAAAATCCATTGAGCTTCTGAGTAAGTGATTTGCGCCGTTCCTTGTGTTGGACAAAATTTGAGGTGTTGTTTTCAAAGGCACGATCTTTACTTTATACGTTTTAGGGAACAGGCCATATATTTTCCTCACAAGCCGTGTTCATCCCGGCGAAAGTAATTCAAGTTGGGTCATGAAAGGTAACGCGATTTTCATATGGTGAATTACATTCATTATGTGTTATCTTTTTTATTATTATTATTATTATTATTATTATTATTATTATTATTATTATTATCTTAGTCGAATCCTTCAAACAATGGTTTTAATAAAACCTGCGATTTATCGCCGCGTGTAAGACCTCTTCCCGCTGTAACGGGCCCTTTACAGGCACAGCAGCCCATAAAAACATCGGCAGCCGATTACAGAAAAAGTTATCGAAACCCTGCCTTAGAATGACCGAAGTGAAATAAATTGATTGTTCAGTTCGGGATAGTTATCAAATTTAATAACCCGGACCAAAACAAAACAGTAACCAATCGCTGCTCAGATTCACTTTCAGGTGACATGTTACTGAGACAACAATGTATTCCACATGGCGTCCGAAGGCCGAACAACACTGAGTGTTCTAAACCGATTGTTTTCGACTGGCGTCTTCTTCTTCTTTCTCAGTCTCAATAATTTTCATTCGTATTATTTTACTTACTTGGCGAACGGCGAAGCGCCCAGGTTTTTCAGCGCTCGTCTCGGTACGTTTCAACTGTATATCTGCGCAGAAGAAAAAAGTTTATTTTCAGTGATATTGCTACTTCATCAGAGAATCGTCCAAATAACAAACGGCTACAGCCCATGGGCGAAAAGAAAGATGAAATCGTAGCGTATTACCAGCGCGAAATCGTGTAAATGGCAGGATTGCTTTAAATAAAAGCTTCTCGAAACATGCGAGACGTTGGAGAATCCATACTGCTACTCACTTAACGTACCTCCACGGCCGCATCCACTCCTTCCTCTTCCATTTCTGATTTGACCGGTGAAAGCCTTCTCACCACTTCTCCGAGATATCCCTCGCTGCAATCGAATGGTAGATTACAAAAGTGCAGATTGAAACCTCTTCTGGGCCAGGAATACTTAAGGCAAGGGGAAATGTATGAACAGAATGGTGAACCAGCTACTGAATCTATTACCGACACAGCAGAGTGAAGAATTAATGTGTCTCCTTCACTTGCAAACGTGCGTGGTCTTACTCCAACTTATTGTCATCAAGGAACACCAACAGAGAATGAAAATATCCAATTAAGAGTGAAATTCCCTGACCTTGAAGAACTTTTTTTTCCTGACCATTTCCTGACTTGTGGCAATTAAGATTAAGTTAAATCTGTACTCAAGCCAAGTTGACTATCCAGCAGGAACTTATCCTTTGCATGAAGTGACAGCGGGCTCTCGTTTGACAAAGAATTAGTTTGGTTTTGGTTAATAGGATTCTCTTCGGGCAGTAACAGCACAATGAGAGGAACTATCATTGTTTCAAAAAGGTTTCCTTGCAAACTGAGTAAAGTGCAGTGATAAGAAATCGTAAGCAATGTTCAAATTATGACAAACAGAAAGATTAAAACCATCGTCGAAAACACAAAGTGGCGGTTGGCGACTGGTTTAGTGGTAAACCAAGACCATCCCATGCACTTTTTTCCTGCAGTTTGCATCGCGATAATTAACAGTTGCGTCGAAAGAAAATGGATTTAAGAACAGCTCGATATTTTTTTTTGACTCTGGAAAAATTCATCTTTTAACCTAAACTTTGGGGCAAAGCTTTTTGAAAAAGGTATCTCAATCAAACGTGTCATTTCAACTGTCCTGTTACATCTGCGCCCAAAATGTCGCCTCTATCACCTCATGACGACCACCATCTTGAGAACGCGCGAAGAGCGGTATCTATTTACTAATTTCCAATATAATTATTGGTATATACGGCGATTAATAACAAATAAACAGCGAAAATTTCGAATTGGGTACGAAAATCTTCGATTCTCGAAATGGTCGTCATGTTTTGACGTCACGTGGTTATCAAATCTGATAACTATCCCGGACTGCTTTTTGCAAAGACAAAAAGTAACGTTCATAAGGGTCTAAATTCTCGTTTCCATATGGCATTCGGATACTAGGAGATTGAAAATTATGCAATTCATACGAACAAAAGGAGTCGATTAAAGAGGAGATTCACAGTCTAATCGCACCAAAAAATGCGCTACCAAAACGTACTTTAAATTTGCTTCACCTTGAAACTTTTTCTTTGTACTGTGTAACCGTTGTACCTTGCTCTTCTGAGATCAAGACTAGTTATTTGGCTTTTTAGATTTTTTAAGACTTAATATTGATATTAACTTCAGTCTGTTAGCGAGCTCATGCCATATGTGACTCTACTGCACTACTCTACTCTACTTTTTTGTCTCACGCAGTATTGTTTTCTTATACAGGAGTTCTAGACTTTTTAATGAGCAACTTCTACACTGCACGTCATCTGCGGGAGACTTTCATCTTCAAGATTGTACCCATGCTTAACATTGACGGAGTTATCAATGGCTGGTAGGGTCTTACTCTTGTAGAAATTTAGCCGCTGTCCTTCCGTTTTATTGTTCAACGATTTTTTTAATATGTATATTTCTTCCACTTATACAGCACTTCTGAACGAGGGAATCAGTGTCTTTCTTGTGAATTTTTAGCCATGAATGATATCTGATGTGTGCAGTATTGTAAGAAATTTTTCTCAGTATTGCATTTTCGACCAATTCTTTTGGCACCGTCAGCTATTCTCCCCACCCACCCAACCCACCCACTCAATCCCCCACTTCCTCATGATCCATAAGGAGAAACTTTATACCTGTAAATAACCTTGCTCTGTAACCTTACAATACTGTGAATCTTTCCTGAAGTTAATTCATTTATAGAGCTAAATAGAGTTTCCTTTGATGAAATACAAAGACTTTTTTTATGGAGATTTTACCCTTGTTCTTTACAAAAATTTTGTTGTACCTTTTTTGCAGCCATCGATGTTCTCTGTCGGGTGACGATTTAAACAGGCGCTGGATCAATCCCAGCATGCTACTTCACCCCACTATTTATCACGTGAAAGGATTGCTGTTGTACTTACAGTCTATTGAAAAGACCCCTTTGGTGAGTAGCATTTACTTGTAGCCGTGAGACAGATCAATTGTGCCGAACCTAAGTTGTGTTAATCCCGGCTACTAAACAATTTTGAGCTGTTATATGATCATGTTGTTTCATTCTTTTACTAAGAAGACAGAGTTTAATATGCATGACTTACATGGTGTACCATCTTGGACAAATGAGAGGAACACAACAATCATTTCTTCCTCTCCCTAGTTCATAGTCGACAAAAAGGTGCGATTTGGTCCTCGCGCTTACTCATCATTCTCTCTTTTTTTCTCCTGAGCAAAATCGAAGCTGCTTTCAGATCAGCTACATTTTCCCTCGACAGAAGCTCTTCTCAACTCTCAGACCCCTTAAAGTGACTAGCATCTAATTTCTCCTTACAGTATCACTCTCGATTCTCACATAAAGGCCACGAGAATAAAGGAAATGATCACCAACTAAAGAAGCTCTTGACTGTTAAATAAATTCTCCTTGTCTACACCATAGGAAGGAAATGTATAGAGAACAGTGTGGAGAATATGCGTACTGATGTTAGGATGTAACAGGATTAAATCCGCCTCGTGTTCTTCTTGTAGGTTTATTGTGACTTCCATGGTCATTCACGTAAGAAGAACGTGTTTATGTATGGCTGCAGCACAGCTGCCACACTGGCTGCCAGTTCATCTAGTTCTGGTGAAGTCGACAGTAGTGACTTGGTAGATTCTGTCAGGGAACGTGTAGCTGAACTATCTGGCTCCGAATCCACCAGTAGCATGGACCCGAGTGACATAGAGGAAGATCCCGGATATAGGGTGAGTGTAAAAAAAAAAAAAAAAAAAAAAAAAAAAAACATACTTATCAACAAGACCTTTTTCCTGGGAGCTTGGAAGATGACAGAGATAATAGAGATACGCCCTGTGAGCATTGAACTTTTGCAAAGATCGAAGTCAGGTCTTCGATACTCATGGGAAGGAAGCCCTCATTCTTCCCAGGGAGCATGGGCTCATTTCCCGAACAGTAGCCTATGATCTAGGCGAAACTTTACCGTTTGTTTCAGTATTAGCCTTTTGCGAAGTGATTGGTGAATATTTACATATGCGGCGAGTTTTTTCTTTCTCGCGTCAATGGAGTCATAGGATGATGATCATATCGCAAACTCTCGTGTTCGGTTAGCATCGAACTGAAGTCATTCGCAAACTCTCGTGTTCGGTTAGCATCGAACTGAAGTCATTATTTCTCTTAGTTAGTACGTGTGCTTCACTGTACGGCCCGCTAAATTAAAAAGTTTCGCTTCGCGCTTGGGTCATAAATCTAAGTGGAAAAACTTGATCCGTAACTTTCAGTGAGGACTTCGAATTCGGTTGGTATGAGGTACTAAGTTCAGGGGAAAAAAGATGCTGGAGAACGAGTACTGAAATCAAATGTAGAATAACGAGTGAAAATTTTGAATAATAGTCTTGCGAGACTCTACAATAACGTTCGTGAATTTTAGGTTATCAAACTTTCTACAGTGTTAGCTGCACTAAGAGCTGTGCTATATAGGTGGTTTTCTTAAAAGTGACACTAGGCTGGTTTTTAAAAGAGAATTTTTATTTCTGAATTATCATTCTGTTTCTATGTCCTCTTCGTCATGTTTTGGCATCCTCTTTTTTATTCTCTGCTTCTACTCTTTGGAGAAGATCTTATTGCAATTAGCGGCTAGTTTTACCCATCCAAAAAGCATCTTCAAATATCACCAGGAACTCTGTTCAGGAAGCACTTTTGCCGAACCAAGCTGACTATTTCTTTTATTTATGCAGACATTACCGAGAGTTCTTCACAACATTGCGCCAGCGTTTTCGCTGGGCAGCTGTAGTTTCATCGTGGAACCTTCCAAAGAATCCACGGCCAGAGTTGTGGTGTGGAGAGAGATTGGAGTGGTCAGGAGTTATACCATGGAGAGTACATACAGTGGCTGTGATCAGGGACCTTATAAGGTTAGTTCTTATTGGATAAATCTAGTGTGCAAAACAAAAACACAAATTGAACAGACACTGTTGTGAATGTTACTGGGTGGAACTAGAACACCTTTGGTCCCGCTTTTTCGAAGGGTAGATAATATTATCCCGTGGATAAATCTCTGTTCAGTGGATGGCGCGGTATTTTTTATTCACACTTATCCGTTCGATAACGTTATCCTCCCTTTGAAGAACTGGACCCTTCTCTATAACTGCTGTCAGAGTCGGATTTCTCTCTGTTTTTAAGTTGAGAGAAGGAAGTTTTCATTCAGTCAGGGAGTTAGTTAGTTATTGAGTTAGTGAATGAGTAGGTGAGGGAGTCTCTTAGTGGGCCAGTCTGTCTGTCAGTCAGTCGTTGAGTGAGTCAGTCGTTAAGTGAGTCAGTCGGTGAGTTATTCAATCAGTCAGTAATTCATTGAGTGAATCAGCCTGCTAGTTAGTCAGTTAGTTAGTAGTTAGTTAGTAAGGCAGTCAGGGAGTCAGTAATTCAGTCAGAGAGTTAGTGCGTCAGGTAGTCATTTGGTGAATCAGGCAGGCAGGTAGTCAGAGTTAGTTTGTCAGTCAGCAAGTCAGGCAGTCATTTTGTCACTGAATAAGTGAACGAGTCTGCCAGTCAATCCGTTTGTTAGTCGGCTGTGAGTCAGTAATTGAGACAATGAGTACTAAAAATCAACACGTTAATCTACATTTTTGTTTAAAGGGTTACCACGTGGGAACAAGAGAACTGGAGGAAATGGGCCGTTTCTTCTGTGCCGGGCTTCTCCGTGTTGGACGCTCCTACTTCTATCAAAACAACCAGCAACAATCGCCATCAAACGACAATGCAGATGTGATGCGTAAAGCTGATAGTTCGTGGTGAGTTCCTCGCGTGAAACCTCTCCACAATTTTTGCTCCACGCGCGGCGTATCAAAGTAGAAAGCAATTTTTAATTATTTCTAAGACACCTTTTACATGTACTTGTCTCACTGTTGTTTGAAAAAACTAGCAACAACATAAACAACGAAACGTTTTCACGAGGCTGTTTATGTTTAATTTGAAAATATAAGTTGTTGCAAATTTCTTGTTGAGCTAATGTGGAATTTCTTCTTTCCCTAAGGATAAGGACAAGTGAGCTGTTTGTTCCCTGTGAACTCGTCACAAGTGGAGTTGTCATTTGATTGTAATCTAATTCTTAAAAACACATACTAGAGAGAGCAGCAGTCAAACGTCGGCGCATGTGCAAACGTTGTATTGACTGGGTGTTGTACTTTCAGGCTGTAAGAACCAAGTTGTCTCACACGAGTTAAAAACCACCACATAAACCAGTAAGTCACGGTGTTTCACAAGCTTAGAACATTTTTGGTAAATCTCAAAACGGAATGGTAAATCAATAGGATACCTGTACTTGAATAAGGTTTGTGTTCGAAAAGTCTCGAGTTTTCCTTTTGCCCACTTTTGTTTCCCTTCACAGATTTTCTTGAACGTTTCAATTGTCTGTCACATAGTTTGCGAGACGCGGTTGTTTCTTATGTTTCCCATAAAATTTTACGCGGGAAATTGGCGTGCGGGCGGCCAAAATTGTTCCCCTCGCGCATGCCCTAGATTTGATGGCAGTGTTATGCTCAAATACCTAAGGAATTCACGTGACGACCAAAATCCACCGGCAATTATTAGTTGAACGGTGAAATTAGAGGTAATTTGAGCAGTGAAAGGTAAATATTGAACAGATTGAACTATGAAATTCTAGTTTTAGCCCCGCATAGACGGGACGAACTGTTTTAACTTAAGAGGCTGAGGAGTACCAATGCTCAAGACAAATTTAAGCTCGTAGACCTATGTCCCACTGACTCGTTGTGCGACCTTGAATGACATCATGGGAAAGGTTCCCGGGGGTCGTCTCGGTCCTTTTTCTTCATTTTAATATTGAAATAAACTAATCTAAGGATGAAATTAACAAATAGAAAAATAATATATGCCGTGAGTAAAGCCAACTGTAAACTGTGCTCCAAAGGGAAATGTTGGTCAAAAGGTGTCATTTTTATCCCGTATTAATTCGCATCTTTAGTCTGGACAACTGTACCGGTATGCGAGAAGAGCCAGTGAATAAGTATTTATATCAAAGAGATTTTGAACCAAATTTACGTAAACAGCATAAAATTTAAACTGATAAGTGATTTAAAATTAGAGTTTACAGCTATTTGTTATTACTGAATGCTAATTAATATTTGGATTGATGTATTAAATTTATACACTGTAGTTTATTTTTATAACATGTAAAAGTGAACTTTGTTTATGTCTGTCAACATTGTAATCTTTGTTATAAGTAAATTTTTAGAAGAGACGTTATTATCATAAAAGAATGTATTTGTCCATGGTTATTTATGAAAATTAGACGTTGACTTGTCAACCAAAAGTCAATTTTATTTTGTTCATAGGCGTCTGTGTACAAGAGCCCTGTTTTTGTAGCCTTTCTGTCAGGGTGCCAATTTTCAAATTGTTTGTATATGGCGAATGTGATTACTTTTTTTGGGGGGGAGGGTGCATTTATTCTTGGCAAGCTTGAGCCTCAACAATGTCATGTAACACAATATTTGTTATTTTTAAAAGTAAGGGCGGAAAATTTTCACGGGTACTCGGAGAGTTCAACGTAATCCAAATATGGCGTCTGTTGTGTCAGGCGAGACGCCAGAATTATCAAGGTAGTTTTTCTTTCCCGTCGCTCCATCCTTGATAAAAAAAAACACCATTAAAAACCTAATCCCAGTGGAAGAGGAAATGTGGGTAAAAAGGAAAGGGCCTCTAAGTCTTAAGGGTGACAATGACAACAGTCCCAACGATCGATAGTTGCTTGATCAGATGTACCAGTTCGTTTCATATCAATTCGTAATTCGTGAACGACACAAATGAGCAGCTTCTGGAATAAGAGTTCTCCAGGCTCGCTCTTATTTAGGTTTATTTAAATTGCAGATCAAGCGATACGATTTTTTTCATTCACCAGCTGGATAGGCCTGAAGATGTTGCATAAGGTGCGCATATTGAAATCGTGCAAGTGCCTTCATCCAGTCGGAAAGTGACCGAAAAAAACGGTTCTTTCGTCTGTAACGTGTTTCGTCGACACTGATGCAGATTAGAAAAACAGCAGCGAGTTTTTAACTCGAAGTGCTTGCGGAAAATAAACAGAAGCATATAACTTAGGTTATTAGCATGTGAAAGGACAGTTCAAGAAAAATGTTTTAAATTCAAGTTGAGTTAAGTTCGATTTAGTGTTTGTCAAATTACAACTGTTCGCAGCTCTCTATTGAACTTCTTTACTCGAGTTGAAAATCTCTCTAAAACAAGGCATCCTACTCCGTTCTATAGTTGAACGAATCAGACCCGAAGAACTCGGTGTCGATTATTTTGAACCCGCCTTTTTCAAGAAGGAAAACTCATTTGAATAACAAATAATTTTCAAAATTAATATTCGTATTTCCGCTCGGTTTTGCACGTGGAAAGAGCTTATGAACTGCAAGAAATTCAAGCGTCTATTTTGCCTTCTATGGAATCGAGAAACATAATTTCGACCCTATTACCTTGGATATTATCTGTACTGTCCACGTCAGCGAGCATTTCTTGAGCTGGAGCAAGTGGCTGAGATATCATGTAAATGATTCATGCTTCACACTTTGTCAAGACGTTTCTTCAGGTAAATAACTTATGAAGAAATACAGTTGGATAGAATATAGTTTATCTTTCTCGTTGTAGCCCTTGATTCAGAGTCAAACGTAGAAGGAGGAGCGTAATGCATACGGCACAGTGTAGGACAGCCGCCATAACAGTTCTTTCGTGGCAAAGCGAGAAATTGAAACTTTATTGTTAGTTTACTTATCGCTTATTTCTCTTTTCATTCCTATACATATTTTCAACCAGCTTTTCTTTTATGATTATAGTGTGTTGAACTGTAAAAGTGTTTTACGCGTACGTGTTCTTTCTACGCCCTCCAACCTCGCCAAAGAAGGAGACCATCATCGCACTCATTTCACCCGAGGATAATGTAGTAGCTCTAAATAAGTTTTTCGATCCAGACGTCGACGTTTCGCATTTAGAACGAAAAGCACTCTGGTATGAACGTACTCATAATATATTTGTCTCTTCTTTTTCCCATAGGACAGTAACAAGAAGAAAATGAGAAAACCTCGAAATCAAGAAAGTCAGTCATGGAAGAAAAGAATTTCATGGCAACTTCTGACAAGGTTAGATTAATGGCTTTTTATAACGAATTAGCTATCGAGGTTTATTCGTCTGCATTGTGGAACAATTTAACCTGGATTTAGCGAATGTTTGCAATTCGAAACTAATTCAAGCAATCATGAAGAAAAACTGCAAATTAAAAAATGAATAAATTTCTTCACCGTCTGATTTCTTGGATCTCTTTCTGATTGAGGTGGCTTTCGGTTATTTTCAGCAGTGTTCGTTAGTTAAATTTATTTTTCCATAAATACCTTTTAACTTTTTGATCAGTGTCAAAGAAATATCTTGTTACTATTGTGCATGTTACGACTATCTATCTATCCGACCTACCAAGTTACCATAGAAACGGTTTAGCCAATCAAATCACCTCCAAGTTCTAAGATTGATGAATAATTGTATAATGACATCGATCATCCAACTTTTCCTGGACATTTTTAAAACGATTATTTGCTAGGAAACTGCAGACATTTTATAAGGTACAAGTCTCTGGCCTTGCATTTTTCATATCTGCCCAAGAGCTTGAATTTGTCGAATGTTGCATTTGAATTCCTGCTGGTACCAAAACTCTTTTCGAAATCTCGGATAACCTTTTAAAGTCATACATTTTTTTTTTTGCAAAAATGAACCTTTTTTCAAATTAGACAGTTAAACCTTACTAGTCTTAATGTCATGGCGTCGAGTCTTCAACCAAATTAAAAGTGTATACTTTTATTTTTCTATGGCAAAATTCTTCCTGCGTTTGTAACCAAATTATATAGATGTTTTTGGACGCGATTTAAAAGACCATCGAGCCTAAGTGCTAAAAACACTGTATAAACTTTTGAGGCTAAAACCAAATTGTAAGGGTATGCTCCAAAGTTGATTTTTGTTTTTCACATAGCCTCTTGAGTTTATTATCAACAGACATAGATCTTTTCGACATGATCTCAATAAAAATCGTAGAGACTAATTTTTAAAAATGTATGAGCTCTTAAGGATAAAACAAAATTGGAAAAGCATATTCCATAGATTGATTTTTTTTCTCAAATTGCCTCTAGAGTTTATCATTAACTAACATACATTTTTTTATGTGGAGATGATCTCAATAAAATGTCTTGGCGACTAATTCCAAAAATGTATGAGCTCTAAGGGCTAAAAACAAATTGGAAAAGAAAGTTTGCCTGTAAGGTTTATCATCAACTGTTATATTATTTCATTCTGACATGATTCATTCAACATGTTCAAGTCTAATTATTAACCTTTAACTCTTATGAGTGACCAAGACAGAATTTCTCCTTACAATATCAATACAATATCAAGCAGACAAGTGATGAGAGGAAAGAAAATATCAATAAGGGGATTTTTATTTGATCCAATATCAAGTTCTCAGAACTAACACGAGAAGAATTGTATGGCTGGCTGTAAGGAGGATTACTAATGAGATCTTGGGAGTGAAAGGGTTAAAGATGTTTGAATTCTTGAGCTGGGCTACAACTAAATTGAACTGTGTGCTCAAATTGCTTCTAGTGTTTTTCATCAACTTCTTGATAAAGTATTTCTTTTTGAACGTGATGTAATAAAAATACTAACATGAACCTAATTTTTCACTTCTGAGCTTTTGAGGCTGAAACCAATCGAACGAATATGCTCAAAAATTTATTTTTGTCTCTCGTATTTTGTTTAAAGGTTATTAAACAACTCGTATATAACTTTTTAACGTGATTTTATGAAAATATCGGAGCCTAATTATTAGAAATGTCTAAGTTATTGAGACAAAAACCAAATTGAAATAGTATGCTCCAAAACTTGATATTTGTATCTCAGTGCTTCTATAGTTTATTATCAACTAATAAGAATTTTTTTATGTGATTTTATGAACATCATAGTGCCTAATTAAAAAATGTCTTAGGTCTTGGGGCTAAATTGAAATAGCATGCTCCAAAAAATTAATAATTTTCGATTTTTCGCGAGGTTCACTCTTAAATCTTTATTTTTTATTAGAGAACATCAGAAGTTTAATAAACTGAAAATACTTAATCCTGAAAAATATATTTGGATAGAATAGTTTAAACGTTGAAAACAAATTTTTGAATCCCTTAGCTTCGTCAGTTTTACTTATTCAATAGAACACAGACACGGAAACTTTCAAGTATTTATTGCCATCTTAACCAAAATCTCGGTAACCCTGTAGCAAACGGCTTTACTTAACGATGGTAGGACACCAAAGAAATTTAGATTTGAGTTGATTAATTCAAAGTTGTTCACTGGAAATCAATTTATAAAAGAAATAGCTTGATTTCATAACTTTTAACAAAGTTATTTATCGAAGAATAATTGAAAAAATATTCTCTGTCAAAAGAATTAATTTGCAGCTTTTCATTATTGAAAAAACGCCGTCAGCCAATTTCTCTTCCTACTGTTATTTGCATTTTAAATGACTCTCATGAATTCTCGCGCTCCAGGATTTACATTGAAATGTTTTTATTTTTATTCATGATTCTAGCCGGATTTAATATGAACAGGAACTTGCAAAAATGTGATTATTTCAACAGGCACTCTGCGAATAATCAGGGATATAAGTTAAGCAAGCAGAAACTAAATTTATGCAGTAGTTACACTTTAATTCCTCGTGATCTCAGAGGAATTGCTGGCGAGCATAGATTAATTGCTTGTTGTTGCTGCTTCACTGAAATTACAAAAAACTTTCGACTCTAAATGAATTGGTTTTATGTCTGGAAAAAAGCAAGCGAACTTAGAGTTATTTTGACGACAACAGCAACAACAGAATCCCTCGAATTTCTAAGAATATTCAACTGTGATCATTTTGAATTTATCGTTAAATCCAGGTTACGTTCACTTTCATTTGTAAAGTTACACTGTACTTAATTATTTATATACAGAATGTTACTCGTTTAACTGTAAAAATGCGTGTTTCTGCGACAAATCAACACTATTATTATAGTTTGAGAAAGAAAAGTTTAGATTTTGGAGCAGTTGTTAATGTATGGTTTATTTTTATTTTTTTGCAGACTGACTGGTCGATATCCCTGATGCTTCAAGCACGAATGGAGTAAGACAGACTATGATTCATGTAGAAGACAAGATTTATTCAGGATTAGGTACAAACAGATGTAGCGCATTTCTTACAACAAAACTTCGAATTAGAACTAGGATTCAAACGCTAAAACGGAAGACTGGAAAGTTGTTATTTCGTGATTCTTTCTCGGTTCAATGTTAAGGGCTGTTTGTGGTAGAAAATTTTCCCGCCAAAAAACTTAGAAAAAATACGGGTGCTTGTAATACGCATGCGTCAATATTTTCTTTATTTATTCCGTAACATTTGTGTAAATGTGGCAAATTTCCCGCCCAATGACTAAAAAATACGGCGCCCAAAATACGCATGCGCCAATTTTTTTTTAAAAATAGATACCCAAGCTTTACTTTTAACAGATAGTCTACATTGCTAATAAACTAAATTTTTATCTACTTGTCTTCTTGTATTATTACCATCGACAATAAAGTACAGCGATCAGTTTTTGTTTCAACTTTTATTGTCTTGCAATTTATACTCAATAAACCACCAAAGTTTTTATCTCAAATTCTCTTTAATCACTTTGTTTCAATTAAATAGATTAAAAATGTGGTAAGAGAAATTTTTCGTGTATATACTAAGACTTTTGGCGGGAAAATTTGGGCCAATTTGCACAGAGTATCCCCTGGCAACATTTTCGGCAAAAATTTTAACAAGGCTTCCTTCCAAAAGATTTCCCGCTAAAAAATAGACAGCATCTCGTGCAAAGAATCGAAAAGTAAAAGCCAATCTATCCTCTCTTAGGAAAAAAAAATCAATACACTGTAAACAATTCCATGTTGTTTCTATAAAAAGAAATCCTTACTCGACATGTCTATCTCTTAACCTTTTTTTATACTTTAATTCTTTGCACGAGATGATGTGTGGAAGTTCCTTAAGAAAGAGCATCATGGCGAACTATAGAGCGTTCGATCACAAATACAAAATTCATGTCCTAGATTGTGATCAATGTGTTTTTAAAACCCGTCATACTTTTGTAAAGCTTTACGTTGCCATAATGTCTTCATCGGAGTAAAAGATCTTTAAAGCCGTCAGTTTCGAATGTAACACAGGATAAGAGGAATAAAAAAAATTATCCAAAGCATCGACCTTGGTTTCCAGATTCAATTTGACTTCATTTAGATGATGAAAAAAGAAACTAAATTATCAGAGCATACTAGTTTATTTGATATTGGTCACAAGAACCAAGACATTACAATTAGGCTCCAAATTTGTTCTAAAAAACTTCACTATGCTTTTGAGAAATGAATCATAGAATCCAAATTGCTGTTAGATTCGCGAAGCAATTTGACAAATTTGTTCTATAAGAAGTTGGAGCGAACTCCTAAATTTGATTTTAGCCTTCAAAATGAAAGACGTGTAAGAATTACGCTCCAAGTTTCTTAAACGCCTCTTTTAGAGGCGATTTGAGAAAAAAAATAGTTCTGCAGAAACTGTAGGAACAAATTCTTTGAAATCGAGTTTACCTTCTTAGAGGCAAAGAAGTTTTACAATTAGGCTCCAAGTCATCAATTCTTGCAGCGAATCGTTTCAAGAGATTTAGTCTTCAAACGCGTACGATCTCTGTATCATTACAAACCGAATTTCTCATCAAAACTGTAAACTTTTAATTATATATCATTTCTTTCTGTATTCCTGTGTTACACCGAGTGGCTGCTCGAAAGATCTTCCTTCCACTTACAATTAGGAGTAATTAAACTAACTACGTTATATATTTTAAAACTAAATGCCTGGTCCGAAGGCTAACAAGGGGTTTTTTTTTTCGAATGCAAATTAATTTCTAAGTTTTGGAGACTACTCCGAAAGGATCATGCATTTCTGATTCTAACGTCTGTCTTTAATTTTACGTGTTTTAAATCGTGATGAGCAAATTTCGTAACAAAGAATCTTCGCTAATAGATTTATTTATTGTTTGTTGTCCAAAAGATTGGTTCGCATATTCATGTTGATTTTCGTCCAATCTATAAACCATTTTTTAACAACTTGCGAAAAAAATTAACGTCCTTAATTTCTATCGAATAAATTGTTCTCGAGATATATAAATCTATATTTCTTCGTTGTGAAAAGGAGCCAATTTAAACTGGTTTAAATGGCAGCAAGAGATCATACAGTTTATGATATCTTAATAGAGGTAAATTTCAACTTAATCAGTTTCCCGAAAGAACTCGTTACCAGGCATTAGAGTTTTAAAACATTTCTTCCATATGGAAATAAACCCAGCTGATGGCACAAAGTAACAGATATAATTTAAGATCACACTGTACTAAATTCTTGCTTTTTGTATCAAAAACAATTTTTTATATTTTATAATAGCTCCTAAATTTTCAGTTTAATACAATTCATACATAGAGTGCATTTTCAATTAATCAAAGTGTTTTTGGCCAACTTTTTCTCATTTAGTTGTCAATCGTGAAGTGTGCTCGTCCGGGTGAGAGTAGTCCTGGAAAGCTTTGTTGTCGAAACTAGTGACTGGCCTGAGAAGGGGTCATCAGAGTCGAGTTAAGTAGCTGTCATTCTCAGATGCCGTTCGTCTGTTGATCAATCGGTAGAGTTAGTTTGTTATGTTTGGTCCGTTCATGACCACTTTAGTCTCTAAAAGTCGTTTGTAAGGTGCCAATAGTTGCTGTCATCATCTGTTGTGTGAAGCCCTCTTCAAGTTATAAAACTTGCTTTTCAAAGTCAGTCTTTTAAGTAAGTCGATGATGTTGAGCAATGTGATTTTTGACTTGAAGAAACGACTCAAAATCAATCAAATTCATCAAAACACTTCCATTTTGAATTTAATTTGGTCTTATTACGGCCGTCGTATTTTGTTGGAGTGCCACCTTAATATCATCTTTGCGCGACATCAACTGGGATATAACTGTGATACTAACTGTTAAACAAACCGAAAAAAAGGAGCGATCAGAGCTTCGAAATTAATGAGTTTCATCATTCCGTAGACAGGATTAGATCAGTTTCCAGCTGCCCCTATCTTTTATTTCATACAACGAGATTATCTGAGTTAAATCACACCAAATTAGAGCTGGTAGTTCAAATAAATCAAATGATCGCTCAAGGTCTGCATAACAATCAGTAACACAACAAACTATTTCAAAAATGGTGGCTAATTAACAACTATTCACTCACCGTGTAATCAGTTTATCTGTTCCAAGACAATTGGTGAAGGAACGAAGATTTCGCACAATAATTAGATGTATAAATGCGCCACCATTTTTGCTATTATAAGTAAATAATTTCAAAGTTCTTATCTTTGCAGTATCCACTAAGAATTCAGTGATTCCAGTTTCTTCTCTTGACCAGAATCTTTGTTCTTCCATGCTTCTGACAATACTGCTATTCCTGAAATTAGAGAATATAAATATGATCAAGAAATGCTTACTTTCCACGAGGACAAAAACTAAAAATTAAAAATTATTTTGCTATTTGACATAGAAAAGGGAAAGCATCAACATTTTTTCAAAATGTTATTTACGATGAAGCGAAGACCACGAAGTAGTATAGTCATCAGAACTCCACGCGGGTGAATTCAAATACAAAATTAAGTCCCCGATACATTTAGTGAGCAGAATATTTTTATTGTAGCGTTTCACTGAAAATATTTTAAAATCATAGGTTTTGCTTTTCTGGAAGCCAGTACTCTAACTCAGTCTAATTTCGAGTTGAAGAGCCGTCCAGACCGAGGAACCGTTTCGTGCTACGTCGTTGAACTGAGATAATGCGACTCGTTTATATTTCTGAAGGAGATTAAGGCGACATTTTCCAAAGGCAATGCTCACCTGTTGTTGTAATGAAATAAACGTGCTTTCGTTGATGATCTTTGATGATGAAGTCTTATTCCTTCCAGATCCAAACGTTGTGTTTAGCACAACGAACGGCACGTCTTCACTCAACTACAGACAGCGTGGTTTGCTAAAAATTCAACAACTTCTGATGAATATGGATTAACAACTGCAGCCAATAATCGGCTGCACGTCACAGATTTGGCGCGGAGATCTGTTTGCGCGCTCAGCCAGCTAATCAAGAATCAAGCCAAAGAAAGGCATTGTAAATGACGGATTGGCATGTGACACTGAAGAGGGAAAAATTTACAACTACTGAATTCTAGGAACTACTATGACCGAAAAAATTACTCTGACACTCGAAAAAACCCAATTTGAAAGACTGATATCATCAAAAGCAGTAGATCTCAGCAATGAACAGAGAAATATTTAAGACATTATTTCAAAATTGCGTAACTGAATGAATTATGGTTCGTTATTCTAGTACTGGAAGGGAGCGTAACGAAAAAGAATGCAAAGATGATGTTGAACATGACAAAAAGAGAATGAATCAAACGCAATTTTACCCTCTCATGAAAAAAATACGAGATTAATAATGCGTAAAAAGGAATTAAAAGGCGTTGTCATTCTATCACTCAAGGAGGGGGCAACATGAGGACTGAGTTAACGAAAGATGCTCTTGAGTTCTTGATTATAAAAAAATTCTCCTTGTCAGCACATTGGGTAGTATATGAAGAAAAGAATGGAGAATAAGGATATTAACCTCAACCTCAGTGTGATTTTCTTTTTATTTCCAAAGAACACAATTACAACATGTAACATAAAAAATAGTAAGAACTTCTATGGGAACATAAATCTGTTTATACAGTAAGACACGAGATCCAACTATAAGCAGACAGGCCCTTCAGTTCCTAACAGTTCTCTCTACGCAACCCGAAATTTTATCAAAATTTGAAGTCACTATACACAGTAAAGCAGTTCTTTTGGACATAAAATCAACTATTTGCAATCTCTAAACATGGTCAGAGACGAGACCGAAATAACACCCCATTCACATCAGCAAAATATGTTTAGTTAAACCAGGTTTAACTGAAGAAACTCAGAGACAAAGAACTGAAAAACTGAGTTTTCCATAGGTTTCTAAGAGTTCTCAAACTTTATTTTCAACGTGTTGAATTTGAGGTCGAAAAACATCGGTTTCAGCAGCTTCTATGAGGAAAGTAATTTAAAACTACATTTGGAAAAAAAAAACAGCGTTAAAACATGATTCAGCTTAGGTGTGAATGGGGTGTCAGACGTATTCTCGCAGGAATCTCAAGACTTTCTGACAATATTTAAATCTTTATACACTTATATACACATTAAAGTCTTCGGATTATGCACTGGAACATCTTGTATCAGCTATGAAAAGCAGATAAGCTGAAAAGGAAATTTTGAAATATTCTCTTCAACGAATTAAGTTGCTCGGGTTATTTGGGTGCTTATCTACCACGAAGTCCCAAAATAAATAAGACACCTACACCATAAAGATTGCGCCAACCGATGGGTTTCGTGAACCAAGAAGCACAATCTTGTCACGTTTCCCACAAGTAATCCTCCAAGGCTTGATCAAAACTGACGTTACTGGGTACCAGGCTCTTTACTTTTTCTCGGTTAAAATTCTTTTTGGGTTCGGTCCGCGGTCTGCGCGCCATAGCCGATGGTGTCCTAATCGGTGTAGAAATTTTCCGATTTTGAACTACACGCGTAAATCCTTTAGGCTTATCTCGAAAGTGTCTTCTTATTTGGCTTGATGATCTTCCCTCACTCACAGGCGTTTGACGGTTGGACGGGGTGCTTGAGTACTTCGGGCCCGCAGTATCTGTGGAATGCGGTACGACCATTTATATAAATAAATATTTGAATCCATAAATTATCAACATTCTCCCGCGGACAGTCCAAGCCCGCTAGGTGAATGGATATCTTTAGGAGATATCTCTTTGGTGATAATGCCCAACAAAAAACCCTTAGTCCTGATCTATAAAAGTCTGCGTTCAGAATTAACTTAATCAAAGGTAGGAAAGTATTTTTCAGCTAAAATAACAGGAGAGAAATTCACTTGTTAATAGAGTTCTACCATAAAACATCGAGGATGTGCGAAGCTGAAAGAGGACAACTGGGCCAAGTCACTTCAGAAATATTGGAAGATAAAAACATGAAAACATGAAACCCCTCCTCAATACCTGATCCTCCTCCTCATTATCAGTCAATTTTCTACAAAATTTCCTCTTTATACTCTATTAGCGAGGACTGATCTCCCCCCCTTCCGTCCCCCTTGAAAACCATGTGATTTTCCTAAAAATCTTCCCCCCCCCCCCCGCCCCCGACGATAAATGATGAAAGGTCCCTTAGCACAGATACAGTTCTCACCAGAAAATATAATTTCTATGGCGCCAAGATGGGCTATTACTTATATCATCAAAGTACTGTGGTGACCGACATCGTATGTAACAATGAGTGATGAAGTTATCTACTGGCTGATACTCACCATCTAATGCTAGGTCCAAAAGAGAAAACAACGCCTTGGATTTTTTCTTTCCATGACCTGTTAAACATGAACAAAACATCTAATTGAACATTGCAAAGTTTCACAACTATTTACTCGTTTACACCCTTTTCGTGTCCGAAAAAAATGTATCCTTGCTGCAGAGCAAATGAGAGGGGAGAGAGCCCTGGTAAACAGAGGTTTCAATAACTTTGTCCATAAGCGGCTGCCGATGGTGTAATGAGCGGCTGTACAGCGGTAAGATGTATTTTAGGCAGAGGTAGACCGTTGGTAACTATCTTTTATTTAAACCCCCGGGTGAAACCATTCACGATTGAATCATGAAGAGTTTCTCCTTCGAGAAAAGACACAAACCATGTCGTGTATTGTCGAGCAAAAGTGTAAAATTCACGTCCACTAAGAGTTTTATTCACTGCACCAACTCACCTTGATCAGCTGGAGCCTCAACGCTGATTTTTTCTTTCTTGATTTTGGATACAGTAGATTCCGTCACCGATTCGCCTTCTGCTGCCAAACGTGGATGACTCTGTTTTATCACAGTAGGTGAGTGTTCACTGTAGCCACTGTCATCTAGCGATTCAGCTTTTTCAAGATTTAAAAGTGCAGGTATCCTTTCAGTCTCTATTTTCCCTTTCTTTTCTCTACTTCTCCTCTTTTCTTCGGTTTTCCTTGTTTTCTTTTTTTCTAAGTGATCTAAAGGATTTCCTTCACCATCATTACCGTGAGAACGTTTCCTTTTCCTATCTTTCCTTTTTTTGTCTTTCGCTTCTCTTTCATCTTCACAACAATCATCTCTATCCACCGCTGACGATTTGGGGGTTTTAAAGACATTTACCGAACTGGATCTCTGTTCTTCCTCAGTTTTCCCATTCAATTCAAATCCATCATCAATGGAAGTCTCCTTGGTAATGTCATGTGTCACAATTTCTTTTATCATTTTCCTTGAAACCGAGACTTTTTCACTCGAATCCTCTTTAATATCACCCTTTACCGATATGTCTTCTTTACTCTTTGATCTCCTTTTTTTCCGTTTCGATCTCTCTTCACTAGGCTTTTGTGTGACAAATTCAAGTTCCAAATTCCCGTCTTCTGCACCGGCGTTCAAAATGTTCTCTGTGACTTTCATTTTAACACTCACGGACTCTCGTCTAACTTTGTTCTCCAAAATATCGTTACCTCCAGGCAATCTTGCCTGGTTTTCATTCCTGTCGACCTTGTTTTGAGTCGATTCTTGTGTAACTTGTTCATGAGCCATAGTTCCCTCCGCCACTCCCTTTGACGCTATTGAACCATTATCAAAACTGGTTCGATGACCATTTTTTACAAACTCGCTTCCATCTTCTTTCACTCTCTCGTTTTCGTTCTTCTTTTTCTTCTTGCGTTTAGATTTCTTTTCATTACGTTGCTGTTGCTCAAATTCAAGTTCCATATTTTTTGACATCGAATTCGTGAACGCTGTTGTTACATCAATTGCATTTACCAACCCATTTACACGTACTAAGACATCTTTGGATTTCTCTCCTCCAGACTTCTGTGTAACATCAAGTTCTCCATCAATTGTATCTGCTTTCGTTGAAACTATGTCTCGATCACTTACACACTGTTCAACAGAGTTTTCCACGGGCCCCTCCTCATTCAATTCTAATCTTTTCCTCTTTCTTTTTCGTGGTTTACTATTTGCAATAGAATCCTGTGTGACCAAAGCACACTTCACGTCTCCTTCGACTGTCTCACCTGCCACTGATGCATCATCATCAACGCATTTTCTAACAGCATTTTTCGCTACCTCGCATCCATTACTTTCTTTCCGCTTCTTTTTGTGCTTTGTTTTCTTTGCCAACCCATTTGCACTTATTAAGACGTCTTCGGATTTCTCTCCTCCAGACTCCAGTGTAACGTCAAGTTCTCCATCAATTGTCTCTGCTTTCGTTGAAACCATGTCTCGATTACTTACACACTGTTCAACAAAGTTTTCCACGGGCCCCTCCTCATTCAATTCTAATCTTTTCCTCTTTCTTTTTCTTGGTTTGCTACTTGCAATAGAATCCTGTGTGACCAAAGCACACTCCACGTCTCCTTCGACTGTTTCAGCTGCCACTGATGCATCATCATCGACGCATTTTCTAGCAGCATTTTTCACTAACTCACATTCATTCTTTTTGTGCTTGATTTTCCTTACATTTGGTTTCTTTGCGAGCTCTTCAAGTCGTACAGTTTCCTCCACGAAGGTATTCTCAGAGTCGTTTCCTTCGTCGCCCACACATTCTTGATGAACATTTATTACCAATCGATCGTCATTAATTTCCAGTTTTCCCTCGTTCTTATCGCTCATCTTTTTTGCTGAAAGTTCTTCTTCCCCGTTTTCTTTAGCTGCATTTCTTGATATCAGTGCCAAATCACTTAAATCTCGAGTAACAATTTTTACTGGTACACCTTCGTTTCTTTTTGTTTCGTTTTCTCTTATATTTTCATTTGAATCTATTGTTTCCACTTCTTCTACTACCGTTTTATTCGATACCATATTGTCACCATCCACACCGTCTCGAGCGACATTTTTCACTAATGTATCGTCATTAATTTCCAGGATTTTCCGTTCTCTTTCATTTTCCAATCCAAGTTTAGTACACTCCCAAGCTGTTTCATGGCTGACAAACGAATTGACGTCTTCAATTAACATATCTTCACATCCTTCACTTCCTCTTTCCTTATTTTCAACAGGGTTCAGTGGAACAACTCCAAGTTCTACTTTTTCTTCTCCCAATTCGTTACGCGAGACTACTTCATGGCATACTTCACACGATTTCATAGCTGTTTCATCAGAGAAATTCTTATTTTCATCTCTACTTTTCCCATGTTTAACATTCGACGTCTGTTCAGCAAGGTTCTGTGGGTCAACCTCAAGTTCTACATTTTCCACGCTCATTTCGTCACATTCTCTATAACATTCCTTTTCACTTAAATTTTGAGTAACGAATCCATTTTCCACATTTTGGTCTTCCACTCCATCGGGCATGTGTTTGGAGCCTTCCATGTGTCTGTTTACACGCTCTCCATTGATCATATTCGTCAATTGATTGTCATACCTTTTCAATCCGGCCTGTTCTTCATTCTTGTCGCCTTCCTTTTCAGTGGAATCTTCTATAACTTGTTCCTGATCCACATTTTCGTCAACCATTACATTTGAAGCTACAGCTCCATCACTACTACTCTCTCGACAAACATTCCACTGAAAGTCATCTTCATCTTCTTCCCCTCTCTTTTTTTTACCGTGTTTCTTTCTTCCTTGTGTTTCAGACTGGTTTTCATCAACATCCTGTGTGACAATTTCCAGTTCCACATCTTTTGACATTGATCTTTTGGGCTGTTGAATCACTGTTTCATTACCTACAAAATTAACTTCCAATACATCTTTGTTTCCTTCTTCTTTCTTCGCTTGTTCCTCTGTAGTTTTAGTGACTGCGTTCTTTTCTTTCAACCACACTATCTGGCCTTCTGGCAAATTCTTTATTGGCGTTAAATATAGTGGTGAACTTGTGTCGTTTTCTACCAAAACAAAAGTTATGTACGTGTATATACACAAATTAACGGAAATATTGGAGCTCAACAACTTTTATCACTGTTATCGTGCTTAAGAGATAATTTGCAATTTCCATCGGAAATCCAAAGTTCCGAATCATCAGACACCAGTAGTTACTTACCTTCTTCCTCATCCGGCTGAGCGGTTTCATTTTCACTCTGAGACGTCCTGTTAATAGGACTTTGTAGCCCATCAACGACTCTTGGCCTTCCATTGCCCACAGAAACAGGCAGCTTATAGATTTTAACTTGAAAGGTTTTCAACTCAACATCTTTCCGAAGATAGCGCCCCATTTTCTCGGTAGGGGCTTTTTCCTTGCTGTAAACTTCCTCCATGCGGCAACCACTGCTCCCATTGTCTTCAACTTCATTAAGAGAGCTTACGTCCTCATCGTCATCATCATTATCCAGATCCTCACCGTCATCTGTCTTCATGGCCGCTGTGTCTGGTTCTTCGTCGGCTCTTTTCTCCTCTGAAACATCAGAACCACCTTTAACACACAGAAGACACATCCGATTGGTAAAAAAAAAAACTTCCCATAATTATTGTCAATTCTGGAACAAGGGTAAGGTCGGATCAGATAATTCATCCTAGAACATTGAGCAACTTTCAATTGAGTGTCGAAAGTGATCCGGGATCGCATTGGTTTTGCTTTACTTTGCTCTCTGATTGTTTCTGAAAACTCGCGCCTCTTTCTCAACCGATAAGTTGCGAAAAAAAAAAAAAAACCCAATCACGACTTGGTAGCCCGCGTTTTCCCGCGCTTTAGGTATTTTGGTTGTTTTTTACTTTGAGTTCTCATTGGCTCTTCAGGGTATTTTCTTTCCTCTGATTGGCTGTTATATAAACTTTGGTTTCGGTTTTAAAGAAGAAGAAGAAGAAGAGGATTGACAGCAAACCTTCCGCAATCTCTTCCAAATTAACCAAAAATTCATTTTATAATGAGTGACCAAAAAAGAATTTCTCCACACAATATCTATAGAGTACAAGTACACAATTGATGAGAATAGGGAAAATATCAATTAGGGGATTATTAGTTGATCCAAAACTAAATTCTCCCAAGTAACATCATAATAATCATATAACAGACAGGTAAGGAGAGTTGCTAATGACATCTTGAAAGAGAAAGGGTTACAATGTATAAAGGGGTAAGTTTCTAAAGAAACTGCGGTGCTGCGTCGGTGGGAGAGTATAGCAGGTAATTTAGTGTTAACAACTGGATACTAAAATGGGACCCAGCTACGCCAATCTTTTTGAAGGTTTTATCGAACATCAATTTTTTAGTCAACACCACGGCCTAAAACCTGAACTCTACGGCCGTTACATTGACGATTGCATCGGCGCTACCTCCTCTACCAAAGAGGAGCTTAGAACTGCCGTCAATTCCTTTCATCCTGCTCTTAAATATACCTGGGAAATTTCCGACACTTCTTTGGCTTTTCTAGACATCAAAATTTCAATTGAAGGCAACGGTTTTATGCACTAGTGTGTACTACAAACCTACAGATTCACATAGTTACTTGTTGTATTCATCTTCACATCCATCACACATCAAAAACTCCATCCTTTTCAGAGTTTCTCAGACTTCGTCGTTTATGTAGTGACGACTCTGATTTTTCCGAAAAATCAGAGGCAATGTGCCAGTTTTTCGATAAACGTGGCTATCCTGTTTCTGTCGTTCAAGCGGGCCACCACCATGCCCAACAAATTGATCGACAGTCAGCACTACAAACGGCTGAGAAGGAAAACACTGACCACATTCCGTTTACTTTTACATTTCACCCTCACAACCAAGCAGTTAAATCTATCATTTTTAAAAATTTTAAATTACTCCAAAACGATTTAGAGACTGGCACTATCTTTTCGCAACCCCTACTTATTTCATTCAAATGTGACAAAAACGTAGGCAAATTTTTTAGTTTTTCATTTTTTTTTTCATTTCAAACCAATGACCAATCTGGAACTTTCAAATGCGCTCGCTCACGATGCAAAATTTGTTCTTTCATTCATAACGTAGAGAAAATATCGGGACCCAAGAGATCCATTAAGATCACTGATCACTTAACGTGTACCTCCGCCAATGTTATTTACTGCACAACTTGCACTTATTGCAATAAGTTATACATCGGCGAAACAGGAAGACGACTAGGTGACCGATTCCGAGAACACCTCGCGACGTGGAAAGAAATGACAAGGATGCATCCAAACCAGTCGCTAGACACTTTAATCTTCCTAATCATTCTAAACAGCATATGGCAGTCTGCAGCCTTTCCTTACATCTAGGCGGTTCGAAAAAGCCGTAAAACACTAGAACAAAAATTCATCTTCCAAATTGGCACCCTTACTCCCCACGGAATCAACGAGCGCTTTTCATTCAACTAATTTATCCTGTTTTCTCGTCACCATATTCCCACCAATGGTGTAGCTCCACTTTCTACATATAAACCCACACAATTCCTCCAATCGCTCTGACGAAGGGATAACGCTCGAAACGTCAGCTTTTTATCTTTTACGGTGGCTAATTTACGTTTTCAGTTGTTAACACTAAATTACCTGGGTTACAATGTACTTTTGTCCTTACAGTATGACTGCAGAATCATTCCTCAAGATGATAAGAATAAAGGAAACCATTGCCAACCTTAGAAGCTTTAATTTTGAAGTAAATTCTCCTTTGTCAGTACCAAAGGAAATTTATAGAGCAAAGTATGAAGAGTATGAATACTACTGCTATGGTGTAAAGGGTCAAATGACAGTCTTTCTCACCTGCAATCTCACCGTCTACATCAATGGTACCTTCATCACTATCACTGTTGTGTGCACCTGAAGTTGAGGACATATTATTTGCAGAGAGCCACTCAGCCACTTTAATTACAGATGTTTCTAAAGCTTCTTTCCTTCTTGGACGTGAGTGTTCAGGCATGGTAAATAAACTTTTGTAAGCCGACGCACCTAAAATAGCTTCCCTCGAGCTACTCACACTTGCATGAGTCCTTCTTTGCCCTTTCAATGAATGGCGCCTAATCAAATGATCAACTTGCATTTTGTCTCCTTGAGGCGTGGACTCCTTGGCCTGCTCTGGTGCCTTTCTTTTATTTACAAATGAGCTCAATTCCCCATGACTCCTTAAAGACTGGCTTAAACGCTCCATCAATGGCATGTCATCATCACTGCTCTCACTTTCTAAGTCTTGCATGTCAGATATAAAGTTTGTTGCAAAAAGATTGCTCCTATTTTTCCTAACTTTTAGTAACTTGTTAACATTTGTTGCAACTTCAGTCTCTTTTCCTCCTGCCTTAGTTGATAATACTTCACCTTTTCTTGATTTTGTGTTAGTTTCCTTTTCTTTCCCACCTGTGGCATAAAAAGTAAAAAATTACAATCAACAGCAACATTGCAGTTCCTTGAGCAGCTGTTTCAATAACTTTTTCCATAAGTGGCTGGGGATTGTGTGATAAGCAGCTGTGCCATAAGGTAAAAGCAAACACAAGAGCCTGCTGGCAGGCCAAACAGATGCCAGCGCAAGGTCCTACAGACGGCAGGAGACAGCCAGTATTCCACTTTAATTAAACCCTTGATTGAGGCTCAAGCTTATTTTCCAGTAAGGTAAATCTGTGCTATTTTCATCTCAGACTTATTATTTTGCAGTTTCTCATGTCAAAATATCAAACTTACATTGCCCTCTGACCAATCAGCTTCAGTCACTTCCTTTCCAGTCGCGGATACGAGAAGCGTAAAAACGACTTTTGTCCGGGGTCAAATCGATTAATACTCGTCGCATTCAGCACATATGTAAGCGAGTCAAAGCTTTTGAAAGACTTAAGGTGTGACTATGAGTGTAGACACTGAATGCGAAGAGTCTTTGACTCCTTGAGGCGTTTGCTCGTCGATCCTCCAAGGCTACAGGGGGTTTATAAATAGTGAGCCTTTTACGATTGAATCTTAAAAGCGAACCTCTGATCGAACTTATGATCGAATTTATGAGGGAACCTATGAGCACTCATATCACCAAAAGTATTAATCAAACGTAAGGTTAAACAAAGCTATTATAAACATCAGTAGCACAACTTGTCATTTCATGATATCCAACCAAAACACTCTTGTGGCCAAGCAGAACGAAACGCAGTCAGAAGAATTATCTGATGGTAACAGAAAAATACAGGGAAATTACAAGTCCGTCGTGATAGAGAACCATCGAGATCACCGTGGAAGAGAATTCTGAACTTATTTAATAAGAGTAAAGCAATTTGGAGGTATGTAAGGTCTCATATTATGCGTAGTGTACCACATTCATCAGCGTTGAAAACGATTTAATCGTTTGATTAACGTAATTATCTTAAAACCACAATGTGTCGAAGTAAACCAGTTGGAATCACTTGTGCAAAAGGTTCAAGATTGTATTTTGCTGTTGATTATGTTTTCAAAACAAGAACTACAAAGCATAAAAAGACGTGAAGTACCAGTTGCAGTTTTTCATAATAAATTTGTACATGTTGTTCAATGTTACTCAATTAAGTGTAAGATACGAAATCACAACAATTTTGTTACAAGGGCAAAGTTACTTGGCTCAGGTGATATTGAGTTAAACCCGGGACCTTTTACTCAGGGAAATAAACCAAACAATCTTAATGAACTGTTACAATCTCGATTAGCTCAAAATGGCTTGAGAATAGTAGATATAAGTGGTGCAGGTGATTGCTTCTTTAGAGTTGTGTATCATTAGATGTGTGGTGAACCTAGCTATCACATGAATGGTTGTAGCACTGGTGTTCAATATATGAGAAACGATCCAGAAAGATTCATCGAAAGTAGTCCAGACCATTCATGGTAAAGGTATGTAGCTAATATGTCACACCAGGGTACATGGACTGATGCACTTATGAAACAAGCAGTTGCAGAAGCATTAAACTTGATAGTACATGTTATAGAATCTAATCCAGGTTTGCATTGGTTACAAATATAAGTCCAGTTGGTTCAGAAACTGATACAACTGTTATAAATATTGGACATGTTGATGACACACTATGTTTCAACTGTTCCTTTCAATGAAGAGACAATGGAAAACAATGTAATTGATAACAATCAGCTAGCAAAGTTAATGATAGATCAGTGTACAACCAAAACAATAATGAGTTCAGAAATAAGCAAAACAGAGCTCTGCAAGAAAAGAGATCAGAAAATATTGAAAAAACAAGAGAATCTCAAAGGGGGCATTCAACAAATGCAAAGAATCAAATCCTGATCATATTAGAGAGCTGAATAGGCAGGCAGTAACCCTCAGCATGCATGAGAAGTGAACAAAAATGCACAGAATAGAAAGAGATCCTTGATGTCTGGGTTGAACCCATGTGACCATGATCTGCTTCAGCCAGCTACTAAAAGACCAAGTTGTAAAGCAGGTGAGGAAGTTCATGAATTTAAACGTCAAGATTCTACACAAGAGATGCTCACAATGACAAAAGTCACTCAAACTTTTCATGATAGCAGTAAGTGTGGTCCTGAACATGCATGTACTTGCTGTAATCAATCATGGTATTGGTCATCTGCTAGAAAGTGTGAAGCAAACAAATATCCTAAATGTTCCACAACTTTGCCTGAAGCATGTATAACTACTAATGCTATTATAGATAATACGAAATGGATTTGCTCTACTTGCCAATCAAACCTAAGTAATGAGAAACTACCAGTCTGTTCTAAAGCAAACAAAATGGGATTACCTATGAAACAACAATGTTTAAACTGAACACCTTTAGAAGAAAGATTAATTTTTCTGCATATTCCATTTATGCAGATACACATAAATGGTGGACAATTATCTATTCATGGAAATGTTGTTAATGTATCAGCTGATGTAAATTCAACAGTTAGCACTTTACCAAGACCAATCAGTGAATCACAGATTACCCCATCAAACTTAAATGAAAGTTGAGTTATAAGCATCATTATCAATTTCAGAATGTTAGACCAAGAAAAGTGTTAAAAGCAACAAAATACCTTGTCAAAACAAGTAAATTGTTTCAAAATGAGCATATAGAAGTTCAGGCAAATTGTCTTCTTGATAATCCTAATACTAGAGCCTATGATGCTCTTGCAAATCAAAGTAATGAATGGAAAGAACTCCTCAGTAATTCACACTCAAACACTGGTAATGCTGAAATACATTCAACTGATCCTAGTTACTCAAAGACATCATAGTTACACCAACAATTAGTCACTGGCTGTAATGACAATGGTTATGATGGATGGTGTGAAGTTGAGGAGAGAATTTCAGATGTCACAGATACTGTATTACAATCAGATGAAATGAGAGGACTGGTGAATCTACAAACAGAAAGACATGCAAAGACCTGTAAAAAATGTGGTAAAACAATTTGTAGATTTAATTTCCCCTGCCTCCAATGCCATGATCTATGATTCTAGAACCTTTAAAAGAAACCCGTTTAGAAGAGGATGAACTAAAAGAAATGAAAAAACACTATGATCATATAAGAAATCTTCTTGATAAGATGAGATAATTATGGTCAAGATATGACATTTCTTAAAAAATCAAAACTTACAGAAGATCAGTGTTTAAAGGCCATTAGACATTCCTTGAAGCACTCAACATCGTTCCTTAAGAGATCTCCCTTAGAGATCAGAATAAACAATTACAACCCTAACCTTTTAAAAGGCTGAAGAGCTAACATGAATTTACAATTTGTTTTGGATTCCTATACCTGTGCCGTTTATGTACTCTCTTTCTTACATAACAAAGGGTCAAAGAGGAATCTTTCCATGTAAAAGTGTACAATTTTATAAAGAGGAATTCAGTTATCTTCAAAACCCATTCAAACATAAAGTATCCATGACTTATTAATAGTTTCCTTTGATTTATTGACACATCTACCTACTCATCCTCTACCAATGTAAATCTAAAACTTGCTATATATGTACGTAAATTTTGTGATTGTTACTCTTGTACATCATATATCAGTCTTTTGCATAAAGCAGTTACCAGTATGTGACAGCTCTTAAAAACATTTGAATAATGTGAAACAAGTGATTTTTGCATGTTCTACATACATGTATGAGATTTAGTAAACAAACATTGAGCCAGAGTTTGGTCACCTGATGGGCAAGAAATACTGGAAGCAGATCAGCTATCATGATTGTGTTTACACATGTAATTATCTAATTCAGGAAGTGATCGAATGCCTCACAATTTGCATGTTTTGACTTCAAAAACTCCATTCATTATTCCACAGTTTGAATTTCAAGTAACACTGTAACTCTATTTGCCTTTATTCAAGTGAGCAGAACTTCATAAAAAGCCAAGGGTACACAATGATCATTGCTTTTTGCAAATTTGGTGGCTCCTGAAATGGCTGCTTTTTTCATATTCATAAGATTATATTACTTGCTGTTGTCATTAAGAGACCCTTCAACTGGTTTAAAGTCACCTTCCTTGGCAGCTAAATACAATTTGTCAAGAAATATTTATTCCACCGCAAAGGTGTTTACAATGTCACTGATAGCAATGTTTGTGTTAGCAAATAAATGTCTTTTGGCTTTACAAAACCTTGCTATGTACTGCAGTGCAATATAAGTTACTGCTTCAAAAGTGACTCATGTCCAGTACCCCTTCTCCTGATCAAATGCCTGGCTATTAAGTTATGAATGACCCAACCAACAAACTGAAGATTTCCCGTAGTTTTATGTCAAATTCTGTTGAAAATCTGGCAGGCATGAAAAACATACTGGTTGGAAAATGTAAGTGTAAGATCAAAGTTAAGTCTAAGTGCATAGATATGATGTGTAAACTGTCACAGCTACAACTGAATATGAGAGTGATCTTCACAGTAATAAACACTACCTATGCAATAGTGAAAATAATACCTGGCCTGAGTGGAAGTTGAACCAATGACATAGGCTCAACTCCCATACAGGCCTGAATTTTTTGGGGGGTTTAATTTTCACCACTGCTTGAATAGTGTTCATTACTGTGAAGATCACTCTCATATTCAGTTTTAGCTGTGATAGTTTAGACATACTATCACTTGCATTGACATGCAGTCAACTTCCCTTATTGTGGACACCCTTGGAGGGAGATTTAGTGTATCCCATACATTTCTTTCTGGCGAGTTGCAATGTTTGCCCTGTGGCGATCCCAGAAATCTTTGCGCAAACGTAAGGATCCGATCACTGGCTACTCATTCATTGTACACGTTTGATCAGCCATACGCCGGTCATGTCAGAGCAGTCGTAATAGAAACAACGACGCATGTATCGGTTAAATTTGAAGTAAAGTATAACAAAGTATAACTTAACTTTAAGATGATCGTACCATACAAAAGACGAACCCAAACAATACAAAATTTACCATATTATTAAATACGTTTACGTTACACAATTGATTTACGTCGCAGATCAGCTGAATGTGCCAAAGGAAATAAATCTGTAAAAAGAATCTGCACTTACTCTGAAGGCCATCTGTCCACCTTTCCCCATCACCTAAAATCAAGAGTTTAGTTTGATCTTCAAGGAAGCTGAAATATTCTTCGTTTTCGATCTCAGTTCCATCACTATCAAGACAAACCCGGCACTTTGCTGCCACCAACCCAAATTTTGAACTTGCAATTTCTTTAAGTTCCCTCAGGCTTTCTGCGACGATTCCTAGTGCTCTTGATCGCGCTGAGTTGCAAATCTTCAACGGCTTACGCCGCTTTACTTCCATGACAAAGCCCGTTGCTGCAGTCAACTCGTCCACCATGTTTTATTGCTAAGGAGCCAAGCCTTAATACTTTCTACAGTATCGAATTTCAAACTTGTGCCCAGGGCCTTCTCGGTGTTCATCTGAGTGGTCGGCTTAGTGAGGGAGTCAGTTATTATAATTCAATGTATGGCCCATTTCATTCAGAAGTTTGAATTGAAATCCTCCTCCTCTATTTGAACCCAGAGATACATAATAAATGTCTTTCTGATCTCGTTTTCCCAGTCTGTACTGAAAGTTACGAAACCTCGAAGCTCCATAACCGTCACATTACAGACTGTGCCTGTCTAGATTGTGCTCGTAAGATGCTGGAAAGTTGCTCGCTGGAATGCCAAAAAGTTGTAAAAAGTTGCCAAAAATGCCAAAAGTTTCTCTCTAAATTTAAAAAGTTGCCTCTTAAATTTCTTAATATTTTTATATAAACGTTTATTTTAAGCTATACTTTTCGCCCTTCGCAACAATTAACTTAGCTTTAAAGAGTTGTTTGTAAAGTAAATTAACAAAGACATACATTTTGGTCCGTCGTTTTAGCCGATTATCTGTTCTAATAATACATAAAAGGCCTGCGAAACATTCGAGAAATATGCATAAATCGAAGTTTTTTTTATGAAATTGTCGACTAATCGTGCCTGATATGTGCTCTAAAATCTAAAACTTGCTCAAAAATTGCTCAGAAAGGTAAACATTCCGCAAGGTTGCCAGATCTGCTAAAATTGCTCCAAACCCCAAGAGTTGCCTCAAAAGTTACCGAGCACACCAAATCCGTCGATCCGCGAACCCATTCACCCTCTCGTTGATAAAAACCCTTTATTAAGGATGGGACGAGTCCTTTTCCTTTTAAGGTTTTTGAATGTTGGCTTTTGGCTTGGTTTTAAAAGTGAGCTTGGTTGGGCGTTGCTAATGGCTGCTCAGACTTTGTTGGTCTTGCTTAAACATTGCTCATGCATCATAATAAGTCAAAACAAGTGTTCGTGATTTTACCACGATTCATTTTTGTTCTCGCTCTTGTCTGTCTTACAAGTGGAGTCTTCTGTCGGAAAATTTCGCCAACCTGCGCTGTTTCAAATCCAAGCCGGCTACTGGAGCGAAAATACGAGACAGATAATTCCAAAGCTCAGTTTTCAATTACCTTTACTTCTTAATTTACATTCTGACCGAGCTTAGCATCTCAGTTAAAGAAACCTGCCGCCATCATGTAACTGCCACCGGAAATGGCCATGTTGAAATGAGGAGTGTCACAGAACGTTATGAACTTAATGTATGCAGCTTTTAACGAAAAAAAATTTAAATATTAAACTTACGTCATTACCAAATTGTGCAAGTTTTGCGGGACAAACGCTTTTTCGTGATAGATTTAGAAAGATGCAGTAGACTTGTAATTCAGTGGTCGAAGCAGAAAGATATTGAAAACTTTTCCACAAGATCCTCCCCCGAGGATTCGAACCTGAAACCTTCTGACATTGCTGCATCGAAGAGTTTTAACATGCTTCCCATATGCTGCTAAGGATAACAAATTCTTTGAGAAACCATTTTATATTTAAGCAAGTAAAAATCCTTCATTCTTACAATGTCATTAGTCATAGAATAAATTGTGTAAGTCTATCGTTCGTGGATAGAAATGTTTGAGCCCCGTGAGACAAAGGAGCAATGAAATGAGTATGAAAAAAAAGCCAAGACTTGTCAACTCGATAATCCTTGCAAGCTCTTTCCGTAACTGATCAGACAAGAATATAATCCATGTGATGTTTTAAATTCACTCAATCATTTTTAATAAAACCCTTGAAGAATGTTTAACTGAGAAGGATAAGATTGATAACTGACAAACTTATTGAAAAGCAAAGTCCACAGCTCGAATGGAACATGGAACATGGATCTATCCAGACCCGAATATGGAAGGACTAGAAGGCTGCCTAATGATCATGATTTGCCTCTAATAACATAGTTTGTATTAAGAGACTGGCGCAAAATCGGAATTTTTTTACAGTCCCACTTTTTATCGCGTATGTCCAAAAGACACAAGGGCTCGTTATTGTTTCGCCGCCTGTCTATAAATAAATCAATCTCTCTGTAAAACAATTCTGATTTATTTTGTCAGTTCAAATATGTATGTCGAGTTTTGAAGGCTTAAATCAATGTTTTCAATGTTTTCGGCCTACATAGGATCGATTTGCGGTATATCTTTCATTTAAAATGATACAGACCCTTGTCGGTTTTCCGCTATCGAGTAAATACTTTTTAAAGGCAAACATCCTCAATAGCGAACATGCTGGGCAATCGTTCAAATGGGTTTTACAGCCCTTCAGTGAAAGAATGAGCTTCGTTGAAAACACATCATTTCTTGTTTATAGTGTCACCGAGTTGAAATAAACAACTGCAAACAAACAACACCGATATCGGCTTGCCTGACTGATTTAAACTTTTTTGAAGACAAGTCCTTTGTTCCTAAAAATATGTTGGTTAATATTCTCAACTGAAAGAGCATTTCATTGACCCTGACTAACTGTCTTTTTTCTGCGTGAAATAAAGGTGAACAATTTTAAGTTCACGTCACTCGGGGATCTGTATGGGTTCTCAGAAGGCGTTGCATTGCTCCAGAGGAAATTTCCTCGAAAATCGGTAATGTTTTCATCACATTGTGTCAGGGTTAAGGATATATCCGGCGTGTAGTAAATTTTTTTCTATTTTCGTTTTTTTTCAAGGACTGTTTAAACCATTTAGCAGGCAAATTAGCGTCAGCAATGAGTCGGCAATTTTCCTCTACAAGTTATATCAATGACGCTCATTCCGAGAATGTTGAAATGTTACTTGTCCAACGCTACTTCGTATGACAACAGAGTTAAAACATATTTTGCGGCCACCCACTAGGAAATGATCGCCGTCATTTTCAAACGTGTGCGTTTGTAAAACGTCTTTCAATTTAATGAAAGTTTCTAGTTTTTGGTGTAAATCATAATGGAAAAACCACTGCAATCATCGGAAACCAGATTTAAGTGGCTTCCAGCTATTTTGGTCGGATACGAAAATAACTGTTGTCTTTGTTTTTGATCAGCAGGGATTTGCTAAAGCAAAGGCATAGAAAAAACCAGGAAAGATTTATTACTCGACGTTTCGGGGTCATCGTGACTCCATTATCAAGAGACTAGTTTAAAAACATGCAAATAAGGAAAGGTACAAGAATAGCGTAAATTAGAATGAACGGCTTAAACAAACACCTTGGCGCGGATGGAATCCGTTTGCACGTTCAGTGTTGGCTTACGCATGCGAATATACAACATTTCATTAACAAGGCAATCAAATTTGCCGTTACATTTCGCGATGACGTTGAATTGCTCGATCAAGCGTTCAGGCATTTCACTATTGTGCTGGAGGTGGTAGTGTTTGTAGATAGAAGATGATTTCCTTGTGTGCCCTTCTACGCGCTCGTGTAAGTGACCACGAGTATAGCCCACATACCCTGCATCACACAGGTTACATTTAAATTCATAAACGATACATTGTTGGTTAACAATAGGGGGCTTAATTTCGTGTTGCTTAAGCTGTTGATCGAGCTTAGGGCTAACGAACACTGGTTGGACAGTCACGCTTAACTTCGAGCTTAGACTGTTCAGTTGTTGTTTAACATGATTAGCTGACGTAATGCCTGATAGGGTGACCGCTGGCCAGTTTCTAGACACCCTTAACTCTACCCATCCCTCCCTCCAGTTTACCATGGAAGTCGAACGGGAAGGATCCCTTCCCTTTCTAGGAACTGAACTGCTTAACCGTGCACCAAAGATTGAGAGCAAGGTCTACATCAAAAGAACCAACACGGGTCTCCTTCTGCATTTCCAGAGTCATGTTGACATTAAGTACAAGCGCAGCCTAGTTAACACCATGGTGGATCGCGCTTATCGATTATCTTCTAACTGGTCTTTCTTCTCCGAGGAATGTGACCGCCTTAGAGGGGTTTTCATAACTTGAAATACCCAAAGCCACTGGTTGAAACTACAATTAAGCGGTTCGTTGAGAGAAGGATTTCATCTGCAGATCCCTGTCCATCACCAGACGTACCATCGGAGATTGTGAGATTAGTGTTACCCTTCAAGGACCAGTCGTCAGCTAATCATGTTAAACAACAACTGAACAGTCTAAGCTCGAAGTTAAGCGTGACTGTCCAACCAGTGTTCGTTAGCCCTAAGCTCGATCAACAGCTTAAGCAACACGAAATTAAGCCCCTATTGTTAACCAACAATGTATCGTTTATGAATTTAAATGTAACCTGTGTGATGCAGGGTATGTGGGCTATACTCGTGGTCACTTACACGAGCGCGTAGAAGGGCACACAAGGAAATCATCTTCTATCTACAAACACTACCACCTCCAGCACAATAGTGAAATGCCTGAACGCTTGATCGAGCAATTCAACGTCATCGCGAAATGTAACGGCAAATTTGATTGCCTTGTTAATGAAATGTTGTATATTCGCATGCGTAAGCCAACACTGAACGTGCAAACGGATTCCATCCGCGCCAAGGTGTTTGTTTAAGCCGTTCATTCTAATTTATGCTATTCTTGTACCTTTCCTTATTTGCATGTTTTTAAACTAGTCTCTTGATAATGGAGTCACGATGACCCCGAAACGTCGAGTAATAAATCTTTCCTGGTTTTTTCTATGTCTTTGTTTTTGAAACAAAAATCTTAAAAGTCGGCTTTTAATAAGGTTAGCCTTATAGAAGCCGATTCGCAGCGAGTGTTGAAGTGTATTAGGCACAAATTGCAATTCTGGGCAATGCCACGAAAACAAGGTAATTCAAGCTGGAAATTGCGGATTGAGAAACCTGCAACGTTATCCTAACAATGGCCACTTCCCGCGGTCATGCAACTCATCAGGGACAGCTTGCCATTGGCCACTTCATTGTAATCTATTATCAAGTTTCATCTTTACGTCAAATAATAAATCAATCAATTGCTCGGTATATATAGTGGCATCATCTTTCCATGTATTTTACATACCGTAGTTCAATCGAGCGACGGATAGATTCCGAAGCTCGCCTTTTAGCTAGTTGCTCTCGCTATATGTCATTATGTGGTGGGTTCTATGGCTTGCCAATTTGATTGCAGTTTCGGGGAGAGATATATCTTGCGGGGATGCTATCAATAACTGCCGAAAGGACTTCGCAGGATGCGGATTGGCACTCTACAAAATTTTTAAAAGAACAGAGTGTCTTACCGCGTTAGGTCTCAAGGACGATAAATTGGTCGGGATCCGAATAACCAGACCGATGGAAAAGACTTGTCCACTGAGTTGTGTGAGTGCGATCAACAACCTAACTGCTACGAATGCAGGTAAAGCGATGGAAACATGTAACTGTAGCAGAGACTCAACGTGTCTAACATCGAAGGCACGCTTGAAGCGATGCGTCCTCAGTAGAACTACAAATTACACTGTCTTTAGTTGCACCCAGGCTAGAAAACGATGTAATGGCAACAAGGATTGTAAACGAATACAATTCAGCTTTTTGAGGCGATGTACAAAGCTTATCTCGGGTTTGGAATGCACAAAGGATTGTTTAAACAGCCAAGACGAATTGCTGAATTCAGATCTGGGTAAAGCGCTCAACGATTGCGAGTGCGACGGGTTTGAGGAGCCGTACTGCCGTGGTATTCGCGCAAACTACGAGGAACTGTGTGTTGGACCCAGAGGGCCTCGCAATTCGGACGCCAGTCTTGCTCCTGCTCCAAAAGAGAATATAGTACAGAAATTTAGATATTCTGGACAATCTCGCTCAGCCTTTTCACAGTTTGAGCTTCCTGTATGGATTCTGTATGCTGCAATCGCGGCATATGTATACATGTTTTACAATCTATAGCCGTATTGTTTACTTATAAACCAGACTTTGGACAGATCCTGTTCGATAGGAAATTGGAAAATTTGTGCGCCAGCTTTCATTGCTTCATTCGCGTTGTTTTTATAAGTGTTGTAGCCGCTCCAAATGTTATCCAGTTGTGCCATGCGTTTTCAATCGCCGTCCACAGCACTGTACATCGCATGCATGCTGACAAAAAAAAATCCTTTCGGAAGAATTGTACAAAGCTTTCCATCCTGTCCAAATATTTTTGGATTATTGCTAGGGTTGTTGATAATTTTAAAGTTGAATCGAGCTCATCAAGTGTGTATATAACATTTTGGAATTTGGGTTTTATTTTGGTTGAGTTCACTGTCAGGCCTCCCGGCGTAACGCTCGACATACGCGGCGTTATTAGAAGAAAGAGATTCGATTAGCGGAGCGATTTGAGTTCATCTTACTTAAGGACGTTTGAACGAGATAGCATCAATTGCCAGTCAATTGTGGTCAATGTGTTCTTTGCGTAATCTTTACACGACAACTGTTTGACAAACTCGGTTTGTTGTGATCTGTTTTCTTTTGGACGTAAATTGTACGCTCTAAGCAAAACATTAAAGAATGCTTGAAATAGCGCCTTTATTGTTATAATCTTGAGGTCGTCGGGGCATTCTATGCTGTGAGTAAGGTCATTTTAGATAGGCATTTATGTCGGCTAATCGAGCGCTAGAGAGTTTCATATCGTGGATTAGCAAGCGATTATACCAGGAGATATTTCCATGTATTTACTCACCGTTTTTCACGGTTTTGTGCAGAAAAAATCTCTTTCAAGTGACGAAGCATTCTCCCGTTGCATCGATCAGAATAACTTGAATTGTTCCGAGGGCAAAAGAAATTCAGCAACGACCCTGAGTTGAATGAATTCAAATGAAAATGTATTTCGAGGTATTTAATGTTAGAATGAATGTATTAAAATAAATCTCCTATATGAATAATCTTTGTGAATTCACACGCCCTAAAATAAACGATATATCCTGCGGAAATCAGATGCTAAACTTCGCCCTCTCTAAGGAAATAAGCATGTCACCAATAAAAAAAATAAAATAAAATAAAAACGTGATTATAGCTTAAAAAAAAAATATTTCGATGCTGGGAATTATTTGTGATACAAACTTAACCGTTTTTTTTTCTTTTTAACACCTTCCCTCAAAAGTTTCCAACAAAGCTTTGATCTCCTCGAAACCCAATGATTTTACGAAAACGGATCTGTAACTTCACCTCGGATAGTTTTTGTTGTGTTGTAGGGGTTTATTACTTGTTAAAGATAAACGTAAACACAGGCAGTACCATTTCGATCAATTATGGGTGAACTGTGTAAGGAATGTATTCTGACACAAGGGGTTTATAGTTTTAACTGTATTGTCATATTTCAGTTACGCCTGAAAGCTAAAAGCACGAAGACTTCAGGGTAAACAGACAGAAAATCATATTTTGCTGATTTCACAGATGATACACTCAAGTGTTGATGAAACAATAATCATTTCCTGATCTCCCATGCAGAATTAATCCACTGAACTGGAAATTGTACGAGATTTTATCGACCACTTGGCTAAGACTACATAATTTCTTCATTGATAATAGCATAGTTTTTTAACCTCTTCGGAAGCACACGGGCCAAAAATGGCTTGTCCGCTCACTCCAGTAAAAAGCATTACTTAAAGTACTGAAATGGCTTCATACTGAGAGAACGGCTTATGAAAATTTAAAAAATAAACAATGAAAAAATCCACAATACAGGCAGTTGCAATCTCGGCAAGCTACACGTATAGAATTGGTTTCGGTTTCTAAGGAACTCCAGCGTTCAAGCATGAATTTAATGGAATCTCATTAGCTAAGAGCTTTCACTAAAATACTAAAATTAAGCTTAGTTATTGTAACGTGTTTCACCAGTTTTATATTTCCACTTTTTAAAAGTTTTATGTTTCTAATGATTGTCTCCCTTGGTGCAAAAGTCCAGCAAGCCTCGTATACGTGTACAAAAAGGTCTCAGTAACTCGTTTGGGTGAGGGAAGACGTTGTTGGACATCTCTGTTTTATTATTCAGGGTTATATTTACGAATATGACGAGACACTACAAAAGAAATAAGAGGTTATTTAGATGGATTCCAAGACTGACTGTTGATAGGACACGAGACGTGTCGCAAATAAAAAATAGCATTTATGCGGCCGAAGAAGTCAACAAACTTTATTAGTTTTAAAAAATCCAGATGTCTGGGAAATGGTTGTCAGTCGCTCTGGTTTCATCAGACGCACCGACTTTTGACTTTTTAAGTTCTAGAATCCTCAAAGAGTAATGGCAAAGATTTATAACGCGAGGAAAGACATAACGAGCATTTTCTAGTGTCGAGTTTCTCCCGATGCCTTCAACGTCTGCTTGAATCACGAAAGTCAATTGATCCGAAAGTGGAGTTAAACTTTGGAAAAAAAAGGTGAGGGGCGATATCACATACGATACCTCACTTTTATTTAAGAGTATAAAAACCTCAGAGATAAAGATTTCTGCTATCTTGAGGATCGCTTACAGCACCGAACGACACAAACTAAAGACCACGAGACAAGAATTTCCGCCCGCCATATTCAATTACAACCCATTTTTCATCCAGGGATGTTGATCATAAGGTCATTGGTGTCTAATTTAGTGAAAATTTGTTTCCTTTTAATCCTGCAGCGAATTGATGATCACCAAACGTTGCCACCAATCCTTCGATGTAACCATCAGAAAACGGCTACTCTCTAAATTCCACAATAAAGGGTTTACTTAATCGGTCCTTGAGATGTCCATGACTGTCTCTGTAGTATATCATCCATTTTTCCCAACATTATTGCTTTTAGCTTCCGTTCTAAGTGATAACCTCGAACGTGCATATGTCATCAAGCTCTTTGCATTACAAATATTTCCTTTAGTACTGCAAACCATACCCCCCAGGGAGGTTGTCTCTCGTTCGAAAAATAATAGGAATTAACGCACTTTTCAGGTGATTTCCTCATCATTAAACCTTTATTCTTTTAAAATTGAATAACTTTAAGTATAGCATCGTTGTTAATACAGAAAAATGCAGTCACAGCACTTTGACAGACAATATGACATATGGACTATATTATTAAGTGTTTGTCACATAGAAGGACACTTCGCACATAAACAAAGCCCTGCCCAATAGTTGTTGGCACAATATATGATCTGAACGAAAATAAGTTTAAAATCCAATTAACTCTTTTATTTTTCTCCGATCCTGCTTCGAATGTGCTGGTGTAGAAGTGAGAGACGTTCTCGAGTTCTATTGTTTCAATGGTTTATAAGTTTATTTTCACAAAGGGAATCGCTGATTTGGCCGCAACTAAAGAAGAATGTAACCAACAGTTCCGAAAACACGTGCTTTTTTGGCATCCAGTATATTTCAAGATGGTGTACTATGCGCCGGAGTAGTGCCTTGAAGTTCCGCCAAATATACACATCGGCTCCTACAGTTAAATACTTAGAGGCCTTGTTTTGGCAACATAATTGGCCGGCATGCAAAAAGGAAAGAGAGCTAGAAGGAAATTTTATTCCAGCTCAAGGAGTTGGGAGCGACTCAGGTCCTTGCGCCCAAATAAATTTGAAATTATCCCTTTTCCGTCTCCTTGTTTAATGAAGATGAAGGTTAATCTCGAAAGAAACGCTAGTAAGGTTTTGGCCCAACAACAAAAGGGTAAATGGACTTTCTGTAGTAGTTTATGTTCATAAAACATTCAGGTATTATTGTTCTTCGGGTTTGAGAAGAAAATGAAATACATGAATCAACCTGTTGCATACCACAGTTGAGAATGTTAATTGAAAAACTTTTATAAATTGTTGTTAGATGCGACTTTTGATCAAAAAGGGCACGAATGCCACGAATGCTTAATTAATTAAAAGACGTTATCAAGCATTTCGCGAAAGATATTGAAATTTGATAAAAGAGACACTGATAGGGAGAGAGGTCGAGCATAAAGTTCACCGAAAACAATAAAAAAGTGAACCTTTTGCTTTCAACCCTTTGTGTGTTGAAAAGGAAATATTTGCATTAACAGTGATCTAGAGTTCTTTATTTGTCGTTCTTTTTCAAGGTTGATGTGAAAATTTTAGGAAAGTGATTGAAATCAGAGTTCCGTTTTGCTCATTACTAATGCTGTAAACCTTATGGTTAAACTCATCCGCAGTAAACAGTTTTCCGTGAAGTTAATGTATTTCGAGAACAGTTCACATCATCTTTACCCTCTTCGCAGAGTGTTATTGTCTGATTAACAAAAGACCCTTAAATGGGGGTTACTGGTGTTTAAGTGTATAAAAAATCTTTAAATTATATTGTAAACTGCTGTGAGAGATTGTGGTCAAGCCAAAGATATTAAAATGAAAATGTCGGTGATGTTCATAATATACTTTGCAAACCCCCTATCTGCGACCTCTTGAATACTGCGTGTTTCCATCACTACCACAGACAAAATTACCTGCTATTTACGGAGAGAGGCGAGAAACAATAATCTATACAACCCCTCGAAGGTGTGTACCCTCTTCGAATAAATGGGAAAGTTATGCGTGCTAGAGAATTGATGAATTGGGGTAATGCTGTAATCAGACAGGCAAGCCTATTAGCAAGGTGCTCTTTCTGCACGCAACAGACTTCGGGTAACTGTTTTGGAAACGCTTGTGTTAATCAGCTTAACTCAACTTTTTAACATCTTTAAATTTTGAAATTGGATAGCGTGGTTTCGTCATTGAAAATCTAATCCAACGATATAAAAATAAAATTTAAAAGGCGTCCATATGGCCTGTAAAATTAGTTCTTTCTTCAATCACGAGTTACCAACGTGCTGCGGTTTGTTTACCTTACGCGTTTCTGTCAGTGCGTTTCTTCTACTTTCTGTGAGAAAATTCCAGGTGCAAGTTACTTTTTTTGGGCTCTTTTCCTAATCCGTTCAAACAAATCTGATCTACCATTCCATTACCACTTGCATGACATGTCTAACTGAATATTTATGGTGCATGTTATTACTAATATTGTACTTCCCCAACACCATTTTCTAAAGGGCTACTTTATAGATTTCGATATTTAAAGTTATTTGCTAACCCTGAAACATCAACCATTAATTTAGCCGGTATCTGTGATTTGACGCCTAAGGTTTGTTCGTATGGACTCGTGCGAAAGTCACTTATACGAGAACGTCGGGCTTACATAAATAGGCCGCAGTTCTCGTAGGAAATTCTTTTGTGTAAATTCCTTTTCCCAAGCTTTTCAATCATCGCCTCAGTTCAGAGGTAATTACTTATCTGTAGTAAACAAATATGATCTATGTTTGTCGGCTTGATGACAGCTCTGGTCGAAGATCTATGCACTTATAATAGTT